GTGTGCTTATCTGCCAACTTGCATTTAGGCCAGGGAAGGTGGAGGTTGATGATGTCCAACCAGACCTTGTTGTTTATGGCATAATCATAGGCCACTCAATGGTGTTTGTCATATTGAGTTTTCATGGTGTTGGCTACTTTTTCAAGCATAGTCTTGATTTTCTTGTGGATTGTTGTCATAGTTGCTATAAAATCATGGGAGGCAGAGGTGGTGGTATAATGTCTTTCAGTTTGCATAACATTGGGATGTCAGCCAAAGTTAATAAAGAATGGGGTTTTTCTCATTGCTGAATGTATTCAATTGTTATGCTGAAAGGCAGCAAGAGCTAGCCATTCCATTCAATCATCTTATTGATAATTTATGAAGAGACGAAGGTATTTCTCAACTTTCTAGTTCACATGCTCCATCTGACCATCAGTTTGTGGGTGATAGACTATAGAGGTGTTGCACTTGATGAAGAGAAGATGATAAAGGTCATTGAGAAACTTTGAAACGAACTGAGGTCCCTGATCAGAAATGACTATCTGAGACATTCTATATCTGACATAGACCTCATCCCTTAAGATCTTTGCCCACCCTTCAGAAGTCAATTCAGTTGAGCAGACAATGGAGATGATAGATTTTGAGAATTGGTCAACTATCATGAGGATTGCATTATAGCCATTACAGTCGGAGAGGCCAGTAATCATGTTAACTAAAATGTGAGTCTATGGTGACAATGGTATTTCATTCAGATGAAATGGTGCAGCTTGGGCCCAGGTTGATGATTTGCCATATTAGCAAACTTCACATACCTTGACATATGTGATTATATTATTTCCCATCTTGGGCTACCAGTATTCTTGCAGCATCAGTTCTTTTGTTTTGGCTATGCTGAGGTGTCTGGCAGTTGCATAGTCATAGCAAGTGGTGATGATTTCTCTATGTAGTCCTTGATCTCATGGAATATAAATCTGCCCATCATAGCAGATTAACCCCTCTTCCTTCATCATTCCTCATTCATGATTTAGGGATAGAGCCACTCGCTGGTTCCATTTATAGTTGTTATGAGTTGTGCTTTTGATGCACTCATGGATCTCTTCCTCCATCAGCATTATCATGGCCCTAAAATATTCAGGTTGCAATAATGTCACTTCTTTGTTGTCTGTTCCCCCTTGATCATGATTCACCCTTCAACTGAGGAGGTCAGCTTTTTTGTTTGCTATTCCTGCCTCATAATGAAGCATGTACTGATACTGGCTGAGCCCCATGACCTATCTGGCTTGTCAGCAGTTCAGTTTTTGTGGCTGTCAAAAGTATCAGAGGTTTTGATAATCAGTCCAGATTCCAAAAACCTCTGCTGCTCTAATTAAGTAGTGGTGCCATTCTTTGAGGGCAAGCATGATAGCAAGTAGCTTCTTATCATAAATTTCATAGTTGCGTTCAGTGATTGTGAGTGCCTTGAATAGAAATACAATGAAACACCATTTCTTATCTTGCTCCTGAAACAGGATGGCTCTAATGGCTCCCTCACTTGAGTCAGCTTTGACTCAGAACTTTCCTTCTTGTGTGGGAATAGCAAGTATAACATCTTTGGCTAACCATCTTTTCAGGTCATCAAAGGCAGTTTGTTGGGAGAGGCCTCACATCCAGAGGGTGTTGCCGGTTAGTTGCATCATAGATCAGATGATTTTGCTGTAGTCCTAGATAAATCATCAGTAGAAATTGGTAAATCCAAGGAATGATTGTAACTCCTTTTTCTTAACTGGTTCTGGCCACTCAGTTATCCCTGCTACTTTGATGGGATCCATTTGAATACTCTCTTTGCTAATGATGACTCTGAGGTATTCAGTTTTGAGCACTCCAAATTCACATTTCTTAGCTTTGAGGAACAATTTATGCTTTCTCATAAGAACTAACATCTGTCATACTAGCTTTCTATGCTCCTCTCTGGTTTTCGACATGATTAGAATATTGTCAAGGTAAATAGTGACCTTCCCAGTGGCAATGAGATTCTTGAATATATTGTTCATCATCCACTAGAATGTTGCCAGAGAATTAGTGAGTCTGAAGAATATAACCATCGGCTTGAACAGTTCTCGGTTTGTTCTGAATGCTGCCTTCCATTCATCCCCTTCTTTGATATGAACATTGTTATACCCCCATCAGACATCGAGCTTGGTATAGTATTTGGCTCCTTGGAGTTTGTCCATTAATTCTGAGATCAATGGAAGAGGGTATTGGTTTTTTATGGTCATCTCATTGAGTCTTTGATAATCTTAGACTGGTCACAGTTTGCCATCTTTCTTTTTGACAAAGAAGAATGGTAATGCCATAGGAGACTTTGAGGGTCTGATGCATCTGCTGGATAAGTTCTCATCTAGAAATTTGTTGAGCTCTTGCTGCTCACTATTGCTGAGTAGATATGTCTTGCAATCCAGATTGGCATTTGTGTTTGGGATTAGCTCGATAGCATAGTCCTAAGGTTTTAGTTCTGGCAACTCATTAAAGCTCTCCTTCTTGAATAGATCTCTGAAGTCACATGCCCATTCAGGCACCATCTCTTCAAAGGTCCTTTCCCCCTTCTGCTTATTGGCTTTGGCAGCTAGATTATTGGTGTGGTGTACTGCATGAATGTGTAGTTCTCATTGAATGTTGATAGCCAAAATCATCTCCCCATCCTCTATTTTCTTATCTCATCGATCCTTCAGATCCTCATCAGGGAGTTTGAATGAGATCTTCTGACATTAGCATCTTGCAAATATGATTTGTCTAGTTTTCCAGTTGATTAGTGGATTATGGCATATGAGCTAATTGTGACCAAAGAAGATTTCTTTGGTTCTGAGATCTGTGATGGCCAAGTCGATCTGTTCCAAATGATCACTGATCATGAGTCTGAGTTCTATGAACTCAGTGATTGAACTGACTTAGTTTTTGGTTCTATCAGCATTGTAGACCAGAATCGGGGCCATAGTGGACCGAGTTGGGAGTTTGTGTTTTTTGACAAAAGTTTGATTAATGAAACTTCCAATGCAGCTACTATTGATTAGAGCAGTTACTATATGAACAGATCAGGAGGTAAGGGTTTTGATTTGTGCTTTAGTGATAAGATCTTGGCCAGGTGTTTTAGACCATAGAATGAATTTCTGTGGTCTATAGAGTTTGTCAAGCCATTCCAGAGCCTGGCACCTTTCTGCTCTTCTCATTCCTTCTATCATTTCATCGATCACTTCTCTGGCTCTGGTTCAGTAGACTCAATTTTTTAGTATGGCTTTTGCCACTTCTTCATCCTTAGCATCTTTGATTGCTCTCCAGGTCCATTCTGTGTCAAACAGCTTGACCCAAGTATTGGGACTCTCTGCCCTTTTTTAGCCCAGAGGCATTTGAGTTCTTTTTTCTGGCAATTCTTCAGTGTGCAGATTATTCAGAGTCTGGGGTATATTTGAATGCTTTGATACAACAGGCATAAAAGTAACTACAGAGATTATATCAGTCCAACTAGCAGCTGATAATTGCACTTAATGTGTTGTTTTATTGATTTCCTGTGCTTCAAGATGTTGTGTGATTAGCATGAGAGTAGAATGAGAATGTATAAACTTTAGCTCAAAGCTGAGGTTTTACCAGCAGAAGTGAGCTCCTTAAATACTAAACAGGATCTGCTAATAATACTACCTACTTATTGTATACCTCTCTGTCCTTGGGCTTATTGTCCTGGAGCATCATTACTGTATATAAAAGGTTGGTTGTGAGTCATTGAGCAACACTGTTGCAATGAAAGACAATGACAGACTTGGCTAGTTGTGATGACTAAGCCTGATCCCATGGTTCTAAGTGCTTGTTCTAGTGCCCTGACTAAGCAGAAATAGGGGTTAAATACAGGAAAAGAATAGAAAATCATAACAGTAGTAATCTCAGCTTCAAGCTAAAGTTTATTCTCTACCATCCTATCTTGAGCAACTTGCAACAATGCCTTGACCATATAATGCTGATAGCACATCAGTGAACTCTAACAGTATAACCTGAAGTGCAAGGTTCTGTTAGTTTATCATGTGTTATCAGTCACATAGAGTTTGGGCTTAACAACATCTCACTTCTTAAGCAAGCAGCAGAGACCATCATAAAGATGGATTCCAAGGGTAGAGAGCATTTTCACAGAGGCTTCAAGGCTTTTCCTCCTCCTTCACTTGTCAGTAACTCCTGTTGCCTGGTGAGGCTTCACCTCTTCATTTATCTCACAATTGGCTCACTCAAGTAGTCTTAGCTTTATCAGACCTAATCAATCCTCATTCAGTACTACTGCACCATTATTGTACAAGTCACTATCAAGTTTTTTGTAGGATGTAATCAGCTATAATAAGGGCCTTAGAGACTACTCTCAAATTGATTGCAATGTGTGAATGACTATATAATAATACAAGAGAGAGATAGATGGAGAACAAAAAACTTGATAGTGACTTGTACAATAATGGTGCAGTAGTACTGAATGAGGATTGATTAGATCTGACAAAGCCAAGACTACTTGAGTGAGCCAATTGTGAGATAAATGAAGAGGTGGAGCCTCACCAAGCAACAGGAGTTACTGACAAGTGAAGGAGGAGGCAAAGCCTTGAGCCTGAGATTGGCAGTCAGAAATGATTGACAGTGAGAGAGCAGAGCTCATCTCATCTAGGGATGCAGGATAAAAGTAGGAATGAAAAAGAGACATCTGATGCCAATGTCTCTCATGAATCAGCTGAGGCTGAGGCTTGGCACTGAGACAGAGATGGCACCAGCAATCCCCCTTCATGGATGAGTGGAGCTCCATATCTCCATGTCAACAGAGATTGTAAAAACCTCAAGAGCCATGCAGAGGCCTGCGAAAATGCTCCCTACCCTTGGCAGACAGAGTCAGCGGCTAAGAACGACACATACTCGCTTATCAATTACCCTTTTGTAAATTCCTTGTTTACAAATTAATTCGTAATCTAATTCGGTAGATATTATATCACGTGCTACCTTTTACCTTCTCCTTTCCGTCCACCAGTGTTTCGAGACCAGACTGTGTATCTCCTTGTTTTTACGCTTTCAGCATGGCCGACCTAGCTACAGTCGCCAGACAATTCACAGATTTTTACTATAACACTTTTGACACTAACCGCCCCGCGCTGGCCTCTCTCTATGTGTGTAAATTCACGCATCTTGCGCCATCGATTGCTTCATCTCAGTCATCTCACAGCGTCCAGAGTCTATGCTCACCTGGGAGAACAACCAAATTCTAGGCGTCACCAACATTGTCGAAAAACTTGTTGTGAGCCTTCTCTCTTCATCTTCGAAACTTCCTAGGTTAATATTCTTCTGCAAGACTTTGCCATTTCAAAAGGTGGTTCATAAGGTCGAGACGTGCGATGCACAGCCCTCCAATCCAGCAGTTTCTAGTATCATAGTACTCGTTACGGGACTTTTGCGGGTGCGTCTACTTCTCAGGTTGATGGCGGTATCGTGGCATTAATCGATGGTCATTTAGGTTGACGATGGCGACCAGCCTCTGCCCTTTACCCAGACCTTCCAACTGATCCCCGACGCTGGTACTTATTATGTGTACGTGAGCTCACCATCTGCAAGTCATCCACCTTTCTCAACGTAAATCCTCAGGTACAACGACCTCTTCCGTCTAAACCTCGGCGGCTAGATTACAGACCAAGTTTCGTAGAGTGATGGAGAGAAGTTAATGGCGCGTTCTTTTGATTAAACAGTAGCTGTATTTTTCTTGTGGTGGTCCTTGCATTGAGTTATAGCGTGTCAAAGATGATGTCACGCCCCTTTACGTACTTGAGAATTGTTGAGTGCTGGACCATGGGCTGGCGGGTATCTCGCAGATAAGTTAGAGCCCACAACAGTGTGATACTCATCCCTTGAGAATGGCGTAAAACGTGAACTACGGCAATATAATTCTACTCATTGTAAATCGTACAAGTCTAGTAGTTGCATGGCTCGCTCCCCGTCCCGTTCACGAGGAAATTCTGACAAGGAAGTCAGACGTGTCCAATTCATCTAGGAAAAAAAAAGGGGGAAACCCAAGGCTACTGGCACATCGTAGAGTTACAGCTGTTCGCCAGCGGGGCCAGCGCGACACTCGCTATCATATTTCGCCCCAATTTTGCCTAATTCGAAGCGTTTAGCCCATTTTCAGAAATCGATCTGCATACAGCGTCCAGCGTCCTCCGAGCATAAGTAACATGGCCAGCAAGAATCCATCATGATACCCGTATTGTGTTGGACAATGTAGTTGAAACGCTAAACCTGAGCGAAAGAAGTTCGCCTATGAACCGAAATGATCCAAAGCTGCCAGCCTGTGTAGACAGGGAGCATAGAGATCCACCCATAATAAGTCAGCAACAAAGACGCGGATTTTTGTAGTGTATGGACTCGGAGTTTTGTTATATCTGAAGAGCTTCGGAATCTTGGGGTTTTGGTAGGTGAACGGGTTGACTATGACAGTTAGGTCGGGATTACCGCGCTAAAACTTGAAGAGCTTTGGAATAGATATCCTAAATTAATCCTAGCGGATAAAGGGCAACAGTATTTGAGGGAATGGTGGTGGGAGGGAGGAAAGATGTCGAACTGCAGCAGTTTGTAGTACCGTGACTTCATTGCACGTTCTCCCCTTTAACTTAAAGCCTCAAGGTTTTATAGATGACTCAGGAACCTGAAGAGTACTTTTGTGCAGCATATGGACAAAGCAGGTCTACTGATGGTTTATAATACAAATCTCCAAAACAAAAACAAAAATAACGCTACAGGTGTATGTACAGTAGTTGGACATCGTATGAAAATAGAAGTCTAAGGCCAGACACACTAACGCAAAAACAAGTGAAAGGAGGAGAGATGTTATGGGATTCATTAATATGAGTGGGGTGATCAGCCAGTGAATTGTTGAACGCGCTGCCAGTGTGCGATCTATGCTCAACAGAGCCCGAAGAAATAAAAAAGTGGTCTGAAAGTGGTAGACTGTTCTCGCAGAAGAGCTATGAATAATAATAACTTAAATGGAAAAAGGGACGACGTCAGCTCTGAAAAGAACAAGAGCGATCATTGAGGTACCACGAACAAGGCGTAGCAGGCATCATCCTTTGCCCTTTGACTTAAACCGGCAAAGTATCGATTAGGACCCAGGAAATCGGCCCATAAGGTGCCCTCGCAAAACAAGTTCCCCTTTCCGTTGGTGCGATTATTAAACTGTTTCGTAGCAATGGCCTGATTTGGTTTAGGCATCGCCGAAAACACATCTGGCGGAACTCTCGTGTTGAAGACATTGGATAGCTCTTTGAAGACGTCTTGAAGGGTTACACCAGCGGATCGGTTGCACACGACGATTGGGGGCAAAGCATGGCCGATGTTGATCTTGAGATACTTGACGGGCGGCTGTACTGCCAATTCATTAAAGTCACATCTCGGCTGAGAAACAAAGTGTTGGGTGATAACATCGTAAAGTAGATGCCAGGAACCTGGCACAAATACAGGATGTAAATAACAATGCCCAACGTGGGGCGATGCTATTGCAAATGTTGGACTTGAGCTCCCTGGGCATAGATGTCAGGAAGAGACGCGCCGTAGAGAGGAGAGCGTACAAGAGTTTGCTGTCGCGGCGGTGTTGGAGGAAGATCCTGGAGAGGAATAGATGCTTGACATGGCTATTATGAGAGACATGCGTAAGGTCGAAGAAGATTCATGATGCAGGATCACACATACGAGACTCGATGATAGTGTGGCTCAGGGTATGTATCTTAGTAGCAGGTGCATCTACGGCAGCATGAATAGGATGAACAAGGTGAGCAAGCAGAGAGCTCTACCAGATGTTTTGGGAGATACAACATAGTCCATGTTGGAGGTTTTAAGTGATCTCCCGCCAGCCTCTGAGGATACCTTTGTCAGACTCGAAGTCCCCCAGGTCAAAACAGATTCGGGCGTAGCGGTTCTTGAATTGAATTCCTCCTTCTTGTAAAAACCATCATGGCATACGGAATCGGGATACATAGGTGAGGCACGAGGCGTAGACGGGGGTGGGAGAATCGAGTCATTGCTGACAGCATTACTTATACCGGGCGCATTGTTGAGCAAACAACATGGTGTACAAAGCTCAGGAAGAATGCTAACGGGATGACTCAACAGAACAGACAACGTGGACGGTACCGCGGGATGACATACCCCCAACATCCACATCCACATGTTCGATAAAACCCTTGATGAGTTAGCGCCCCTTCCGACGAGCTGCCTAAAATAGGCAAAGGGTTCGGTCCAGTAAGTCCGAACGTCGGGTAGACCAAAATTGGAGTGATGGGCGGGCCTCTCCTGCTAGATAGAGACAAATTCAGGTTCCCGACAGAAGCCAACATCCAAATATCTGGAAAAGAGAATAGCTGCAAATATGGGCATATACATGTGCTGCGCTTTCCGAATTCGCATGGAGGACGACGAGTCACGAGCGCACCGCTCCGAATCGCCCATTCTTGGACGGGCAACGACCTGGAAGCTCACCGAAAAAGATTAAGATGATAACCGAAAGAGAAAAACTAAAATTGGCCGAAAAAAGTTGGTTGATTTTCATAATTTCCCATCACGTGCAGGAAGGTATTGTCCGTCGACGTCGTGTCGCACTGCCTGTGTCCTTGGATATCTGAAGAGTACATCAACCAGCGGCTGTATCGGAGCTGATCATCAAACATCGTTGAGAAATTTCAGCCAAGTGTCGATAATCTACGCCAGTATCTCCCCAATGCATTGGTAAGAATCGTCCATTTCGAACCAGTGAGCTCAGCCATGAACGTCGACGGGGTGTTCTTGACGAGACTGAGAGCACTTCTGGTTGAGGCATCAATAAAATATGACCTGATAGCTTGCCGATAGCGCTCTGTATAGCATCGCTTCTTTTACAAACCCTATCCAGAAAAAGATGTTCCTGACGATAAATACACGATTCACATTGCAAGTCAGCCTATGAGAAAAAGCTAAGATATCGGGCATCCCGCATTAAGGCGCTCTTCAGGATAGCGTAGCGATGACTGCATTATAGGCTGGCTTTGGCTGGTAGTTGGCATTAAATAAATCCGGCGTAGAACTGGCAATCCAGGAATTCTAAAGACACATAAAATCAGACAGCGAGTACTGACCAAGGGTTTACCTTACCGCATCACTAACTCCCCAACTAGTAATCGAAACGCAAGCGGGTGTGGCAACGCAGGCTTTTACGACGTTAGTATAGTCCGTAGGGCTGGCGCCTACAATATCGAGTTCGGTGATGGCTATTTCTACGCCAGCCGCGGATAGTGCCGTCAGAGCTGCTTGGGCACCACCGGCACCACCAGCTTGTAGATGCATTTGGGTACCAATACCATCGATAAGCTTCCCATTGGCGTTTATCTGTTTCACCAGAGCGACCATTCCTAAGGTACATAAGAACAATTTAGGATACATCTGACCCTGACGAACCTTGGACTTTGGCATTGTTCGAATCGAGATTAAAGTCATTGATGTATAATCTGTTCAATTGCTTTGTCAGTGAGTCGAGGAGCCCAGATGTTGACCGACTTTGCCGTGGGATCAGCAGCCCTCGCCGCCTGGAACGCGATGGTAATAAAGGACTTGAAGAACGGATCAGGAAGATGGGGGTAACAATAGTTAATTCGCATACTTCTCCGAGAACATTGTAGAAAACATTTGATTGCAGACTTCCATCCTCGTTGAGAATTTCGCTGAGGAGCTATCAAGCAGCTAGAATGATGAAGAAAAAACTTCCCTACTTGCAGACGTCCCACTATTATGAGATGTCAGTGAACGCTACAAAGCTAAGCAGCTGAGACCACGCACAGCTGCGTAAAATGTATTAGCACAGAAGATGAGCAGGTATGAGTGGGTACATACAATAGACTTTGCCCTTGTACCGCCCTGCAACAGTAGCGATGTGTTTTTGAATAACAGAAGTCTTTGGATCAGAATGAAAACCCAGACAGCTGATTGATTGACACCATAAAACCCACCAGTGTAGCTGGATTCGAAATAGCGGAGACCCATGAAGGGAGCTGATTATGCCATACTTGAGACGAGCATCAGAATCCAATTGTAAATCGGTAAACGCAGCAAACCAAAGGTATGCCCACGAATGATCTTGTTATTAGCTACCGCCCAATTGACCAGGAAGTCCGAGCCAGAGAAAGTAAACACCCCCTCGGTGTTCTCGGTTGCGTCCCACTGTCCTTCGGTAAATGTACGGAACGGAGTCGATAGTGCAGTGTCTGACCTTCATGGAATTCTCAGGTGTCACCTTCATCAAGAACGCCGTTAGTTCAGTTGGAAACCGAGAAGCACTCTTACCTGACCAAAATTAGAAATCAAAAGGGCTTCGTTCGCTAGTGAGTACACCTGTCAGTGTGCATGTGGGTAAATCCTTCGACAGCGACAAACCCGCAATGTCGATAGTATTTTGATCGGCACAAGAACCCTATTGCGCCATTGTTAATGTTGCATATGGCTAGCAGTGAGATACGAACCCAAAAATGTTTGCCTTTGGCAACTAATTTTGCATTCAGATCACTTAACCCGGTAGAAACGGGCCCAGAACTGGTTGTGGTAGCAATCGGTGTGCTGGTAGTCGGTACGTTGGAGGACGGCAGACATCTAACAAGTGTGCGACGATCGGTTTTGCACCCCAGGTTCGTCCATTAAGATATACGTACTGATAGTAATAGGCATTTAAAACTGTGCAGGTACTGCCACTGTCACCTAGACAAGAGTAATGAGAACCAAGCGCTGATGAAATGTAATAGCTGATATTTACAGACGGTCTGGAAGTCAAAAACAGTCAGCGAAGAACAAGTTGGAGTAAGGTTGTAGCTCACACTGCCGGTGTATCCTATCCCCCCACCTTAAAGACGCGAAACAATCAGTACGAGGTCGCCGTTAACAAGCGGAGGACGCACATTGACCCCACACAGCAACAGCAGTGGTTCGTTTCAAGATGGAAGCCAAGGTAATGATAGACAGAAGGCCGAACATAGCGAGAGAAGACTGCTTGACGAGACATCGGTAGTCCTGTATACGTTATATACCATTCTCCTTAGTCATTGAGCGGAGGAGTCTGGGTACTAGTTGAGTTCTTTACACCGAGGTAGTTCACTGAAACGGAGAATTTGTGACAGGATGTACGCCGCCTGAACAATCGTACTATCAAGGCGAGCTGAGCATTGTTCCGACGATAAACCTTGGAGAATAGGATTTTGATAGGTTGGCTGCTCATGGGTAGGCACGGGATCTCTGGATCACAAGCGAAGGAGCGCCAAGCTGAAGCAGTGGGACACAATGTGTACGGTACAAGTGAGTCTGTCACATCTCGGAAAAATGCTATGGTGCACAAAGCCTACGACGCTATTTTTGTGGGTATTGCTGACTTCAAATCCCCGCCAAGTTAACGGAGAACTGCCGCCAGATGAAACTCGACGATGGAATACCAGGGATGGGGATCAATTCTGAGAACGGTGTTCGGGCCGATATGCCAATGAGTGACAATAAAGTCAGGTGACCGTGACCGTTACGCGTCTTGACCATCCACCAACTTGACGCGAGACTTGGATCAATGCAAATGAGTACAGGTTCAAAGAAACGGACCATAGAGCAGCTTGCGGCCACAGTTTCCGACTCTACCGACTTTCCGGATATCGATACCGCACCAGGTCTCAGAACACTCGACACCGCGTTGCGCTGCCCCATCTGTTGCGAGTTATTCTCTGGGCCTGTAACCCTTCGCTGTGGACACTGTTTCTGTTCATTGGTATGATTAAGCATGTAAACTGTGCACTTTGCTGCGCCTCACTTTGTTTCAAGTGCATCAGGGGTTCCCTGGCGCAGAAGCAAGAGTGTCCGTCTTGCCGTAAAGGGGAGGAGAATGAGGGGCATTTGAGGGTGAATCCGGTTGTTGAGGAAGCTGTGGAAGCGTGGAGTAAGGCGCGGTACGCTGTCAATCATATCTTCGTCATTGGGCCCTATTAAAATCCAGCTAGACCTTTCATTCTCCAGTTACTGCATCGAGGAGGGCGGCTGTCGGGCAGCAACAGTTCCAGTGAGAGCGGACCATCTAACAAGCGTAAGAGGAGTAACCCTGATTCCGACTCGGATATCGAACTCGTTGCCCCGCCCTCTGGTCATAAAACAGGTATTGGATCCGGCACCGTCTTCTCAAAGCCGCAGGAACCGATGCTTGCAGCATCTCCGGCCGAAACGCCGTGTCCGGTGTGCGGGAAGACGGTGAAACATGAAATTATAAATCAGCATTTGGACAGCGGCTGTAAGACGTTCCACCTCAACAACTCGAAAACAGCATGGTCAAAAATTATGGGTCCAAGAGTCGATCCTGGGAAAAACAAGCAGACTCAGGCCAAAGGGAAAGAGAGGTGATCGTTTTAATATATGTCATGGCAGCTACAGATGAGCCAACTCTTCTCCAGATCTTTGAGTGTTGAGGGCGAAGCTCTTCCAAAAGTCTCTTATGACACATTAAAAGATAAGCAGATCAAACAATTACTTCAAGATCAAGGTCTCGCAACTTTGGGTAATCGAGCGCTTTGTATTGCTCGACACCAAAAGTACGCACCTTTCGTCTATATCCTTTTCTCTTAGTCTCAGTTGCTCTTAGATGGGTAATGCTTTGGAACTCGAACCTCGACAAGGCTCCAAAAAATCGGAAGTCGAAGTCACAGTTGAGGTCCGACCTTGATCAGTGGCTTCAAGAGAAACATGAATCGAAGTCAAAGGTGGTAGTAGAAGATACATTTGGCCATCAGGCGAGTTCCCATGTTTGCGCCACACGTCGTCTTGTTCCAATGTAGTAACTTCCATTCAGAAGAAATACGAGAGTGAATTCAAGCGACTGACAGAGGAGGCTAGACCGAAGAAAGCCGTGTCTTCACAGCTCTCGGATTCGCGGGAGGCAACGTCCTCAGAGGCAAAGTACACGGATGCAACATCTTCTACTTCAAGTCCAGTGAAGCTACTATCTCAGTCCCCTCAGTCACCTCATCACGACGGTGATAACAACGAGATAGAGGTGCTTTAATGGCAAAAAGACAAGTGTTTCCCAAATTGTATCATTATATCTTCCCCGCCATTTGATACCCATTTGTAGAACACATTTCATATCTACTAAGGAAATTAGTGTTTGTAGACCCTGTTTGCAACTCGCCAAAAGACATGTCAAAGCGAATGCTTCGCGGCTTCCTTGATGTCGTTAGTTTATGAAGATAGCGCGGTGGTAACAGACAGGTAATTCTCTGGCTGCTGCGCACGTCGCCACCCATTTTCGGATTCGAAAGCGGAGCTGTGGGTGGGATCGTGTTTCAGGGAAACGACCACACGGGACTTTTCGGAGATAATCGGATGACGAGACGAAATGTACGTTCAGTTCTTGGGGCTGGGCATTGAGGGCATGTTACCATAGGACAAACACGATCACGCTCAACGAGTTCCCCGATCTGATAAACTTATCAATATTGCAATATAGCTCAGACACAATCTGTATCGGGATAATGATGGCGGAGGGAACGAAAGCGCATATTCCATGCTGTTCCATGCCGTAGAGCCCGGGGAGAGTAGAGCGGGACAAGTAATGGACATCTATCAATGCGATTCAATTATACTAAACATTGTTCTTCAGTGAGTACAAGAAGCCTCAAGGGGGAGGACGGGTACAAGCACCAGGGTAAGCAACATCTGGGCCGTCTGCTCAACATTGTAGCGCATAACATTACCCTCAAAGAAGAAGCCTTCTTGTTCCAGCCGCATTGTAAACCCATATCCAGATGAAGGGATCAGGCCGTTTGTGGGGGCGCTTTGCGGTGATCAGGCGGTGATGGCCAATCTTCGAAAAACAAGGGCAGTGGACAATAAGCTGTCATCCCAAATTAGGCAGGTGTTATATTCATTCTTCGAAGCTCCGTTTGATATAAAGACCTCTGCAGGCAGTTGTGATGGTATCCTTTACAGCCGAATTTCTTTGTCTTTTTTCTCTCTCCCTTTCCCCCCCTTTTTTACCTTAATCTAATGTCTACTAGTGATCGCTCTAGCGTGAGCAGTTTTTTTCACCTTTTCATCATTCCATCCTAGACTAAATGGTTGCCATCTGCTGCAGTTCGCGTCCGACAGAGACCAGAGCTCTACCACTGGCTCTCACAAGGTCAGATACCATGCCGATGAGGATTGGGATTTCCATCTCGACGTGTCTCGCACACCTGTCGACCTCTCGCTGGTACTACCTCACTACCGCGCTCGTAACCAGCCTCTCGACCATCGGATGAACATGTTCGTTGGCAACGATTCTGGTCATATGAAATTAAAAATTGTGCGTGCCCTCCTTTCGTATTTTCCGTCTCCGTTCCTGATCTTTCCGCTAATGCAGTGTCGAAACTCTGTGAAAGCAAAATTCTACCTCGAGATCCAGTCCACGACTTCGGATATCACAGTGTGGTTACCATCCGACTTCAAGGGCCGGATACATTCAACAGGGAAAACGTCCTTTTCCTCTGGGTTCTTGAACCGGATTATGCAGAGCGTGCGGCTGAATGGTGTGGAGCATGATGGATTCGCCGAGGATGAGGTGGTGGTGATGTCTTCGGGGCATGTCACTTTCCGGATGTGGGATGTCCTTACGGGTTCACCGGAACGTACTCAGAAGGAGGTGCTGAAGAGAATGTTTGGCCGAACGCAAAAGGCACCCGAGATGTCGACGATGAACTGGGATTTCCTTCTCGAAGACTAAAAAAAAAGCACTGGAGGGTGGACTGTTGTTTTATTGACCATTCCTGCGTCCCTCGATGGGAATCCCTAGATTTATCCTTGTTCGTTCTTCCTTATGTCGGCTCTTTGGGCATTGCTTATTTACAGGGTTCATCACCCGGCTCAGCATATCATCGCTTCGCTCGCAGTAATTTCGCATACGCATTGTATAACTTCAGTAGCACGTACGTGTACATCACATGTAGCAATATTATATCAGAAGATTGACCCGGTTACATCACTGGTTAGCAACCGTTAATGGGCTATATTATATTGTACATCATTCAATCCTTGTTCATAAAGCTACAAAATTTACCCGAAAACTTTCCCTTGTACATGTCGTACAATGTCGAGCCAAGTTTCAGGCTAAACAAGCGCCGATTGTCCTTCGAGGCATGTATCAATCGTCTTGACCAGAGCAGGGTTTTCGAGTGCGGCTGCGACCCTTTCCTTGTCATTGAGCTGCTTATTCACTTTGAAGGATCGACTTGAACAAAGACGGCTAAAGTACTGCAATTCAGAAAGAGAACTTACCCGCTTCCTCGCTCTGATGAGATCCGGGCTTGACGATGATATCCACCTTGAAGCGATGAGGTAGACTTCTGAGAAGCCGAACACGAATCGAAAGACCTGATGAAAAGATTAGTACTTATTGACATACGGCAGCGCCGTAAGCAAAGGAAAGATACCTATTATTGTCGACATACCACAGTGAGGTACAGTGGGGGTGAATTCCACGACGATGTGGTTCCTCGAGACCGATATTTGCGGTGCCGAAACGACTTTGAGTTCCTCAAGTGTATTGGGGTACTCAGGGTCGTGTATCCATCGCACGAGTTCTATCTTCACTATCAGAAAACCCAGGATACGAATCGAAGCGGTCCTTGCCATATATTTCATCCTGATCAATGGGTTCTACGACATCATCAGCGTCGTTAGGAGCCTCGTCCTCATGATCAAGCCAGAGAGAAGTAAGATGTCGTCTGTCTGCGCTTTTTGCCGGCTTGACGATGACTGGGTTGGGATTGAAGACTTCTTGGACCATGGGTATCGTGAAGGTGAAAGGATGAGCAAGCTATGTTTCGTCATACGATGGGTGTGACATTACGTTGTCACGAGACGTCACAGACGCGATCTGTGTGCCAGCTATACGAAGCTTATTCTGTACAAACACCTCCTTTCCCACCAGACCACCTGCTCTATCGTAAACCGCCGTTACGAAATGCCACCGAAGGTTCTTGATCATACAACGATGTCGTTCGGCATTCACCTTGACGTACACACATCCAGCGAAAACAAGTTGGCGAGACGCCATCCGAGAGCAGTTCGACGCGAGCCACCCGGAGCTCTACACGCGCCTCGACTGAAAAAAAGGGAGGGGATGCGTCAGGCCCGACATCGCAGAAATCTACGAAAAAGGCAGCTGCAAAGACCACAAAACAGGCAGCCCCGTACGTCGTATTTTTTTCTTGCTCCGGGTAGATTTACCAGTTGTGCTTTTGATACAGGAAAGGCGCCGCTGATGAAGACGAAGTACGTTCGCAGTGCCCTTTCTGTCATTTTGGCCGTGTCTGACGGTGTGTTAGCCTCCCGCGAAGAAGGCAAGAACCAGCAACCTTAGGACCACGAAGCGAGGGAGGAAGTCAAACACAACGTACGGCAATTTGTATAGGCAACTTCGCGGGAGCTCATCTTATTTTTTTTTCCTGTTTATTTCTCGCTTTCCACGCTATCGCCTCGCGTCCTCCTACTCGCCCCTCCCCTTTCGTGTGCCACTATAACTACTTTGGCCGTACCGAAAAAGTGCCCCGGATAAGGTAATGACACGTGCCTTGTTCCTTTCCACGTGGCTGATTCTGTTCTATTTCAGGATCCGTTTGTCCTGTGAGTTCTTACTATCACAGCCTTTTCCTTTCATCTCCTCTATCACATCCTGGTGTCGTGGTGGCGGTCGGCGTTGATGCACATCTATGCGCTTATTATCCTTTCTTCCCTGCTGTTCTTCTAACGACGTCAACACCATACATAGCGACGACCTAGCCGGTCCCAGCAAGCCGGTAGCCAAGGTCGGGTTTAGTGTGCTGTTGACATTACATCCTGCTCACCGCCCGCACAGGCCGCCGGGGAATCCAAGAAGCTGGCAGCTGGCAAACTTGAACCTTACGCTTCCGCGCGTTCCGTCGCGCTCTTCGAGACATATGCAGACCCAGATACATCCGATGTCATAGGCCCTGAAGGGCTCGAGAAGTTGTGTTCGGACGCAAATATCCCAATGGAGGGAGCATTGCCCCTGCTCTTTTCTTGGCAACTGGAAGCTCAAGAGATGGGAAAATTCACGAAAGGCCAATGGATCAAGTGGACTTCCGCGCGCAAGTACGTCTCCTTGTTCCTTTGTCCCTGAAACACCGCCCCTTAGACCGCGCTCGCAGAATATCCACACTTTCTCAGATATACCGGGCATTATCAGACCTTGACGATCTCTTGATTGATGGGAAGCCTCCGTTGAAGCGTCCCACCAATGCAAAGAAGAATGATGAGCCATACGATCGAACCGCATACTGGATCTACGCTGCTGATACAAAAGACGCGTTTCGCAAACTTTACATGTTCTGTTTTACTCTGGTGAAGCCTCCGTGGGTCGTTCGGCTTCTGTCTTGTTATAGGCGCTCATAGAGCGCATTTCACAGGCAATCCCGGAATATTGACATGGAGGTTAGACTGTCTCTGACACTTCCTATAATGGCATGCTGTCTCGATACCTATCACTAACCTTAATTCATCAGACCGCCACTGCCTTTTGGACTGTGTTATTGGCCCCGAAGTCGCCTCTCATGAAGGATGTCCTGGAGTTTGTCGCTGTATGTCACCATGTTTTTCCGACTAATTGTGTCATATTGACATTGATATTCGTATCAGAGAAAGGGAGAGGTTTACAAGGCAGCAAATAAGGATTTATGGACCATGGTCAGATTTAATATTTCTTTCTCCAGCAGAAATGTCGTTCTCATCCTGACACAGATGCTTGAATTTTGCGAGACAATGTCACCGAATCTTGACGGATACGAGGCGGATGGGGTTTGCTCAAAATTTCTTCTATACAACCTGTTTTTACTCACTACTGTGGCAGGCTTGGCCCACTCTTTTGGATGATTTTGTCGCGTCGAAAAAAGGCTGAAATGAGGAAAGTGGATAGCCCTTACTCGCACTTCTGGAACATTGCTTTGCATTTCACAATGTTGTTTAGTCGTTACATGGTCGTATGTATGCTCTGGAATACTAGACAAAGCTGTTCCGTTTTACGCTTTGGGTGGTGACGATGGACCGGGAAATCCCGGGGAAAACAGATACAAACACTTAAGCATGAAAATTTTCTTCCGTTCGTTTTTCATTCCTTTGCCTTGTCCCAATCTCTTCTTTCATGGTAAGTGTTACTTCTCTCTTTTCTTTGCGTCGTCCGCACAATTCATGTGATGACTTTATTCTCTTCCCCGTCCTACACGACCATGCCGAGGAATAGAGTTTTTCTGTTCGCAACAGAAACGCACCCTACGGGGTGCACAGTGTACTTGCCAGTGCCATTTCGTCTGATTCTCCTCTATACTATCTCTCATCTGCCGTACCTGTTACTGACTACCACACTCTTCCACAGGTGAGCATCCTTTATCCCCCACTCCACCCACCGGATGAAAATTTCCGTTACATTCGCAGTTTCCACTCTAGTTGCCCTCTTTATGGAGTACTCCCCCAATGCGGAACGTCTATATTCCCCCTCCATACCAACCTGAACCCATTGGGTTGTGTCGAGCGTGGGCCGCCCCTTTGGGGGTGCGCTGGGCGGGAAGCGGGGGTCGGCACGATGCGGGATGATAATGTCCTTCCTTTGGATGTCTGATCCCTCTCCTCTTTTTCTGATTATGCGCCGGAAACGTTTGCTGATTTTCACCTCTTTGTTTATTTAAGGCGTTGCTGAGTGGTGACTTGGGTTGTGGTTGATGTGCTTTTTGTGCACTGTTGTATTATTTTATTATTATACATGCCTGTGTAAGAAGTGTGCTAATGTATGTGTTGACCAAGTCAAGTATTTCGCATCGTCAAAGTCAGAAAATACATGTTGTCTTCCGTCGAGCCGCACCTCCCACGACTAGTGTCATTTTTACTCAGGACAGTATAATATTACCACCGTTCGCTGCTCCCTTTGAATTGGGTCCTCTTTTTAGGTCTGGAGCCGTTCACCTCGGGCACGTCTCCCTGCCTTCTTTTTCTTGGCGGTATCATATGGTGACGATCGCGTTGACCGCACATCCCGACATTCGGGACCTAGTCCTGGGCCACTTTGAAATCGTCACGGAAAATTTTGTCTTGTCATGCCAATGAAAAGAAATTTGCTTCCTACATGACACGGTACTTTTTTTTTTGGGTTGCTCTACGTATCATTCAGGTGTGGATCCCATTATTCGGCATATCAGCACCGGTAGCATGCTCGGCTGTCGGAAAACTAGGTCTAGGAGGCTTTGGTTCTAGCTAAGTGATACAAGACTTGATAAATATCGCACTTGTACAAGATACATTAAGTACTCTCTATGTCCTCTAAGTAGTTATGCGGGCATCGATCACGTCCTATTCCAGGAGACGGTAGTAGACGGAAAGTTTAAAATCCGCTGAAGACGTGCTTCCGTTTTACTTGGTCGCTTTCTTCGGCGGCCCATCCGGATACAGCTAGACGGTCGCTGTGAGAATGTGAAGAAAAAGGGCAAGAAGTTGACTATCTCACCTTGCCGGGATTGAGAAGATTTTGAGGATCAACGGCCTTTTTGATCGTCTTCATTAATTCCACTGTACCCTCACCTAGCTCATCGATGAGATATTCCTTTTTACCGACTCCAACACCATGCTCCCCGGTGCCTGCAACCCCAGGATTAGTAGTAATCGACCTCCAGTACAGAAAGGCTACTCACACGTTCCATCCAAAGCAATAGCTCGATGTACAATGCGATGAACGGCATCGCTCACTTTCCCCAGCTCGTCGTCACTCTTGAACAGCAACAGCGCATGGAAGTTGCCATCGCCAACATGTCCCACGATAGTGCTCGAAATGCCAGCCTCCTCAAGGTCTTTCTTCGACTCTGCCACGAGCTGAGGAAGGCGCGAGACGGGAACGCTAAAATGAACGTTATAACACATTCTCCAATGAGGATGGAGAGCCGCACCAAACGTCCGTAGTCCAACATTTTGCACCGGGGCCTGCATAAGCTATCGACGACGTCAGAGCATGTTTCCTGTTCCTCCATAAATCAGCGGCTTCCTCGTCAGTCTTTGCGAACACGAAGTGGGAGCTGGAGTGCTTTTTGGTGATTTCCTGGGCTTCTTTTGCTGCCAACTTGATCGACAGGGGTGATCCTTGTATCTTGAAAAATAGGGTGTCGCTAATTGGATACGTGTGTTCGATGACTCCGCTCGTGTTTATAGCCTTCATCACTACAATGACGTTAGTAGCGCATCTCGACCCCAAACATCTGGCCTACTGTTGTTATCCAGAAGTTCGACGCATTCTATTATGATGACGAGTTAACACAAAGCTACAGGCAATATCATGGCACTCACGGAAGTTGGCGCCGTAAGGTGAATTAAGTATTTCCTGCACGGCATCCACAGCTTTATCTATTGAAGGGAACTGCGCCATGGCTACTTTCGTTGGGAGCAGTGGGGCCAGTCGAAGTGTGGCTTCCGTAACTATACCCAATGTGCCCTCAGCACCAATGAACAACTTAGTGGTATCAAATCCAGCGGCGGACTTGCGCGACCGGCGTCTTGTCTTGATCACTTCGCCATTGGGAAGAACAACAGTCAAGTTTAAAAACCACTCAGCCTTTGCTGTGCCGTACCTAACTGCATTAGCTGAAGAATGCACTTGGTTAACGCGTGATTGTATCCTCAGATTGAAAACTAAGACGTACTTCCACTGCAGCCAGTTCCAACCATACCACCGATTGTCGCGCCTGGTCCTGGGTCAAGCTGTAAAACACATTAGATGACGACTGAGTAGGATGTACGAATGGCTGACAGGAAAGAAAAGCGGGATCCCTTGTTCTTTGAGCGCTTGGTTGATGTCTTCCCATCTGGCACCTGCTTGACAAACGAGATCGGAGTCCGCCTCTAAAACAACGTTAGTTTACGGACAAGAGAAAATTAGAGAATAGGATGATTGCCGCCACCATCTGTAGTCGCACAACACCAGAACGTGCCCGCATGCACAAATAGATTAATGCGGTATCATATACCGAAAAAACGTGTGGTATCCCCCATATAGGCACTGACGGCAAACCTCTGAAGTCACGGGAACACTCACCATTTATCTGAATAATTTTATCCATCCCAGACACATCGACGCATATGCTCCCAGTTGACACCTATCAACCAATCTTAGCACAGAATGCAATGTTAAGATTGAGAAACGCACCCCAGAGAAATGACCTTCAAGACTCGTAGCACCAGCCGATACGACAATGGGTACCCTATATTCTCGAGCGATGTTAACAATTTTCACCACATCTTCCGTGCTGCTAGGCCGAACCTACATCCCTTCATTGAACGATTGGCAGCGTATCAAGGGAGAAACACGCACCACAGCTGAGTGCGGGGACGCTGGGTGGTACGAGTTGTCCGATGAGCCATAAGACTTAAGGACCTCCGGGTCGGTCGACACAGTGTCCTCTCCAGGTAACGCGAGCTTGAGCTTCTCAATAGCAACTCTTATTTCGCGTTCAGTACCGTATCCTTTGTCGATATTGGACTAGATGGCATGTTAAACAAGCTTCCTTGCACACACAAGCCATGACATACGAAGAGTATCGTGTCCACGTACTGCGTCGCGAGGAGTAGTCCAATAGCGTACGTGACTCCCTGCAGAAAGCTTCGTGCTTTCCAGGAATATGCGAAATGAGGTGACCAAGGCGAGTATCGGGAAAAAGTGCTGGGCCCCGTCGTGACGAGCTTAGGAATCGGCCTCTTTGCAGCGTAGAGGCGTCGCTGGACAGCTGGGAAGCGCCATGGCTGTCTCCCCAATCCCAGGCGGAACATGGTGGTCGTGAGATAAGAGGGCCGCCGGATTCCTCAGCTGACACTACTTCACCACCGCCATGTACAAAGTTAATCCGGCACGATTCCGACTATTGGTCGCATGTTGCGTGCTATTCGTGCTTTCCTTGAAATATTGGCGCGATGAATCCGTTGCCAGTGTACTGGATATCACGGTGTTCGAGTCAAGGCCGCGGCCGGTTGAGCTGAATTACGTGCTTCGAGAGCGACAACTGTATGCAAGAAGGATACGGTTTGCAGCGGTGAAGAGCCACGGGGCCTTCTTACAATAATAAGGCGCATACACCCATGTTATTGTACTACCATTGTTTGCATTCCAACACCGTGCAGACAAGTTTGTTTCATTATATACTAATGCTCGTTGTAATCTAATCTATGGGTTTGAATGCTTGCATATTCTCCATCATCTCCCTTACTTCTGTCTCAGCAAACACAGCAGCCTCCCTCGCAACCGCAAGCTTCTTCTCCAGCTCATCTGCCGTCATCGCTCTAACAACCCCATTCTCTTCAACCAACCCCATGTTGTCAAACCTGCGCAATGTATTTCCAACTCGCGGCATGAATCCATGCCTGTCCCAGCCGCCATCATTGAAAGCAAGGACCGCTCGAACAGCAGCAGTATTGATATCCCGATGAAGTTTTTCGAGTTTGGAAAGCTGAACCTCCATCCAGCGGGCACGTCGCTCGAGGGCCAGAGTCAACGCAGCAACTTCATCGTCCTTGCCTTGGCTCTCTTCACCTCCTTCATCGAGAAAATCATCTCCCTTTAACATATCCCTCAGTACGCCATCAAAGGAGGAACTATCGTCCCAGGTCGTGCGAGGCAGCAAGCGCAGCAGATCAGAGATGGTTTGTGTAAGCGTCTCCAGCAGCTGCTGGAAGGAAGAGACCGCGTTATCGATGGATCCTGAAGGGACACTGTTGGCAAAAGTGCCACCGCCAACCGATAGAGCAGACAGAGCATGCACAAGTGGTCCGTACTCTAGCGGCATCTTCGCAGCAGGGTTAATCTTTTGAAGATTGAAGAATGGGTGGTTTGGAAGGTCCATAGCTGGGTTCATCATGTGGATATCCTCTAGCAAATCTTCCAGGGGTGTGGGTCCCTTACGATCTACAGATTGAGAACGGGAATTTGTAGAACTCGAAGTCACAGTGTTTCCCTTGCTCGAGGGAAGGAGTGGTACGTCAGGCGCAGAGAATATAGTCGAAGTTTCCTCAGTAACCTGATCCTCTTCCTTAACAGATACTCTGGCAGGTTTCGCGATGGGCTTATTCTTTTTCGGTTTCTTGGAAAGGAGAGGAACCTGGATTGTTTCAGAGGGAGTCGGGGAAGATACTTGGCGGGTGACAGATTTCTCCAGCGCCGTGATTTTAGCGTGTTCACTCGCCAATTTAGCCTTCAAGGCATTGGCCTCCTTGATGGCATTACGCAATTCTCTATCCTTCTCTGCCTGGGCCGCCCTCGCTTTCTCAAGCTTAGCCAGCTTTTCCTCCCTTTCTGCCTTCACAAGACGTTCCTTCTCTCTCGCAGCCTTCGCTTCCTCTTTTTTAATCTTTTCTTTCTCCAGACGCTCCTTCTCCTGCTGTGCCTTTACAGCCGCCGCCTTCTCCTTTTCAGCAGCTTTTTCAAGGGCAGCACGTGCCTTCTCCGCCGCTTTCGCCGCCGCCTTCTCCTGCGCAATCTTCTGCCTCTCGGCCGCCCTTTCTGCGGCAGCGGCCCGTTTGGCAGCTTTGCGGTCCGCCTTCTCTTGGGCCTCAAGATCCTCGGGGGAGACTTCGTCTGTTGTTAGAACACTGGGAGTCGTGTCTATACTTGGTACTGCAGATGAAAGCGCCGGAAAGTCTGACGAAGACAAAATCGGGGGTTGCACGGCTGTGTCTATGGATACTGTAGAGATTGGAACAGCAAGAAAATAAAGCAACACAGATTAGCGTCAAAGAAGACGGTAATACTAGAGCTCGAGGAGAGGGGGGAGGGTATCAAGCGTATAGTGATGGTTTTAGCGTGATCATAACTTTTTTCTTGGCCGCAAAGTCGACGTGTAGTGAGACGGAAGGGGTGATAGGACGGTGCATCAAGGCCGATAATATATTTTCCGCACTGAGAAAGCACGGGAACTCGGTACGCTGTCCTCCCTCTCCTCAGAGGAACATGGAAGACACTCACCATTAATGGGTCCATCTCTCTCCATCCCTAATGCCCTCGGCATATTCGTACTAGCTTGAGGGTACACAAGTCCAGGAGGTGATGTATAGTTTAGACGGTTATGATCCGCTGGTTGATATCCCACGTCTTGACCAGACGCAAACCGGGCGGACATGATGGCTGGATCGGTGAATGGTTGATGTCCACTTGCGCCCGGTTGTTCTAGATAACAAGAGAAAAGAGAAAAACAAGAAGGGCAAAATGGGAATGGATATAGAATGGCATAGGGTACATTTATGCAAGAAGGGAAAAAAGCAAAGAGTCCCGTCAACACTCCCATCGAATCATTCATACAAAGAGAAGCGTCCTACCAGCAGAGCCGCTACGCACGGCCGAACTATTGGTTACCCGATCCCGACTTGATTGGATGAGATCTCTGAGATCGGCTTCACTGATACCGGCGCTGATACCGGAACTGAAAAAAGGGAAGCGGCCTTGCACCTGTGAATACGGCTGGGCCTGAGTGTGCTGTAACATGGGCGACCCCATCGCGGAAGGTGGCTGTTGGTAAACATAATCTTGACGTGAATGCAGTGACCACTGAGAGATGGCAGGAGAATGAGGTTGTTGATCGACAGAATTGTATAGCGAGTGCGTTTCACTTATGCTGTTAGTAACACTGAGAGGCGATGGAACGTGAAGAGGCGAGGATGCCGCCGTCGACCCTCGTCTACCCCGAGCAAATCCGAAACGCGAGACTTTCCTGGTTTCATCATCAAAGGAAGATTTAGTAGGAGAGTGCACTCGAGATGACTCCTCGTTTTGCTCTGCAAAGGGGTTGAAAGATCCAATATAGTTCGACCCTCCCGTAGACTGCCGCTCGATCAATGGCGGTGTCCGAACAGACATGGGATCGTAGATCGCCCGACTAGGATTATGGGGATGTGACAATCCTGGCGGTGCCATAAAGGCACTGGGAGAACCCTGGCGTAAAGCAGGGAAAGCATCGACATATGTACCAATGAAAGGAGTTTGTGCCTCAGCCTCAAAGTCAGGTAGCTGGACTTCTTCTGCATCGTCACCCGCAAGCTTGGGGTCTAGATTGAAACTAAACCCTCCGAAGCCGCCATCCCCTCCAGACAGATTCTGCAATGTACGATCAAAGTCGGGGAAGGGACTGTGCGCCGAGATAGATGGTGGAGGAGCTTCACGCCGGGCCTTAACATCATCAAGTAATGCTCGCGCTGCATTCGACATCTGATAAGAAGTCTGCAAAGCGAGAAGAGGAGTTTGAGGAGACGCTGTCTCTGCACGGGGTGGGCGCGCAGGAGAAGGAAGACCTGGGGGTGCTGACAGACCTGGGGGAACAGAAGGCGGCAGCGACTCCGATGACTTGGTAGGGGAGACAGAGCCTGGCTCCGACTCAGCATTGCCAGATGGAGTAGGAGATGGCGGCTGGGCGGGGACTGAAGACTTCTTCTGCAGTGACTTTGCCTCAGCAGGGGTTAGAGGACGCGGTGGAAGTGACGCAGGCGTGGAAGGACGAGATGATAGCTGTGATGTGCTCTTTGCAGACCTTCGATCCTGCTGCACACGAGCGTTCGATGGTCGGGACTCAGTTGCAACAGGACGAATTTGTCTACTGCCACCCCGACGGCTCTGACGCGATACAGGAACAGTTGAAGACGACGAAAAGTTAGAGGAAACACTCGTTGACGCGGCAGGTAGCGAGGTTTTGTGTCCCCAAGCCGAAGCACGCGGTAGTCCTATCGTAAATGTTCAGATGTTCGTAAGTAGAAAGTCCAAAGAGGTCTTAATGCGTACCTTCAGCTTCTTCCCCTTTCTTTCCCATAACTGTTCTTGTTCGGCTTTCTGTCGCTTTGATCGTATGTTTTCTAGAATGCAGTGAGAATAAGAACACGAGAGGGAATGAAACAGACAAACAAAGTCGTCAGGTCCTCCTTCGTAAAGCAGTCCTTTTCGTCTCCCCATTCATGCAGATTCATGCAACTGTGATCACTACATGTAGCGCCCCGCAAGAACGCCATGCAATATTTAGTTGTTCCATAGCTGGCTCTCATCACATCTCGGCCGCCACCTGGAGATGGTGTGCCGTCAACAGCGGCGATGGCGCGTGCGACATCTTCTCGTCTGTGATATGTGATATATAGTCCGACGACGGGGGCACCACCTCCCGACGGTGTCCTCTTGACCAGAACAATCTTTGTAATTTTGCCATATTGACCAAAATATTCGTTGGAGCGTAACGTTGGAATAAGCTGCACGAAGAAAATGAGCATCGTGCTGGAACTGACATGAAAGACTGTACCTCTTCCTTGGCAAATCGAGGACCTATTCCGACTACGTAGACGACATTGCGCTGAACGACACGCACATTGGCCAAATGGCGTCTGCCCAAAGCGTCGAGCTCCTTGCGCTCTCGTTCGCGTTGCTTCTTCTGCTGGGTCAAGCGCTTATGGCTAACAAGTCAAGATGCAATGAGCATGCCAAGGAAAAGAAACGACCACCAAACAAACGCACTCTTGAGGTGAAATAGGCTTGAACTCTACCCCCTCATCTGTGTACACCCTCCGGCAAGCCGGACAACGCTTGTTCAGATTCTCTTTGATGTGATGCCAGCAGAAGCGACAGATCTAGTCAGAAGAATCAGTGAAAAGGTACAGAAGAGCCGTATGCGATGTTTTACCTGGTAACCACAGACACAAGGCTTGAAATTGAGATCTGAAATGTCCATTTCTTCCAAGCAAAGCGGACACTCTGCATCTTCCTGTATATTCGAAGTAGACAACGAATAATGAGAGGGGTGTAGATCAAAAACGCTTAAAGACTGACTACTTCCTCGTCGTTCCAGTACGCGTCCTGGACGCCAGCCAGTACGTGGGACTTGGACTGCGAAATGGAAAATCCCTGGTGAACGACGGGCGCTGGCAGCGCATGGTGAGGATGAACTCTTGTAGCAGACATGGTTTACGAAGCGTTAAGGGCGAAGACGTTGAAAAGGAACGCTCGAGGATATGGTAAAAGGTAAAGCGGTGAAGCTGGAAACGCGATGGTGCAGTGACAATGAGGACTAGTATTACCTAAGCGATTTTGTTTGTTTGGTTGCCATCTCTTGCCGACACGATGCCGTGCAGTCTTTGATTCTGGAGCACAGGGGTCGACTTGAACTCGACTTTGCAGTGGGCCAGACTGTAAGCCTTTACATACTCAGTGCTCAATACCGACCGAACGACATTCGTCGCCTGTATACCGTTATCTCCAGGTCTTAGTACACTACGAGTCTCGCTGTTCTGTTGTTTGTCTGCTGTCGTCGCCCGACTTCCGTACATTCCATCAAGTTCCTGGTCACTCATTTAGCACACTCAGCTGGATCGACATATGCACCATCAAGCCGGCCTCGACTTCCCGAGTCAGCTGCCCATGCCCTGGTTGCCCTCGTGGATTTTAGGCTCACCTCGTTTACTCCCTCTAAGATCCTACCGATGTCGAGCTCTAGCCAGGGTGAAGACTAGCCTGTCTACACATCCATCCTCTGTCCATTCTGAATTTCCAAGCCTTCGCCGAGGGGGTTACAATCATGGGGAGAAAGTAACCAAGGAAGTACCTCGGACATCTTGGAGCCGGCGCCACTTTGGCCAAGTACCTCGTTCCTTCCTCGAATGTCAATAACCTCAGATGGACACGGATTGCTGGTTTTGAATCATGTACGAGAACCTAAAATGGACGCCTCAGCGCACCGAGCACGGACATGGACGAACTTACACCCACATGGGATGTTATTTATCGTTTAAAATATCCCATTTAATCTCTGCCCCGTCTCCATACCTGTTTAAAAGCCATTCATTGGCCTTGCGAAAATGGCCATTCCCAATAAATCCTCGATGAGCCGATAAAGGTGAAGGATGTGGAGATCTGGAATAGCTCAGACTTGCAAACTGTCAAGATGCACTGAGAGCTTTACCTCAGAACCAAGTGTTTTGTCTAAAGAATTAGGTCAGCGCCGAGACAGTACAGATGGTAAATGGACGGACTTCATCAATACCTATCTTGTCACATGTCTTTTGGGCGGGAAGCCCCCAGGCCATGAAGACGACACCTTTGCCATCAGCCCTCGAAGTGACGGCTCTGATGACCTGAGTAGTGAAAGTCTCCCAGCCCTTACCAGCATGAGAATACGCTTTATGCGCACGGACTGTGAGGGAAGTGTTAAGCCAGAGTACTCCCAAGCGAGCTATTGGACTAAGGTTTCTAATGATTCTCAGTCAGCGTTAGAATAGACAGTGAAGGAACCCGTCAAAGTACCCGGTTTGAGGTATTACAAAGGAAGGTATATCATTTGCTATCTGTTTATAAATATTCTGTAGCGACCCAGGTATCTTTGTTGGCGGCAAAACTGAAAACGATAATCCTGATAAAGACATAAACGATCAGCAGGTGATAGATGTAGTGAAGAACAAACCATGCGCTTGTCCAACGTTGTGGTACGGATCCTGAGGTTAAGTGTCACCAATGGAGTGCCAAAGACAGCATATCTTACTTGACCGAGGATAACCACCTTCACAGCTTCAAGAGGTGTAAGCCGCGACCAAGAATATATGTCCGCCACTATTGGCATATGAAATTGAAAATTGTAGGGCAATGGAATGCATACTTGAGGGGTAAATGGTGTGCGATTTATGCTCCTGAAGTAAAAAATGTTTCAGCTGCAACATAAAGTAAGCATTTATATACGACAAAAGACATCGAATAAGCAGCACTCCCCTTCAAAAAGTAATCCTTACTAAATTCAGTTTGCAATGCGTTGTACCACGATTTGTGCATAGTATCTAGCTCGAGAGTAGACAAGATTGCTGCAACGGTAGGTGGTGGCAATGCCGACAAATTGTCCGTTGTGGCACGGTCGACATGGGGTATATTATGGATTACTGAAGACTTGGTAACACTAGAAGCAATGAAGCAGTCAGAGTTGGTTGGGGCTGGTAAAGCAGACTCTGACCCCAAGTGGCCATTGGAGTAAAATGGCTTACCGAGTAATGGTTCTAACAGATCTTCCGGCGCGTGATGCTGCCATAGTGTGAACGGATTCCGATTCCAGCTCCTCTATAGTAGTTTTATGTGTATGCTTGGGCATGGTATTCCTGCCTGAGGTCGTCGAACAAACGAGTGCAGTTGCAAGAGACGCGTTGTGTGGTCGTATTGACATCGTCCGAGTTCAGCGGTGACGTCACTTGCCATCAACTGATCCTCGCCGATTCGCTTGCATACCTCAAAAAAACATCTTCTTGCCAGTGCGTAAAGGCTATTGAAGTGATTCCATTCTGTCCAGTAAATGATACAGATAACAAATACTTGAGATACAGTAGCATAGATTGCAACAAAGCATATAACAGAATAAATGCAGGATAAAAAATGACCTATTGCTTACACGTACGTTCGCACGAATACTCCCCACTCTTCTATAACTTTCTTCACGATACCATCCCATTCCCTTCCCGCGTAGGGACCTGATGTGATACGCTGAAACTCGAAGATTTCTTTATGAATGGCCCCACCTAGGGAAAGCTGCATGAAACAAACGTCTTTGTGATAATATGAATAGACTCACAATCCTGACACGGCTGGCCCCGCCCACCGTTTCCATTGCCCATCCTACCATTTCTTTTCTTCGGAGAAGCAACAGAAGACGGTGTGGTCGAGATACTCCCGGTGCTGGCTCGTGGGCCCGCCTTGGGTTTGGCGGCTCCTTTCCCTTTCCCTTTTGAAAACGACTTCCAGCCCGGCTGAAGATATGCCGCATTTACCGCCAGGTCCGCCAATTCGAGGTGTATCAGCCGCTCTAAACCAGTTGTTAGGCCATAGACGAATTCCTGACAGTGGACTCACCCAGTCGGTGGCACCAGACGTCCTCGTTCCCACCCTCCGGCAAAATGACACGTCCTTTCATCAAGGAAGTCTCATCTCCGCCATCCCCGACGGAACCAGGGTAGAAACCTCTAAGAACCTGCTCCTTTGAACCACATTGTTTGCCCCACTCATTCAATCGTTTCACAACATTGACCGCACGTCCGACTTTGAGCTGGATGGTTTTGCTATCGTCGGGGTTCCTAATCTCAAAGGTATAGATATACCCCTCGACATCGGACTGAGAACGCGCTTTCTCCATCTCTACACGTAGAGCCACTTGTGTATCTGGTTGAAGATATGAAGGGATGTAATCTAGAGCAACACAGTGAATACAAATACGCGTAATGAGACGTGCAAACGCATACCTGCAAAGTCGATCCACTCTGACCCTTCAGCGCCCTTCCTTCGGACGTAAAATCCGCTAGGGTCAAGAAGTTCTTTCCTATGCTGATGACAGAATCGTTCCACTCCAGGCAGCGCAGCTCCCCAGTTCTTGACTTGTCGTATGCAGCGCCTTCCCGTCTTTGTGATACCAGAGCATTGGGTATCTGGAGACGCGTTTGGATCTGGAGGTGTTGACGACGCGCGCGGTCGTCCCATTTTTGGCTCTGCTGCTGGTGACGAGCTTCGTGCCGAGGGCGAAGGCGAGGCAGGGGTCGAAGATAGCACAGGATATCGTTGCCGTGGGACCTCTGGGGCTGAATGGGCCCGGGGAGGTTCCTCTGGCAGTGGAAGGTTCAAAGCATGCTGCATGGTAAGAGACACAGCTGGATGGGGCATAGTCATTGCTGGAGGACGCGGTAAAGGTTGGAATCCGCCAACGAATGAATGCGTCGTTGCATAGCTTGTCCGTGTAGGCGATGGCAGAGGCTCGTGAATGGTGAGGTTGTTGAAAGCATCCACTGGTGGCTCGATGTCGGCAGGCTTTGGTGGACTGGGCTGCCTTTCTTCGAGGTCCAAGAACTTGGCAAAGAAGGCTTTGGCTCTGCCCATCGTGGTGGATGGCAGGAGGGCGGTACCGTGGCTTTTGTCAGAGTCCAGCCTTCGCATCAATATCGGAGAATCGGACCGGAGTGTGGCAGTAGTCACTTTCCTGAGTACCTCCCATAGTGACGGTCTCGACATCGCGAAGATGTGTGAAAGTAAATCTACGGGCGAGTACGATAGTAGGCAAATTCTCTCTTATATACTAGCAAAGCAGAAAACAAAGACAAGTGGCGCGAATGCTTCGGCATTTTGTTTCGTCAGGTAGGAGCTTTGGCGATGGCTTGAGATATAACCAATTGTATCATCGCGTCGCCAAATCTTCAGTACAGCTGGATGCGCTCCAAAGCTGTGCGAAGCGCAAGGCAACCTATTTTCTTTTCTTCACAGCTTTTCTCTCCGTCTCGAACCTGGATCGCTTCCTTTTCTTCATCGGTACCTCATCCTCCATCGCCGTAGACTCCCTCCTAGCATCCCGGCTTCTCTCAAGGACTGAGCCACGCTTACTTCGCTGCCGAAGCTCAGCATAGCCATCCCCTTCACGTCCATTTCCACCACGGTCAACATCGCGCAAAACATCTGCAAATTCGTCATCAAACCCTCTTCCACCACGACGGACGCGGCCTTTGCCCTCTTCCCTGACACCGCTGAGGCCACCACCCATAGCTAGAGTCTCTTCATCTCGTCTTCGTCTCCGCGCCTCCTTCTTGCTAAGCATTACTCGGCCGAATTGCTCTTCTTCAAATTCAGTCAGCCGCTTGAGGTAGCGGGCACGGGATGACTGGTTATTGAGTGATGGCGTTGAGCCCAAGCCGGATGTGGATTCAGTATAAGGAAGTGTGGGATCGGCATGCCGCAGAGCGCTGAGCGAAGTAGGTATCGGTGCCCGTTTCTTGTTCTTGTCTTTCACAGTGGGGAGATAAGGCATGGGAGCCAACCGCGGAGGGTGGTAGATCCCGTCGTTCGAAGCCGTTGGTCCATCATTCCCTCCTTCTTCCTCACCCTCTGATGCTTCGTCATCGTTGTCGATGAGGTTCTCGGGGTTAGGTCGAAAGGCAAGTGGATCTACGATAGCAAATTTAGGAAGAAACGACATAAAACTTGATGCTTACCATTTCCCACATCCGCAGCAGCATCGTCTTTGGCAAGTCGAACCAATTTGTCAATTTGATATCGCATCCTGCCTTCCAGAACCTTTACTTTCTCAAGCACAATTCTGCTTTCTATCATGGAGTCGACAAGGTCCCCAGGACCACCTCCTCGGGCATCTCGATCTGGATCGCTGAAGGGTTGCTGCGGAGGACTTCTGGTCGCAAGACTATGTGAAAGCGCTCGACGGCATGAAAGCAGCAGCAGAGACTGTATGTAACTGAGCAGAATGTGGTTCTTCAGTGATAGAAGAGATATTCCATCCGATGTATCACTAGGCCTGGGAACAGCTGTTACATTCAGCCTTGGAAGTACATGCAGACGACGCAACGTACTTGGATGCCAGATCTCGAATCACCTCTCGGACAGATGAAATGCTCGTAGCCATCTCATTGTGCAATGCATTTACTTGCGCGGTCATATCATTCTCTCCGTCCATCCTGTTAAAAGATTGTGAATGTCAGGTAGAAAAAAAAAAACAGCCAGGTAACGATGAAAAGTCAGTCAACGGGTTTCTAAGCCGCCGCTCGTAAGCGTAGTGCATTACAGCAAGATGAATTCAGAGCCCAGTGCATTTCATCCCTTAATACGACTAGAAAGCAACTTACACGTTGTCTTCACGATGGTTGATCAAGACAGAGTGGATGGCAGAGAAAATTTTCACAGTATTTGCCTAGCAGGATGCAGCCAAATTATGACGCATCAATTACATTTTCCGAACCTTTCGCTCGTGTTTTCACACACCATTTGTGATTCCCTGCCTTCCACAATGTGCTCCGCTGTTCTGGGAACTTCGCATACTTGATAGGTCTTCCCCCGTGACCGGTGCATGTTTCGGTTCAATTGAATGTCTCCCGTGCCCGTAATGACGTGCAGGTTTGAGTCTTACATTCCCATGGGTGATATCATCAGAAACAGTCTCTCTGCCCAACGTCTCTGCCCATGACGATGTATCAAGCTCATCAAGGCCATCGTGAAATCCCGCAATTTTATTCGGACAATATCGCGGAAAATGGTTTCAAGTTCTATTCTGTCTCTACGCTCGACCTAAATCCTTACGCCGATGTTACAGTACGTCTGGTTCCGGTCGTAGCCTATCCGACTTGACTAATTTCTTACTGTCTAGTCTTCTGCCGATCTCCCCGATAACATGACTATTGGAGGAACGAGCAACTCGGGCCCCGGGTCGGAGCCAGCAAGCACAGAAGGCACCACCAATAATGGGGTCCGCGTAACAACACCGGTATGTGCAACTTTCTCGATATTCGGACGGTTTCTCACTGTCAGAAGTCTGCAGACGATGGTCATGGCAACAATGAAGAAAGTGTTGTGGATGTGTCCACAACTTTCTTCCCCGGAATGATAAGCCATGAGCCTGCAGACATCATTCTCATCTCATCTGATAACGTCCAATTCCACGTTCATCTACATGTGCTTTATGACGCATCAGGTAATGGCTTCGCATCCTTGCTTAGCACCTTGAGCAGCACGCGCCAAGAACCCGGAATCCCCATTCTAACCATCCCAGAAAAATCGGACATCTTAAACGTCCTTCTCCTGACGATCTACAGTAAACCTATCGCCGATTATCGTCCTATGTTCAATATCCTGGTCGCAGCCGTGCATAAGCTCAAGGAATATGGAATCCAACCTGAGCGTTACGTGAAGCCTGGGCAGCCATTATTCGAGCTCATTCGCTTCCATATGCCTCTTCATCCTCTCGATGTATATGTTCTTGCCGCCCACTATGACCTCTTCGAGCTAGCGGTGGCAGCTTCGTCTCATCTTCTCTCGGCCAGACTTGATACCATCACGGATGAACAGTCCATGCGTATGGGAGCCGTTTACCTCAAACGCCTCTATGGTCTTCATAGTAGGCGAATAGATGCTCTCAAAAATATATTGATCCGGCCACCAGAGCCCCATCCTTCTACCTCTACCTGCTGTCTCTCCGACCAGACTGGAGTTTCGAGGGCATGGGCGCTGTCTGCTGCGTACCTCATTTGGGACGCTCGACCTGGTAAGTATATTGCGTAAGAGATTGTCGAAGATACTTAAGAATGTGGGTCCCTGATCCCAAAGACATGTCCCTCAGATACATCGAGTCGACTATGGGTGCGCTGAAACAGCACGTGTCCTGTGAAGATTGCAAGGAGAGCATTGATGCCCAAGTCAGGCAATGCGTTGCAGATTGGTCCTCCGTAAAGGTCAATCAGCTGTTCATCTAAGAGAATTGTTACTGAGTAGTCTAACTGACAGCAGTGGTCTATCTAACGGAAGAACTCTGGGTTAATTTCGCACCGCTTACTTGGGACTTTAGGATTTTTAGTGTCATTGTACAATGCTACCGTTAGGACTGATGGTTTATTGGTATATCGCATGATGAGCCTGAGTAATGGACCATGACGTTGACCCCTAAGACAGTATAAACACGTTGACATCCTTGGGCTTCAACGGCGACCGCTCATATTGAGGCTTCTCTACCATCGTAACATAGGCAATCAAAAACATTTGAGAAGGATAAGATGTGACAGGCCACTCGTCAACCGGTATTTATTGTCAGGCCGCTGCCTTTCTCCGTCGGGGTGCAAAGTGGTGGAGTGCCGCGGATCACCTAGTACAGAGGGACGGGTAGCAGAAAGAGCCTCTGCTACTGATCGCAGGCCACAGGCTTGCACTGGCTCGATTTCGGACTGAGTTCACAGTAGTCTGCCTGTATCCTCGTGGCCCCCGACGGGTGTGAGTGCTCCTACAGGCTCACCGAAGCGGCAGATATAGGCGAAGAAAAACTTGGACGTCGAACGGTTGGCCAATAGAATTTGCGGTGGCGTAATGACGACTGAAGCCAACTCGGACAGGGCTCTATGTTAAAAAGAATCTAAAGTAGTGAGATTGCATATGGGCAGGCTACTTTTCTCATAGACCTTCAAACAGTTCGGAGGAAAAGAATTTGTCACAGGTAACACGAATACTGCCCATCCAAGGGACCTTCCCATCCAACTAGCTGTACCTCAGAACTCAAATAAGGATGGAAGGTAATAAAGAGGGGCTTACCGCCCATCCAACAATCTAACAAATGGAAAGGATCACTTGATTTTGGCGTTAATACTATAATTCACGGACAGTACGTATACCACCCACTATTTCCTCTTTATTTGAACCAACCGGGCATGATTGGCTCCCCAAAAGGCTTCTGTATTTGTGAAGTTCATCTTAGTGAATACCTGAAAGGATAGGATACCTACCTTCATGGTTGGGCTCATATACATCACATTCATTCTGTAGTGACGCTCATGAGGAAATGAGAGGCATCCAGTAAATACCACTCACAAGGTAGGCTCCAGAATCTGGCGAAAAGTCTCTCAGCCATTGGGTGACCGCGCTCAGGAGATCATATTGAGTTTGCATATCCTCAGCTGTAGAATTCCAGCTAAATATTCTAGAACTTGACATCTGTTTACATAAGTTCAATAATGTTAAATCGCATGCAGACACTACAGACATGCCACAGCGCATTTCGCCACGCTGGAGTAACACTGGTAGATCCTTCAGTATAATTGTACAAGAATGGTGTCCCGACCACGATATAAGGGTTGATCGAGAACTGCTGTACAATCTTAGTCAGAATATCGAGTAACCCAGCCTTGACGCTGTCAGCGGCAAACTTTTCGGCCGGTATCAAACGACTTCCGAGAGTGGTCTCCACCCCGACGCCCTAAAAAAAGATGAGTGTGTGCCCATTATAAACGCGGGAAATCATCAACTCGCAGCTTCAGTAGATAAAACGTATTTTGTGAAAAATGCCAGCCAGGAGGGAATTTCTTCTACTATTGCGGTTCCGTTTTACGCAAGAGCGTAATCGACGATGGCTTGAACAGATACCCGAGCCTCCTCCAGAGTCAGCAAAGGATTGACATTGATTATGCCGTTAGACTATGTAAATCCCATAGACAATATTAAGGGTGTGCAGTACAGCAACTTCAAACATACCCTCATATGGCCTCCCCACCCTTCAGTTACCCACCTGTATGTATGATCCACGAGGAGTTTCATAAATGGTGCGCCATTCTCAACTGTTTGTGGGAAGGATATGGCAGTGCTGGTCCTCCAATGTTGAGATCTATATAAAGAATCAATCCAAGGCTGAACGCTCACACTATAAGACTCATTTGCGGCTCTACAAGCATGGAAGACTCGAGAACGATGCCAAAAGTCGATCCACCTCCACCCCGAAGCGCCCAGAAAAGACCGGGGAGGGGCCCATGTGGTTGAACGGTCCTCTGGGTAAACCAGAAGGTCCTGGGTTGCGTCACTGCGCAAATTCGATCCCCCGTCAAACTAATGGGAGGTTTAGTGGGTATCACAAATGTTGAGTCCCACACTGTTCGGCAGAGGTGCGTAAAATGCATTCCTACCCGGTCCATTCCCCGGGTTTAAACTCCTGGAGACTCCTTTGGCTGCACGTTGGAAACGACTGTGTCGCTGGACCGTCTCCGCAAAAGCCTCCACCCCCGCTCAAAAAAAAAAAGAAGAAAAGATCGGGGTGCTGAAATCCATCTGCAATTCGAAGCTCTCCATCAGGTGTAACAATCTTGAATTGAAGCTTGTTTATACATCAGTTATGACACAAAACAAGCTAGCAAATAACGCACTACACGGTCTACACCAAGCCCGTAAACAGGTGCTGAGACGCTATGGCCACCTCCTTGATTGGCATAAATTAGTTTAAGTTGTCTGATCAAGGCCCGAGTTACTTGCCATAACCCATCCGCCGCTGGGTGCTACTGTTTGATGGTGACGTTATTTGCGTCAGCAAATTCATAGACATCTTGAGATGGTACATCAGCCTATAGAAAGAATGGAATGTTGTATTCATTCGAGTCCAGGTGAGCATACCCCCATGTGGCTATAGCTCTATAGCTCTTGTTTCTTCCTTCTGGGATGAAATCCGCCGCATATCTCAACTAAGAAGGACAGTGAGTTCGATGAGGCTGTGACTTGGATGACTCGACGTACGCCGCCGAGATTTCGGGTCTGAGAAAAGGATCAGCTAACGAAACTTTGGAACAAACAATCAAAATGGCAAACCCATAACGAAGTGAGCCACGCAAGCTCGACCTACCCTTGTATTCATGACCGGATGCTTTGATAGACAGATGAAGGCTGGTGGCTTTCGAAAATTCAAAGGCTTTTTGAACATCAGAACTTTCAGACTTCAAAAAGAGAATTGATACTCGTCACAGCTTTGTAACCATTGCTCGAGCAGTACATGATTTTCATGGAGGCAAAGTAATGCAGGAAGCCCTAGAGCACGGTGAGACGTGCGCAGTACTGTATAATGCGGGACTACTACTTCCCGATGCTGCGGAGTATAGTGATATAGTGAGCTATGATGTACACCAATCTATTGGAAACATTGAACGAGAATCCTGACAATGAAAAGGCAAAAATACAGACGTAATGCGTAGACACGCTTCCCTGAAAACAATCACTCTTTTCGAAGGCAGTTGGGTTGCTCGTATTGGAGGGATCCAACAGGCACCTTTCGGAGGTCTTCTGACACATCTCCCATTGCGGCTGGTCATTTCATTACTATTGAACGCGCACGCACTATTAATCAGACTAATTGCACTCACCATCATATATGCACTAAAATGTGACGATCGGACTGTCGCATTTGCATAATCAGCTTGAACTTCAGCGCATTCCGTCTCGTTGGGGATGCTTGATGCCCCATTTACAGTCGAGAAGCACGAAAACGCAAAAGGTAGAGCACGGTGGAGTTGCCCTTCCAGTGAATAAGCCAAGTTATGCCAGTCTTGAACAGTCGGCACTGCTGAAACAGACCAGGAGATAACGCACAAGACACCAAGACGCCTCGAGAACATTGGGAACGACAAGAAGGGTCAGCAAAGGTCAACTTTACATTAACAGATCCTGTGCCTTTCTGAGCGGAGAGTATGTTGAACAGTGGACCGGGGAATCTGGGAGGTCACGGCGGCGAGACTTCATGGCGACGCGAGTGGAGCGAGGATCAGCCTGGAACAAGAAAATAGGATTTATCTACTGTATGTCAGTAAGGTACGGTATGAGTAAGTGTAAGGTACTCACATCTTAGCAGACAGCAAGTCGCTAAGATGTGTGGCTGTGTAAACGGTGAAAATTGCGAGAGCCAGTAACTAATTTAGAGTCCGTACGACTGTACTTGCAGTCATGGCTCGTACTCTCAACAGAGTGGTGTGAAAACACATCTAGGGAGAGGGATAGAAAAAGATAAATCGTAAGCATCTACTTGCCGGCTGCCCCGACGGCATCCGCCTGGTAGTTCCTCATCTACTTGATCTAGTTGGAGTTTATGTCGGTATACTTATGGAGTGTAACTATTGAGATTACAACGACATGCGCTTGTAAGGAAGAAAACGGACGTGTAGTCGCTTCGGGCTCGAGTATGAGTATATGAATGCTTGAAAGCCAGAGCAAAAGTAACTGATTGCAGGGTTGAGTCATGCGCACCGTTGGGCAGGATGAAGAATATTCGATACCTAGAAATGAGACAAACTGTATCGTCCAAGGTTTGTGAGATTGTCAATAGTGGACATGATAAAGATGGGGTACTTTATAAATGAGTATAATGATACAGTATAACGAAGATCCTGCCACCAAAAAGATCAAGAAATGTCCATTGTATCAAGCTCGGCTTCATCGAGGTCCGAGTCGTCCCAAAATGCCTCGGGTATGTCTTCAAAGTCTGCCAAGGCAGCTTGCCGCTCGCATTCGTCTGCATAGGCCTGCAGCTCCGCAATCTCGCGTTCTTCTGGTGTGGTTTCCTCTCGCCTAGGAGATGACTGCAGCTCTGATTCTGCGGAGAGATTCAAGTCATTCCTAGTTGTCCATGCAATGGCAAGGCAACCGTACCGTGTAATTCAGCCTCCCAAGCGCCCAGATCCTCCATGTCCGGATCCAAAGATGAGCCAACTTCATTGGCATAAGAAAGCTTGTAGGCATGTTGTGTCCGACGGTTGGCATGCTCTACGATCCTTTTGAAGAACTATGGAAGCTATGAGCGCTTGCGGCTCTCCAGACACGGCCGGCGACGTACCATGTCTTTCAAAACCTCATCTTCCGTCTCTTCCTTGTCGTCATCCATGGCATCATCAAACACGTCTCCGCTGCCGACATGTCTCTTCCGCTTCACAGCACTCTCTCTCGCCTTGGCCGCACGCAGAAAACAGCGCGTTTGGAAGCGTTGTCTCAGAAATTCCTTTTGCGATTGCTCGGGTGTACTCGCAGAGTTTCCGAAAAGAGAAGCCGAAGTGTTGACGGTGCGTCGCGGGAAGTGTTTAGAAGTAGGTGGGGTCTCAGAACTCGGGGACATGGTCTTATATTGACCTTTTCGCCGAGCTTGGGCCGCGGATAAAGGCGAAGAAAATGTTGGGCTCGACGGCGAGGACGTTTGGCTGACTAATGGAGAGGATTTTGTTGCCCTGTGGGATGGCGTACGAAATACCGGACTCGAAACTGGAGAAACAAACATTCTGAGGAGCTAATTTCAGGGATTAGTCATTTTCAGTGGCACCTGAAGGGCAAAAAGGTACATTAGTGGACGAGTGCGACACCGTCAAGAGAAGCCAGGGAGCAGCTTGCAGTCGCTACTTATCAGGATGGGAGTAGGACTCAAGAAGAGTTCCGTTGTCCAGTCACGATGATTGCATCAACGATAGCACGTGACCAGCGCCACAGGCGCATCGCATTTTCAATCTGAATTACCTGACGCAGGCTTCTTCTCGGCTTGACAGCTAAACATATACTTTACTAAAGCTTTGTGACCATGCATTATATTATGGTATAAGCTATTTTCCAGACCCATTGAAATGTATGGTAATAATACCACGATATCGATTGGCTCTCAAACTACGGTATCACGGGTGCTTGCACACACAGTTAACAAAAAGAAAATAGCTTAGAGAGATGGGTACAGGCCGTGCTAGACTCAATGCTCTCGAAAAAGTCGGCCAGGCATGGCCTAGATGACAGATCAAGTCGCAGATGTCTTTGTTGATCAGAGCCGATACATCTATCTGACAGGATTGAACGGAGGCATTATCTGTCTTTCTTGGGCCAAGGGCCATACTTGTTCCATCGTAGACGCATCCCAAACTCTTCCACCTCGACCAACGTAGCTAAGCTTCCTTGATTCACTCATAGAGCCGTTTAGGATGTTCACGTCAGCAGGGTAGACCACAAAATCAGCCAGCTTCCCAGGGCTCAGGGAACCTACGGAAGAAAATATGCCCAGCGTTTGTGCAGCATTAGACGTTGCCGCCTTATACACCTTGGGAAATTCTGAAACGGGTTCTGAGGTAAAAAAAAAAAAGTTTGTCACATACCTCGTAATTGCTCAGCCCGCCTTGTTGAGTAAAGAACATCTCAGCATGGTAATTTAGACCTAGCGGAGGCTCTCCGTGAGCGCCGATATGTGTTTTTAGCCCCATATGAACCATCTTGGCAACCGATGCCGAGGTATTGAAGAGGGCATATGCTACATATTATAGCGTTAATAACGGAGGAAGCTTGAAGAGCGAACCAGACCAACATGACCGCGGTCTCGATGTTGACTCTGTTAGGCCTTCCAAGATATCGTGGCGTACAAATTTTCTTAGTCTGCCACGAGGTGTGGAGATTAGGGACTATCATCACAACGGCTTAACACTTACTTTGGGTCATTTGGGACATCTTCTGTAGCCCATACAAATTGTTCACCAAATGCTCCTCCATAATTAACGAGATGTGTAGGAGAAGCGCCTGTACCACTCTTGGCATAAAGGATCAAAACGTCATCATACAAAGTAGGAACCGGGATAGCATGCTCGACCGTTGTCATACCTGCATGAAAGTCATTAGCCAAAGGCTCGAAAGGATGAGTGCGTCATCTCACCGTCCATAATATACGTCAGATCCCAGTCATAATTCATGCCACCCTCCGGGACACACAGCATGCTCAGATTGCGAGCGGCCAATAGAAGTCGTTGCCGAGATGCACTTGAAATATTAGCATAAGTCAGTTGAAGAGATAAAGGTATCAAATAAGACTTGCCGAGAAGGCTGATTATAATTCTTATACGACGTGCTGATCGGTCCACCTTCAGCCTTGACCCTGATGAGAGCGGAGTGCGCCTCGTCCATATCCGCAATATCTTGGTGGTACCCAGGGTCCCCAGCACCATATATGACTTCGCCCACCTGGAATATCCGGGGACCAACAAAATGGCCTCGTTCAAGTCTGCTTCGTTCGATAAATCCGTTCACGTTAGCAGCACTAGGGCTGGAAGTACAACGAATAAGTGAAACTTATGAACATGAGAATGTGGTCACATACGTACTTGTGTAAAGTCGTGACGCCAAATGCTAGGAAAGTCTCCATTTCCCATGACTTGGCAGGCATGGGATTGTCAAACCCATCCCAATGAGCATGTAAATCGAAGAATCCTGGCATGATAGTTGCTGTGAGGTGTCTCCTTAATAAAGCTACTTGACAAAAAGTACATGATTCACTGACCTCCATGCATATCAATGACAGCAGCATCTGTAGGTATTACAACGGAGCTCAACGCCACCGCAGTAGTGATGACGCCTCCCCGAATGACCAATATTCCTTCATGGACCAGATCTTTGTCCAACTCTCCCGTTTCCATCGTCAGGAGAGTAACGTTGTAAAGAACGAGGAGATCAGGTTCTGAATGCGAACCGGTAAGAGTAGCATCCTTCTTCAATCGCGAAATATCAGTTGTATGCTCGACAACGATCTCTTGGTACTCCAGAATGTTTTTGACGCAGTCAATGCCGAACGTAAGATGATCCTTCCGGATCGTCGACGTGCACTTGTACAACTTAGATACCTCCAGGGAGTGTAGATACGGACCTAGATCAAAGGCTTAGAGATAAAGGGGAAGCGGAGAACACTTATATATACCTAAAAACCAGAATATCTTTTTACCATCTTCACTCCATGTAACATCGTGTCCCCCGTCTAGACTAAGTCGTACCAAACCGTCGGTAGAATTTCCGGGCTTTGACCATACTTCGTCCCCTTCTTTTAGACTTTTCCCGGGAGCAAGATAAACATGGAAAAAGTCGACAAAGGCGACGTTGTCCGCTTTTACGTTGAGTCCGTTGCCACTGTCCCCTTTTAACTTATTCAGCAGAGAGGTAACCCCAGAACGAGATGTCAAGGAAATGGCAATTTCCTTTGACATCTTTCCCGTGGCCAGAGTATAATGAGGCGGTTTTCCTTCGGCGTCTGGAGTCGCGGAGAGATCAATCACAAAGGACCGGTCGGACTGTTGCACCAAGAGCTCGGAATTTGATTCCAAGAAACGCATATTGACGCGATCATCTACGTCGATTTCAGAGGGAATCAGCCGCAAATTGACTATGCTGATTCCTTCTTGAGAAGGAGCAATCTCGAGGTCCGCGATATATAATCCAGGCGCAGCAGAAGCAACTACATCTCCAGTCAGATAGTCGCCTGCGATTTTCACAAATGCAATAACCCTGTGACTACGATCGACCTGGCATATGACAGGGCTCAGGTATCGACCCCTAGGTAGTCCTCCGATCTCGATTACCCAATCTTCTTCCAGGTTCGCTAGTTCAAATGAGGTGAAATTGGTATCATCCCAGCGCGCATGTAGAATGATAGTTCGAGCCTCGTCACGTACGATTGACGGAGAATGGTAAGGCGTCACGCCGTCGTCGTGCAACACGGGAACCTTCGTAACACCTTCCTCACCTACAACTTGCACGTACGTGGCGCCAGCCGCTTGGAACACCACCTGGTTGCCAGTAAAGTCGGCACGGAGGTCTTTGAAAGCCCGAATCCTCTGGGAATCGGCAGTTTCGATGCCTACGAGGTCAATATCATCGATTTTCCTCGTCTCCGCCAGTCGCTTTTCGATGTGGGCAGTAAACCGGATAGGGTACGGCGTTCCCGAAGACACCTTCTCGCCATAAGAGTTTGTTTCCAAAGGGACAGACCAGATTTTACCCGCAGCCCAGATGATGATAGCGGAATCTGACGGTGTAAAGGTGAAGGATGGATATGTTCCCATGGGCGCAGAAATACCGCTAAGGTCATAACTGAGCCCATCCCATGCGTAGCGAATTGTTCCGGTTTCTAGATCCCTTGAAACTTGTCAAATCGGAGGATAAAATGGAGTGTGCCGGGACATACTTGAGCACCAGCATTTGGTGATCCCCCAGACGTCGTACAAATGCCAGTGTGCGTCCGTCGCGAGAAAGTTCGGGCCGACTTGCCCCGCCGGGAGATGCATCCACCAAGGTTTCTGTACGCGCTGAAGTCAGATTTCGCTCGAATATTGCATAAATGCCGTTGTGCACATCTAAGACGAGGAGTCAGCCCCAACATTGATATCTGCGAGCAGCGTTCATACCCTTGGAATAGGTAAAACTCGTGGTATCCCGGACATTTTTAGAGAATATCACTCTATCTTCTCCGTGCCAAATGAGCTGCTCTGGTCCTATTTGCTGTTCTCCGTAGTTGTCAAATCCAGCAGGCAGAGTTCTTCCAACAACACGAACACCGCTGCCAGACTGTATATCATCATCAGGCGAGGGTATAGGGTATTCCCAACCCTCTCCGGCGCCCAAAGAGCGTCTAGATGTGTACCATTTGGTAGCAATGACTTTCTTGCCAGACGGATGAAACCTCGCATCGCTAACCCATCGATACGTCTCGTTTGTGATCCGGTGGGCTAGAAGTAAAACTCAGTACAAATTGCTTAGGAAAATGTACATAATGTACAAACCTCCAAGTCGGCCTTCTCTTATCAGACGATTTTTACGCCTCTCAGGCGTTTCCTTAACACCTTGAGCGAGAAGTACGTCATCTTCATGCTGAGATCGAAGCACAAGAGGAAGCGGGGAACCTTCCCCCACTACCGCTGGTGCTGTTACGTCCATTTTCTCGCAACCCTTCCACTCCATTATCCAAATATTTTCCACTCCTAGTTCCGCGTCACTTCTGAACACGATTTTATCGCCTTCAGGTGAGAAATGAGGGTCGGAGTCATGGGGTACGCCGCGAAGAATAGGCCGAGCGGTAGCGAGGCTCTCGGACTGGTCGTACACGTCTTGAGATGATATACAATACAGATCACCAATCATATCGAATACAATGTCGCCAGTCTTGGGATGAACGTCCAATCTTAGCCATGTCCCTTCCTCGACATCGTACGCGAGAAGACGGGGAAAGGGAAAGTCTGTAGAGATATCCCAAGGTGTCTGTGGTCGAATAGGCCATATATTATCCTTCCATTCGGCTGCTGGGTCCGCAAATGAACTTGGCACAGTCCTGAAGGAAAACTGTGAGGCCAGACGCGACAAGAGACCAACAGCTAGCAACAGAAGGAGCCAGCGGAGGCCATTTCGAGTACGCGTCGCGTAAGGTGCCGTGTAGGCGAGATATTGCTCCGTCTTCAGCCCCATGTCATGCTCGTCCAGGCGATATGGCAACCGGAAACAATCACATTTGACCGGTATCCGGCAAAGTCGGGCTGAAAGACTGTTTGCGTAGCAACCTCGCCGACAAACAAAAGCGGACATTAGCTTCCGTCGGCACGACTCCCAACGTTGCAGAGTCTGGCTAAGCCTAGGTTCCGGATAGGAGCCTATTGACAGGTGAAATCATCCCCCCCGGTACCTTGCCACCCTCACTTGTTGGCTGGAATCGTGAATATTCGCTCTAGTTTGGTCCCAGACTCATGAGAAGTAACCCCATGGTGATTGTTGATTGCACGTTTCTACCCTCTTTAGTGAGATCGACACTATGAAACCGATTGCGAGGGTGACGTTCCCGTAACGATTCGTGCTGCATATGGGACGCCGGCCAGGACAACGTGGCGGTGGAGGAGAGCCGTTGCTCCTCGTGACCGCGGATTGGGCCGAGTACATGTATCAAGAAGGCATTTGTTTTTCTATTTCTATTTCGCTGTTGCGGGCCAACACGACTTGCCGCTCTTCTACCATCATGCTGAGGCTCACCTCAACAGTTGCTCGTCGCCAGAGCATCCAAAAGAACGTTTACAAGCTGGGAATACGTGGTAGGCTAATCCCAGCATCCTACTCGGAGTGTAGACTGCTCTAACGGTATGTCAAGCGTTTAATGGGTCTCGAGCTCGTCCAGCAATCATGATGCCAGCGATGTCACCACTCTGCAATGAGGCCACTATTACTCGGTGGATGAAGAAAGAGGGGGAATCATTTGTTGCTGGTGACTCCCTTCTCCAAATTGTGGGCACTATTTATTTTCCCCTCATCAGTAACCTCGTTGACCACGACATGATCTTTTTTCAGGAATCCGATGTAGCCGTGGTAGACGTTGTCGCCGAGAGTCCAGGTATCATAGGAAAGATACTTGTAAGCTGCTTCCGCACTCCCAAGAAATGGGCATTCTCAGCGTGTTATCCATCAGATACCAGCTGGGACACGTTGCGCATATCAACAAGTGATTGCCACTGTGGCGAAAAATGCTGAGGAACTGGCGCAGCTCCGAGCTCAAGGTCAAGCGCCGCCTCCTCCGCCAGCGACCTTTGTCTCTCCTAGTGCTTTTCCAAGAGCCTCTGCACCTCCTGTGTACTCGCCTGCTCCTCGCCGCTCGTCCACGCCGGCAGCTCATTTCGAACGGTCACCTTCTCCTTTGACGAATTCAGTGATTCATCGCTCGTCTGCGGATACCCACCATCACCATACCGCCACTTCACGTGGTATGTCGACTGGTCATGGCTATCAAAGCGGTCGCTCCGCACCAACTCCCATTCCTACATCAACCCCTTCCTCATCTCAGGTCGAAGGAGCAGCCCTTCGTCGTAAGATCGTTTCTAGCATAGGGAAGGTGTCCAGTGAGTTTAACACTCTTCCATGCTTCGATTCATCCAAGCTCACCATATTCCTACTAGCCACTAAATCTTTGGACCGGGAAACATCCAGCTATTTTGACGGAATTTTGTGATACTGATACCCTTCTTCTCTGACATTTTCTCCCGGGCCTTCTCGTGCTGCTGTGTACAATCGCGAATACCAACACTTGTAACAACATAATAACTATACAATTAATCCGGACCCAACTTTAAATAATCTGCACTGCCTTGATTCGAAGTCTGGAATCCCTATGCTCCACTCGTCAAACGAATACTGGCGTCTTCATACACTTCTTAGGTCACGTCTAATCTTAAAGTACATCCTGTCCCAAGTTAAACTCTAAAGAGTATCCACCCAATTCAAAAACCCACCCAGTACAGACATCCCAAACCGCCAAATTACTCCTTCGCGCTGCTTCTTACTCGGCCCTTGATGAACTCCTTCCTAGCGGTCTTCAGAATGGCCTTGCGGCCCATACCTCTCATATCTACATATACGAGCGCGCAGTTCCTCGCCGTTCCTGCCATCAGTTGAGAAGTCTGCCCCGCATCCTCTCCATATCTTCAGATCGAAAGAATCAAAACGGCGTCTAAGAAGCAGCGGAACGACTGATATACTCACTTATGTCCGACGACCGCACCGATCCTCTCAGTCCCCACGTCTAGTATACGTTTTGCAGAGTTATCCAATGTCGACAAGATGAGATTGGCGGATAACAATAGTCGTCTTGTCCTTCGTGGAGGTAGCGGCGGTGCTGGAGGCTGTGGTGACGAAGAACGCGACATTGAAGGACTAGGAGACCGTCTAGGAGGTAACGGCGGCTTTCCGTCAGGTAAAAGGTGACCCGAATTCGAAGCGTAATAAGGCGGCGGCGGAGTTGATGGCATACCAGGCGACGAGGAGCGGGAGGCGTAACCCGAGTTGGGAGACAGACTCCCGCTTCCGGGTATGGACGGATGGCTAGCATTGCCTTTTCCTTTCCCTTTCTTCTCGCTCCCCATCGTCTTCTTGATCATACCTTCAATGATAGATAATGTTTTGGAACTGACTTTGACCGCCTGACCGGTGTACGTATGGGCTGCAGCAAGTCCTTTCTTCGTTTTATCTGAGGTCAAGAAGACCAAAGCTCGCGGTGGGGGTTTCGGCGGTTCCCCTGGCTTTGCATTAGCGGGATGGTTTGGTGAAGGCGGTGAGTGGTTGATGTAATAATTTGACGCCGAATTTACGACAGTCAAGAATAAGCTGGTCGTGTGGGTGATGGCATGACTAGCTCATGGGGTATCAATGAATGCTAGACGAAATTAGACCGAACAGCGCTCATACCTTACGATGACAGCGGATTTAGTGATCCAGTCCTGCTGATCTGGCGGTATCGCCCGAGCGAAGAATTGAAGAGGATGCTCATCATCGACTGCTTGCCCTTCAGGGACTTCGATGACAACTGGATCTTTCTCGTGACCGCGTTCCCACATTATAGGATCTTCCCGAACAGACATCTTTTTATCGAACTCCCCCATCACTTCTCCGTTATCCTCGTTCACGAGAACAAGGTGTCCGCGGTAATCTGCTAGGTCCTTGGACGCGTGTTCATCAATGTGGGAGACGTATGCCGGAGTGGTGGCAATGTTTGAAGTGTGAAAGAATTCGGCATATTGGGATAGAATTGCTTCGAATGTATCTAAATCTTCCATGTAGTTGGGGTGCCAGCTTGTTCGTGCACTGAGCACGAGAGTCATAGGATCCGATTCCGTTGGATGAAAAGTATACGTCCGTGTATCCGGAATAGAGGCATCGAAAGAAATGCTTCGCGAGTGGTCTATAGGTATCTCGAGCTCGTTCAACCGCAAAACCAAGAAAACATTGCGGTCAAACCCGCTGATAGTGATGCATTCCAGGCCAAGGGTACCAGTGTGAATATGAGATCCTGCCTTTAGCGTCACATTGAGCAGTGTTAGAAGAAGAAAGGCTTCAGGTGGTCTGCTCATGGAGGTCATTGATGAGAGGAGGGAAGAACGAAGAATAGAAAGGTTACATCGTCAAGCAGAACGCCAAGAGCAACCACCACGATCTCAAGACACGTGAAACTGAGAGCGGTGCCTGCGCAGCACTGGGTCGCAGCGATGGCGATACTTCGTATTCATTGGATAGAATTCGAATGACGAGCTTGTAACACATGTATAAGCTTCCTTCCAACTGCCCTGTTTAAGGCTTTCCCTCGAACCTAAAAACCTCTTCGACATCCTGTTTTCGACCCGTTAGTATAATGATGTCGATGATTCACAGAGAAACTGTACGCACCGCCCACCACGGTATATCCTTTCCACTGCCGGCAGCATCTTCGACTAGACTCTCCTGCATCACATCGGTTATTGCCCACCACTTCTGCGTCTCGGGATCCTCGGCAACTTTCTTCATATCGGCCTCATAATCAGTACCAGTATATTTCATGTTGGCAATGAGGAGGTGAAGCGGCGCATAATAATGGATGGAATAGTCGACGATATGGGCGCGTTCCAGCGCCGCGAGTACACTAGGCCACACAGCGGCGTGACATTCTCTACATTCTGCCTCGGACGATGGTTTCAACTGAACAGTACCGATGAAGCATATGGGACCATGAAAAACACCAGCAAGCCTTACCTTGACAATTTGACAGATGCGTTTTGGGGTCGACATGGTATGAAGCAGCGGTTCTCAACATCTGGGTGAAATACTTACAATTATTGAACGGTCCGGAGAATCCGCTGCTCGTTCTCATGACGCTCAGGCAGGAAAGATTCTCGGTACGGACGGTCCAATCTCAGCCGACGTTCTCCTGTGAGTGATATCATCACAACCAACTCGCTTGAATGCCGCCAGCTGTGGGCTCCTCACCTCATCGTAACCGCTTGTAGTATCTTGCTGTTACTCGGACCGCCACCATTGCTTTCTTCCCACGCTGAAAAGAGCAAAACTCGAGGCGAACATACAATCCTCGCATTTCACGTTGAGAAACGGGTGTCCGGACAAGTCCGTGCGTCTTCAGATTCAAAGTCCATTTCTATGCAAGATTTCAGTTCTGCAAAAAAGAACGACGATCATGGTGGCAACCTAATGCATACTTACATCGTCGCACGAAAGAAATGTTACATGTATAAAAACCACTCATGATATCGTACAGATCAAAGTGGTATACCAAAGACTTCCTTCCTGCCCTTGGAATTTGGATCCAAGAATGGCCTCTCTCCCAAACTTACAACACGGTTACCTTGGCGTAGACTCGATCCATAGTCGTTACTGATATACACGTTAGAAAACATACCATGAAAGACGGTACACGTACGTTGCAGTGTGGAAAGTGGACCGGTTGTCCCAAATCGCGACATCATTTTTTGACCATCGAAAACGGACCTAAAAGATGATATATCAATTGTGCTTTATGCGTAAGCAGCGCCAACTACTTGAAGGTCATGATTCTCCGAAATATGCCTTGACAAATACGCCAAAACATCATCAGACTCGTCCAAGGTCAATTCGATAATGCGCTTCGCGAACCTAAAATCGGTTTGTTCATTTTGCTTCCTGTGAACGAAGATTGGCACCCACGATTGATTCACGAATAAAGACTTGAATCCAGTTACCGGGTTCGTTCGGATGACAGGGCTTTTAGAATATGTATTCGTGTCAACAGTCAGAGGGGATGGTTAATAAGCTCTTACTGAATAGCAGTCAAGTCGGAGCCAGCATTCTCTGGCGCGCCGCGAGGGTCTTGGATAGGAAGGTTATGCCGGCGGGCGTACTATACATTGGTAACTCAGTCATCGTAGGATAATAAATGAAGCGGATCTTACTTCGTTGAAGAGGGCACCACTGTGCGAGGCATGCAAGCCTTCGAGGAATCGCTGGTATGCAGGCGAAAGCCTATCGTAGGATTCGTAACCGCTTTTCACGCCCAATGAGATGCGCCAAAGAATACTAGTCACATCGGGAGACTCACCTTGCCCACTACCATGCAAAGTCAGTCAAATCACACCATAGATGAAAACCGATAAATACACACTAGAGTATCACCTCCAACTTTCGAACAGTGGTAACGTTATTCATGTCATAGGTACCAAATGCGTGCTCACCAGGTGGTAGCGTATGCATCTTCAACAACTAAGTCATGATGTCAAAAACTCAAAGATACCAACGCAGAGCAAAGGTACTCACCGCGTAATCTGAAGGGATCCTCTCAAAAGTAATATCTGCATGCCATCCCTTGCTCGCCCTCGTACTTTGATCTAGTCCGGCGCGGGCAATCCCCCTACAGTCTTATGTCAATCACGAACACACATTCAATGGCACTATCTACTTGCCCCTTGCTCGAAATCACACTAACATCCTTCCCAAGCTCAGGGACATCTTCAGAGATCGGATGGATGTGCAAATCTGACGTCCTAGGGTTACCAGAGAGCTTTCCCATCCGCCTCGCGAGCTCCTTCTGCTGATCAATCGTGATGTCTTGATCAAGGAAGAACACGACGCCTCGGTGGCTGACGAGTGTAGCCAGGTCTTTGAGGAGCTCATCGCTGGACAGAAATGAGGAAAGCTGTGTGGCTTTGGAGGGAAAACGTGTCCCTATGTGTGTGGTTTCGTCGTAGTGGGGGAAAGCGCTTAGGGAGCCGAAGATATCAGTAACGGGGGCTTGGACCATGATGGCGACAATTTCTCTGGAGACCAAACTCTTGTTTTATGGAAAAGTAAGTAGACGATAGCACCCAAAATGTCGTTATCAGCACGCCATATTTTGGGATATCACCAGACTTGAGTAAGTACAAAACTTTGCAACCGAGAGTCGGCATAAGATAGATCCAGGAATATGATAACAGACGATAGCTAGGCGCCCCTGAGCTGTAGAACTTGATCTTGGAATTCCATGGTCCTGTTCAAGTCGCACGGCAGACAATGAAATGGCAGGTGTTCTGATTATGTTATTTCTCCATTGACGACCTCTACCCGCAATAAAATGGACTGAATACCTGATTTAGAACAGAGTCGAAATATAAACGCTTCAAATTTCACGCAGGAAGGTGATAAAACTTGAACAGTTTGTTCCGGAGACAGTGAAGGGCAATAGACATGACGAACAGCGAGAAACAAGGGACACGAGGATTCACTGGACTCTGACGAGTATACCTAGTATCGTCGCTAAAGGAGCTCGTAGAATCCGAGCACCATAGAAATGAATAATGCAAGCATCCGCATCTAATAGCAGCTGAGATTGATCATCACGTTCCTGCAGTCCTTCGGTTACGGCACTGGAGTCGCGCATCTCAAGCGAGCCGCGTTATCAGCATCAGTCTGAACGTTGTTATCACTGTGCCTGGAACGAAATGATGCTGTGTAGTTGGAACATTCTCTTTCGTTTCGTTCGAATGGGGTAGCCTCGTAGGCCGCGATTGCGGGAATGAAGGCGATACTGAAGTTACATTCTATGGCGACCAACTGAGGCACCTTTTCATTCCTACAACTTCCTCTACCTCTGTCTGTTGCCTGCTAATTTAGCGGTGTCCTGAATTTGTGCCCGATGGTCTACCTAAGTGGTGTTGAGAGGTGTTAGAAAAAGAGTCAAATCAAGTTATTTAAATTCACACATCTCTTCCGCATCACGATAGAAAAGCAACGGCTTCTTCGTGGTGATGATTTGTGGGAGACAGGGATGCCACAAGCTGGCCAGAGAACTAGAATATTATATTCTGCATTTACCAGATATGCCTTGACGACAAGGCAGAATGAAACAGCACTCGGAATACCATTTTCAACAATGGTATCCTAGAATCCGGCGGTATTATAGTCAAGTACAGTGCTGGCGCCGAGAGGTTCAAAAAGGCATTCAATCTCCGCCATCAAACACCACTCAACAGCTTTCCCTCATCAATTGACCCTCATTCTAACTCTTGTCCTTACCCTCATCATCATACTACAGCATGGCCGAAGGCAGCAACTACGACTATCTCTTCAAGGTCATTCTTTTCGCCGTTCGGTGGCCGATTCAATGTTTTTCATTTTTTGTTGTTTCAGGTTGTCCTCATTGGTGACTCTGGCGTCGGGAAATCGTAGGTCCCTCTATTCTCTATTTAATTCTACGTTAACCAAGCCGTATAGAAACTGTACGCAATGGCGAGATTTATCAGGGCGGTTTACTTTGAGCTCATTGTCGTACCATTCACGCAGTGCTTTCGCGGTTCACACGTAACGAATTTAACTTGGAGTCCAAGTCAACAATTGGCGTCGAGTTTGCAACACGTTCAATAAATGTCGATGGGAAGACCGTTAAGGCTCAGATTTGGGATACAGGTGTGTGTTGTTTTTCTGTTTGTCGGGCCTTATTTAGCGCTTGTGCACCCTTTTCACCTTTTTTTTCCCAACTCGCCCCGGCTCCTTTTCGCTCTTAACCACGCCAGCTTCTGTTCGAACCATTTTCTGATTTACGTTTACCAGCCGGACAGGAGCGTTACCGAGCAATCACATCTGCGTCAGCATCCCATCAAACGTCTCATTCAGACGCAGACTCACTGACATGTCATTGTTTCTCATATACAGTTACTATCGGGGAGCTGTCGGTGCCCTGTTAGTCTACGACATCGCTAAACATGCAACCTATGTCAACGTCACCCGATGGCTGAAGGAACTGCGGGATCACGCCGATTCAAACATTGTTATCATGCTGGTGGGAAACAAGAGTGACTTGAAGCACTTGAGAGCAGTGCCAACGGATGAGGCAAAGGCGTTCTCAGGTGTGCAAGTTTTCATTTCACGTTTGCCGCCAAGTACTGATCGAGAATGTCAGTGGAGAATGGACTGTCATTCATAGAAACATCAGCGCTGGACGCTTCGAATGTCGAATCCGCTTTCCAAACTATCTTGACTGGTGAGCACTTTGTACTTGTGGCCCATTCTATGTTTTCTGATGGTGGAGCAGACATCTATCGTATCGTATCAAGCAAAACTCTTGAGGCCTCTTCCACCCCAGCTGATCAACCCACGGCGGGCATCAGAGTCGATCCAAGTCTCCCTTCAGAAGCCGCCACTGGGTCCAACAAGTGCTGTTAGTCGATTTATATCCATTGCCCGGGACTTAAACCAGGCGGACGCTTTGATAGAGCGAGAAGTGGTCTTCCCGTGTGCCTCCCCTTTCCTTCCGTGTCAATATTATAGTTTTATCTCTTTGTCTATTCATCTTTCGGATTTTTGTTTCTTTTCCCATGAGAGGCCTCTCCCTTTGAAGCACCAACGTCGGATACCATTTCGTCCGCAATGGTGGTACTACTGAGATGGCGGAAGTCGCCTACTCTCACAAGGAGCTCACACGAAAGGTGAACAGGTGTATGGATCACTCTAAGGTTTACACAATTAAGACGGGCACCTGCAGAAGGAATAACCCCAGGAATTGCTTACTGCTCTCATCCCCGAATTATTGACATCGACAACGTACCAGCACGCAACTCTTCTATCCTGGTCCTTCTGGAGGGAATCCAAGTATCGTTGCATCACAAAATCAGCGGGCATTTCCCCCTGCTGTGCATGAATACATTTCCTCGCTTCAGAGGCTGCCATATCGTAGTCCTCATCCAAGCAAATCAGTTCCGATGCAGTGTAGTACGGGACCTTGTGTGGCGTCGCTGTTTTCCTTCCATAATCGTTCTCTATCCATTCATCAGCGGAACCGGAATCACTGGCCTGGCGTCGACATCCTTTCCCGCCACGGTGGCGGCATTTGCACAAATCCTTACCGTGTTTGACAGAACTGTTAGCTTCGGCTCTCCAAACAAGTTTCTCGAGATCGCGTCGTGCGTTGCTATCAAAACGCCAGGCCTTCGCAAGAACGGAGAACTGAGAGATGCTGTTAGCTAACCTGATATAAGTCTTAAGCAAATTCGGCTAGATTCATGATGTTCAAGGTCCCGACATGCCAATGTCGCACCTTTTCTCGATCATCCTACAGCCCGTTTTGAGTAGGTCGCTTTGAATGGAGAGACTATTGAAGCTTACCAGCGTAAAGATAAAAGGTTAGGTAGTAAGCAATGGCCCGCCGTGTGTAACAGCCCGTAATTCCCAGAAGATGTTTTTGCTCGAAGCCAAGGAATCTGCGGTGTCGTAGAATCGCGGCGAAGTCCATGAGGAGGAGGTGGTAGAGAGTAACGTGCTGGTTGTTTGTATTGTACTCAGTCGCAAACATGGACAGGGAGAGGCGTAAACTATACTCAACATGCTCGCTTGAGCTGGTAACCTCCATCGGAATTCGGTGCTTTGCCGCGAACGCGTTGATAGCACTCTCGGTGGATTCGGGTAGCCGGTAGAAGGCCAATCCATCGCATATCATGCTGAGGGAGGTATTAAATGGCGTTCCAAATTGTATGCTCGTCGATGTTAATACTTCATGATCATATCTACGAGGGAGATAATGGGTGCGTATCAATGACGGTTTATTATAAAACGCACCTTATTGCCTTTGAGTTCTGTTTCTCCACCACCATCCTCATAACCTGTGTCAATAGTGTATCTGAGACCATAGTCATCAGTATCCGAGGAGAATTGAGCATTGAATGATGTCAACAGATCTTCAGTGACCTTCTTCGGCTTGAAATCCTCTGCATTGTCATTTCTGACTCTTGTGAGACGGTCTAGGACCGAAAATATTCACGGATGCCAGAAGCGTGTAGTATACAAATCAAAACGGGACCTGTAAAGCTTTTGGGAGACAAAGACACATAAGGTTGGGCTTCTTTCTCAATCGCGGATGGTTTGTCATCTGGGCTCCTGATGCCTACCATGGCGGCGGTAGCCCATTGCGTAAATGCTTGTTTGTTTGTCGCTAGTCCAGACTTGACTGGAAATATATGTGAAAAGCTACTCCGTTGCTTCCGGGACCCTCAAACTTTAAAGGATGGAATAATTAGATGTATGTATGTGGTCGAGTAAACGTTGCCCTATGACGTGTAGAGAGGTAACGTTACATGACCTGGTGCCGGAATCTCGGACCGAAACTTGAAATCCAATGATCTATGTATGATAGATTACTATTTACAAGCCCTGCTATGACCTTGCAACCAGATACAGTTGTTCAGTTGTTTTTGAACTCCTTTCAAGCACACTTCGGTTAAATTCAGGGTACTCGGCCGAGCACTTAATCTTGCTTAGATGCGCCACGGAACATGCCACTCAGCGGTTTCAACTTCCAACGAATCCTCTCAAGACCTATGCCCACTCCGATGAGCACCGCAACGTCTACAACCAGCACACCAAGCACCCCAGCCATGAACCGGGGTGCAAATACCTTCCACACCATGAGGTGCCGTCTCAGCACCGCCGCGCTCACAGCAGTACCCAGCAGCAAAGACGCATAATACATCATCATCCCAAGCGCAGCCATGACGCTTTCCCCTCTAACTTTGACATCAATTCTCGGCTGCTCGTCGGCTGATGAGATGAACAGAGGAGGACGATTCCATAGTGCCAACAGCGGCACAGCAATCCCCGCAAGGAACACAGGTCCAAAAGAATTCAGCACCACGGTTATCGGCGCGAATGGGTAAGTCACGCTTGGCGTTAGCAGGAAGGCAGACTTCCATTGGATGGAAGATATCGTGGACTGGTGGCCTGTTGCGAAGAATGTGTGAAGCCCAAGTAGTGCGATTGGCAGGATGTCAGCGAATCGAATCATGGGCGATTGGTCTTTCGTAGGTTGCAAAATTACCGACGGATTCGAGGAAGCGAAGGCTTCTTCGTAGTACCTGGCGTCACGCGCGCTGTCAACGACTTCCAAGAACGCTAGAAGAGCTACGGCGCCTAGTCCAAGGACAACTTGGCTCGTCAGCTGGGAAGATGTATACACCAAAACGAAGAAGATACTCCAGAAGAGGAGATATGGCGCACCGAAAGCGTTGGCGAACCCGATGACTTCGACTTTGCGTAGTTTTTTATTTGGTTCTTCCGTGATAGAGACGTCTATGCAGAGGGTGAAGAACCACCAAAGTAGACCACCAACGAGGAGTATAAGAGCGAATGAGCCACGAGCGAGATATGTCCTGCTGATACGCAGCGTGGTGGTCCACGCATCACCCAAATACCCTGTGGAATCGAGCCATTCCAGTATCCAGTACCCGGTGCCTGCGAGCAATGCCGGGATGAGGACGATAGGAATGAAAAAGTGGGCTAGTCCCACGTCTGAACGGGAGACATGCAAGAAACGTTGGAGGATATATGGGATGCCAACTGCAACTGGGACAGCGAGAACTAATATTGGCACGGGAGGGGTAGGAAGAGTGGAAGAGGAGTAGAATGTGACATGACAATAAGGCTGCTGTTCTTCTCTGCAGATCGTACTTATCGCCATGAGTCTGACGCATACCGCATACAAGAACGAAAACCCGAGGATGCGGTACCGAAGGCGGGATGTGGCCGCTGTTATCCCAGTGAAAACGAATGGGACAATAGACGTTAGACAGAGGTAGAGGATAACGCGGTCCTCCCAAAATGTAAAAGAGTTGGAGAAGAATGTGATGGTATGAAGAACAAGGGGAATCGGGATTGATTTCAGGGTTGAAATTTTGGGGGGAAAAGATATGATAATTAGCATGCTAGATAGAAGAGGTGCGGCAAATAGAATACAGTCAAGGGAGTCAATACCCTGAAGGTATTTCCTGAGGCCGAGAGACAGGACAAGGCCAAGGACAGCTCCTCCTGACATCCCACGAAGGCTTTTTGATACCCGCGGAGCTGACCACTTACCCCATTCATATCTGGCTTCTCTAAGTCCGGAATACATTGTCCAACTGGCAATGAAGCCCACCGCAAGCACCGCGAGGCCAAAAGCCATTCGCAAAGGATTGAATTGAGCCCATAGAGCTCGACATGTAGACAGAGCTACACGGTTATAGTTGGCCAGTGTGATCAGTCGAAAGTCCCCTCTCAGTTCTGGATTTTGCGTAGCATGCCATGCAAGCTCCAATTCATCCCAATAGTCGTCCAATTCCCCGCCCGATGCGCTGGAGCGATAGGCTTCTAGATAGCGATATATCTGCGCAGCGTTGAGCTGTAGCGCCTGGGAGAAGTCTGTGCCTTTGTCGTTCCTCCAGAAAAGCTCTGGAATAACGGAGCCGAGGTTATTGAACGGAATTGGGAGACCAAGAAGGAGAGACAGAGTGGGGAGAAGGTCGATCTGTTGTACAGACCGATGGGGAAGAGGTGCCCCGGGAAAAGTTGAGTATTGTAGGACGCCGGAGGGGAGGGAAGACAGTTCTCGGGACAGTTGGGGCCCTTTGCTGTATATCCATAGCGCCGAGGAGGTTTCCAGAGATCCGTCGCCGCCATGATCTCCAGACCTATCCATGCCGTGATCGCCAAGAACGACGAGGAGTGTGTTGTCATCTAGAAGCTCGACGACGCGTTTCAGCACGTCGTTCATCTGTTCAAGCTTTGCTTTCATGCCTGGGTGATCAGGGCCGACTCTGTGACCGACGTGGTCGACCCCTAGAAAATGACCAATGAGAAAATCAAAGGGTTTGCTTTGGTCCTCTAACAGAGGGAAGAGATGGGTGATGACGCCCTCATCGACAGTGTGAAGGTCCTCGACGTTGAACGAGTCGTACGGGAAAGACATGTTGGGACCGAATGAGTCTGGAAACACGGAAATCCACGTGTCGTCTCCCATAAAGGCGGCCTTGGTCGAACCTCAGCTGATATAGTGCAAAAAAAGAGAACCAAAAGACACACTGATTTTCCTGCAAGCTGCAATTGGTTCATGATTGAATCTTCAGCGATTGAAGACGCGCCGAAGTTGTTTCCGAGATCGACAAAAGTGGGAAGGGAGCCGGTGGTAAGACCTTTGATTCGCTGAAGGGTGGTCGTAGGTGGATCAGAGTATGCATTGAAGAGAAAAGAGTGAGCTGGACGCGACGCCGTGAGCTGCTGAGGGAGACTCAGAATATTGTGGTGGAACGGCGACACGGGAATTGGAGGATTTGGTGAAAGAAAGTCGAAGCGAAGGGCGTCAATGATGAGGACTACTGCCCGTGTATGCGTCGGTGCCAGCGTGCATTCCGTGCATGTCGTTGTCTCTGTCAGTGCTAGCCTTGTCAGTAGGAATCCACTGGTGAATAGATATATGCCGGCGAGATGAACGAAGAATACCCATAGCAGAATCGCCAGCGAATTGGGAATCATGGGTTGCCAGCTACCGTCACGGTGATACTGACGGAAGTGCAGCTGCGTGTCAAACACGTACAAACAAACTCCTTTCCCTCGTTTCTTACGACTTGATTCGCTCTATTTCTCCTGGGTATCCCTGGGTGATTGGCGACACAAAAGATTATTCCTTCTAAACGAGTAAGCAATATATCTCTTGTTTTGATCTTGCATCAGCATTCATTGCCATGACGGTTGCTCTGGCAAACCTGCTACTACGTGAGAAATATAAGTTATAATATAAGAACGACGTGATGCAAAAGCTATGCAGGAGACCCCGAGGATGGAGGGCGACGCAGTCCTAGGACTGCGTAATTATAGGAGCTTTGCCTAAGAATGACAAATTGCACTGCTTGCCTTGTTGCTTCTTACCCTCTTACCATCGTCAACAATGCCCGCCTTCGACAGCTCTAACGACTTCCATTCCCTATTCCCTCGAGATGCGTCGCGGCTTGTCCCTAATGATACCCAACGAACAACATTGATTGTCGCTGGATGTTATATCATCATTATTGCTCTGCTATGGTGCGTGGAGGCTCATCTGCATTCACATTGGCGCTCATTTTCTCTGCAGGCATATACCTTTTCTTTCTTGGATCAGTGAGTAGTCCCCGATCTTCAATGCAATTTCTAATCTCAACTCCTTTCTAGTTTACCCATTCAAGTACACCTCTCCTTTCCTCACACAGTACCAGCCAATATTTACTCTCCACAAAAAAACAGGTTACTTACTGTCGGATTCCATGAGGTGTGCCATTCCTGATCCTCATCAATCTCGCCAACTCAATCTCGAACCCTTAGATGAGCCATGCTTTCATGGGAGTGTTGACCTGTGCCCACATCCATTCTATCGAGCTAGACCGTATGGTTCCTTTGCTCTCTTCCCCTTATGTCCACTCTAATGCCCGATGTCCCGTTTATAGCGGACGAAGGTGGTGCCACCAGTATGTCAGGCGGTATACAGTGGCTCACTTTACCCGCCGGGTACCTTGGATCTTCCTTCATTGGCGCTTGCCTTATTGCTTGCGGGTTCGATACGAATGCCAGCAAAGTGGCATCCCTGGTTCTTGCCGTCTTCTTCCTTTTCACCCTTTGGTGGGCCCGCAGAAATTGGCTGTACGTTGACTACACGTTTACGTATCCCTTCCCTTGATTGACCTCCTCCCCCTTCAGAACATGGGCCCTCATTCTGGGGGTGTCAGGCCTCATCGTGCTCTTCTGGTTCGTTGCCGACAGCGTGGCACTGAGATACTTTGTGTGTTCGGACGTTTGTGATCTCCGAATGCGTGCTAAGATAAAATTGTTCTAGGTACTCTTCATTGGAGTGATGTCTTGCATGTATGTTCTTTGGGATGTCATCGGTGAGGTCTAGGACAATCCTTTTGGAACCATGTGTACTGATACGTGTGGGCTGTTAGATGATACCATAGCAAGAAAAGTGAATACCTCGGATGCATCGGCGTTTGCTAGAATCTGTGGATGTTTCCCATCACAAGGTACGTTTTCGTTTTCCTTCATTGCTGGGACGTGATACTTGTATTCTACACTTGATGAGAAGCTTGGTGGACTCGGAACACTACTTCGAGGTAGACCCCAGCTCCACCAGGTATTTCCATCAGGTGAAGAGAGTTAATCTAACAACGTCGTGACCTATCGATTTCTTTTTTCGCTTTCTATATGGAAACAGGGCAGGGGGCTAATTTAAAACTTCCTCCGCTCATCTTTGGCTCCGAGAAACTGTTTCCCGGTGCTATTCCGTATTCTCTCCTGCTCAGAGCAGAAATAGGATCATAAGCCAACGCGTTCAGAGATCCTCCCCCCCCCCGAGCCCACCGGTGATTCTGTTGTTTCGCCGATTCGGAACTAACGTCCCTACCTACAGTATGGGGCGTCATATGGCTTTTGGTGGCCATCGCGTTCTTCGCCGCTGGGATTCTAGTAGGACTCGCAGCTTTTAAGGTATGGAGTTAAGACTATCCCACTGATGTCATCTCACATTCGTTATTGTGCAGGAAACTGCTGCAGAACAAGCAAAAGATTCGGATCATTTCCTGCCCGTCCCAGGCGCTGATGGCGCACTCTCAATATCCCCCAACATTCTGATGATAACCCTCAGCGTCCTAGGATTGACGCTCTTATGATCTTGATCCCTATGACTACTGCTTGTACAATTGTACTTACGTCCCCTTCTACCGAAGTAGTATGTAGAATAAATAAATGTGTACCGAATCTTATTTTCTTGCCGCAGCTCCGGGACCAAAACGACCCTTCTCTCGGGACGTCATGATGATCGCGTTCATTCAGATATTAAAAACAGGAACTAGCCCTGTTAGGAAACGGCATGGTCACCTAGCCTCCGCTTGAGTCGAAACATCAATTCACGAGGCCCCGATCCATCCGTATATAAAAGGATGAGAACAGTCATTTCTGACGTCCCACCAAAATGAAATCTCGCGTCGTATCCATCATGCAAAATGCCATGATATCCACCGTAAACAGCAGCGACTTTGCACCTTCGTTGCCAGAGCTAGGACAGGCGCTGGAGAAAATGAAGAGAGACAGGGAGAACAAACAGGATGTGGTGGCGAAACGGGGAGAGGAAGTCTTTCTTTCGACCGTTGAACGCATGTTTTTCTTTGGCGGGATGAGCGAGGTGTTGGGGTGGTCCCAGTCACAAATTGATGTAAGTTGTCCATGTCTCGTGTTGTCCTGGGCGATTTTGTAATCGCTGTTACCCTGCTTAGGATATGCTGGCTGCACTGACGAGCTCGACGGTCCTCAAGGTCGTCTTACCAAAGACCTTTGCACTAAACGGGATGGACCGTGCAGTAAAAAGCGTCAACGCCGACGTAGAAGTGGTGTTCAAAATGCTGGTCACAGCGATGAATTATTCAGATTGCAATCGGGTGGTGGCTGCGATATTTACTCCCTTGTTCCTCGTTGGCGTTTCTGCGTATCAGAAGCAGGTGCAATGAATCCTCTCATACCAATTCCTGTAGTCACATTCTCTCCTCTCCGACAGCTAATGACATCGTGTTATCAGTATCAGAACTGTAAATACGGCACCTTACATTGAACAGCAACCGAATATCCAATAGTTCTTCATGAAACGGACTTCGGGTGTTTTGACAACATATACTTTTCATAAGAGGCAGTGAACATGGATGTGCATCAGCACTTGCCAATGCCGTCAGCTCCTCGGAGGCGAATGGGATAAGAGTGAATACCGCTGGAGTGCTCGAGAATTTGAGCCCTGAAGGTGGCAAATATATACAGATGCATTGGTAGAAGACTCTTCCTGGTGGCCGTCCTAGCCGCGGATAGCCTTTCATGAGTTCCTCAGGTTCATGCCTCGGGTGATAGAGCCAGAAGGAGTCAGGGAGCTTGTAGAGAAGTCATGAGCGGCTCAGCTGATGATCCTTATGAGGTTCTCGAACGAATGCACGACGCGCAGGTGACGGCCGAATTCAGTGGCATTGTGATGCGATGCCGCCACTGGCACAGATACATTGAAACGTCCATCAGGATGTTACCGCAGAGGATGGATAGGTCATGAACATGAACTATCCAATTGCACGATACCACATCCGTACTGTACTCGAACCGAAGGAAATGGCTGGCCAGTAAACGTATAGCTGAAACTATTACTATTCCGACTGTCTGTGTTAGCGACGAGTGGGGGCGAGGGATTTTGGACGTACCTGCATCCAGTTTTCTAGGACATCCAATGTCCAATGCATGGTTAGCAAGAGTCAGAGTCTATCGTTGAGTGTTGTCATCAGCGTCAGTGTCAAGAGCAACATGTTTACCGCATAAATTTGACATGAGTTTCTGCTGAGGGAAACTTTGGCAGGAACCAGTATTTGGCAAGGTTGTTGCCATCTTCCCTCGACTTCCATGCCCAGTCGGTCCAGTTCTGAGGCTTCCTTCATTCTTGTGGGCGGCAAATCCAGTCCCCACAAGAAATCCTCGTCTGGTTCATCGACGTCGAGTGAAAAATATACCGAGGTTCGTGATTGGACTTATTTAACTTTATCGTTTGCTTACCATCTCCCAGCCAACGGAGCATCCCTCGTGTTCGCCCTCATACAAGCCAGGATCTTCTCCGTCGTACGCTCACGACTGGTCGCATCGAGGTACGGGTGGAAACCTGCGTATACATGGTCGTCACTTTGTAGACAAGTACGGTCGGGTCTGTGGGCTTAGGGGAGTCAATCTCTCGGGTTCCTCGAAATCGTGCGTTATAGGTTCTGTTTCTTTCCGTTCATAGCTGACCAGCTACCAAGACCAGCTAACCATGACAACGACGTATTCCCTGCGGAGCATGAGACCGTAACATTTGTTGGTCGGCCGTTCCCTTTGGAGGAAGCGCACGAGCATTTCTCTCGTCTGCGACGATGGGGATTTACTTTCAGTAAGAATGGCTGGCTGACTTCTACTTTATTCAGATGTCTAACTGTACCCTCTAGTTCGGTTTCTTGTGATGTGGGAGGCTGTAGAGCATACAGGGCTGTACGCGTACTTGCTATCATCGTCAGCGAAGTGCTCACACCTGTTTGCAGTGGGATCTATGACACAGAATATCTGGACTATATTCGCAACCTTCTTTCCATGCTACCTCAGTACGGTATGATCGCTTTTGTCGCTCTGCACCAGGACGTGTGGTCGCGTTATTCAGGCGGATCAGGCGCACCAGCGTGGACTTTAGAAGCTGTTGGGTTCGATTTGCATAAACTAGAAGAGACAGGCTCGGCCTGGTTAAAAGGCGTCAAGGGAGGAGGTCATGTGAAAGAGGAACAAGGCCTTTGGTCGTGTGGATACACCAAGCTTGCTGCAGCGACCATGGCGTAAGAGCTTCCGCCCATCGACCGTTCCGTATCACTTACAGGACTGGATAGGACGTGTTTCTGGGCTGGAGACGCCTTCGCGCCGAAGCTGAATCTGAAGGATCGTCATGGAAAAGAGGTGTCTGTTCAAGAATTTTTACAGAGTGCCTTTTTAGATATGTTTGAGAATATCGTTCGTGCCGTTGGGGATCTGGAAGCCGTTATTGGATTCGAGGTATATGTCACTTGATAGATCTAGTGTCTTTACTCACAAGCCCGACCAGATGATGAACGAACCGCATAGAGGTTATGTTGAGTTGCAGTCGTTACATGTTTTCGATTATAACACCGACCTACATCTTGCACATATGCGTATGTACATTTATTGAAATTTTTCATTCAGAAACTAACACGAGACCATCAAGCTACCGCTTTCGAATCATTTCAGCTTGGAGCCGGTCATCCAACTGAAGTCGCTGTATATACCCGTTCCTTCCCAATGCCCACACGAAAAACATCCAGTGCTGTATTGAATGCAGAGGGTGAGAAGGTGTGGCGCCCTGACGGTCCTTCACAAGGCCAGTGCATATGGGAGATGCATGGCATCTGGGGATGGGACGTCACCAAGAAGGAAGCTGTCATCCTTCGGGAGAATTATTTCGTCAAGCATCCTATGACGGGACATAAGGTAACGCTTATCATAGCTCATCGCTGACATTGTACTCATGGTTGCGCCAAGATCGATTGGTACAACGACTTTTTCTACCCGTTTATTCGCAAATGGGAACAAAGAGTACGAGGGATAGTTTCTCCCGAGAAAGTGCTTTTCATTGAGGTCATTCCGAACGAGGTTTGTTTCTTGCTTCGGTGCTCGAACCTTTTTCTGATGTCATTAGTTTTGTCCCGACTCTTTTACCTCCGAAAAGCAGGTGTCGAACATGGTTTATGCGCCGCACTGGTATTTAAATCCACGATTCTCCGTCGTGTGCATTGCTGATTCTTACCATGCAGGTATGACTTGAATGCCCTTTTCACGAAAGCCTTTGGAGACTTCACTGTCAATGTCCAAGGCTTGTCTCGAGTGCGTCAGTTCATGAAGTTTTGTCGTTCCTGTTCTTTAACTCGAACAGGGAATGTTTCCTCCTAAAGCCTTTTATTGGGGCCATGTAGGTGCTAGGAATAACTACTCGCTACAAATCAGGAATATTGTCGAACGCGGATACAAGTCATTAGGCGAGAAACCGGTCATCATTGGTGAATGTGGTATCCCCATGGATCTAAAGTAAGTTCAGAATCAATTGGCGTCTTGGACTCTTGTTAACTGCTTAACAGTAAGAAAGAAGCTTTCACTTCTGACAATTGGCTATGGCAAACCAGGATTATGGATGCCATGATTACGGCGCTAGAACGTTCATTGGTTGGCTATACGTATGCATATATCCAGTCGATGTCCTCTGAGCGTTCTGACTCTAATCTTAGCCTCTGGTGCTACAACCCTTCCAATGATGACGAGACAGGGGACGACTGGAATGGCGAGAGCTTCTCGTGGTTCAGCCGAAAACGAGCTCTGCCTCCGTTTTTGCTGTACTACGAACAGACAGCTGTATCGCTTGATCAAGGTGGCCGAATACTTCCAGCAGTAGTGCGGCCGTATCCCGCCAAGACTGCCGGGATACCTCTTCGCTTCGAGTACGAGATGAACACTGGATCTTTCGCTTTCGAGTGGGTGAACGCAGATTCATCAAGGACGATAACTAAGGAAGAGGAGACCGCAAAAGCAAGCCCTAGCGTTTCCACACCACCAGTATCTGGGCATCCCACGGTCAGCGCTTGGGAAACAGAGATCTTCATACCGTCCATGATCACTGATGGGAGAAAAGTTGTTGTCGATGGTTTGGAGCCTGGAGATTTATATCTTCACGATGAACAGCGACAGACGTTGTTTATCGTTACGGGGAATCGCTCTGCAGGAAAGAAGCACAAGGTAGAAGTGTCGTTGAATCCGCCGTTGAAGGAGAGCTTTGAGATTAATGATCTATGGAGCGATTTTAGTGTGTTAATCTTGTCGTGCTCTATGGTTTTCTTTGCTATTTTCTGGTATTGGATACTTAAGCCATCTGCTTAGATATTTCTTCGATTGTGATTTGTATACCTCATAAAGTTGTGCACCAGCTTTTGCTCTTCCGGCCATAGAAAACCTTCTGGATGGTTTTCATCTATCTTAGCTTCTCTTTCTTCATTATGTCTTTTGGTAGGCATGTACCTCAGTGGATGCATACTTAATAGTGGGATGTCTTTGAGGGGATCCCCTTTAATATCCCTCAATATTTGGAATTTATCTAGAAGGTCATCCAATAGTGGTTTAACCTTCAGTGCCACCAGTTTACACTTTTTGCTAGCTCTTCACTGAGAATACAGATGATTAGGCCCAGATAGTTCGGCCCGAGTACAATTGGTTGATGTCACACCTCTTCCTTGGCTCTCTCTCTTCTTGCCTTTATCTGTTCATCCTTGCTGATCTACAGGGTGCCTCTGAATCCCAAAGAGATACTTATATAACACACTCATCCAATGGCCCAGACAGATCTCAAGGTAGGGTTATCTTCATCTGCCCTTGCGCTATGGGACCAGCTGCAGGTACTCAGAAGCACCGTTTGACGCGTATTTACCCACAGTTAACGCATTTATTTGTGATTCAGCATGAGTTGTCCAGTGAAGCTTGTCGCGAGAAGCAAAAGAGCGCGAATTTGGCTTCAAAGATAGACACAATAGAAGAAGAGCGAAAAGAATTGGCCGAGACTGTCCAGAAACGGACACAGGAGTTAGAGAACAAGAATCAGATTGTCTGCCGTTTGGAGTTGCTGGTAGGTGGATATCATGGATTATATGAACTCATACTTATGCTTCCTCGCACAGTAACCTATTATTACAATTGCCCTTGCTACGCAAATGTACGACTCTCTGAATAGGAAAGCTTCTCATGGTATCTCCAAAATGTGTTCCATCACCTTCGAGACACCGTTCGAAACATTCATGCTAATCATCCTCTCGTTAATTCGCGAATTTTAATTCTGATGCATCTCTCCGTACAAAAACAGTTCCACAAATGACTGTGACTGCTGTTCCTCTTGCGCTTACACTTCAGATCGTGATCTAGGTACAGGTAAGGAGTACACAAAAGCCTTCGTGAGAAGAATCGTCCCGTCACTGAGACGAGGTATTTTCCAGATAGACCAGTACAGACTACAAGTACATTGTGGGTGGGCGATCAAATAGTGAGCGGAATCTAAAATCGTTCAAGATATGGACCAAGTCGACGCATACATACATAATGCATAATAACCCATCCAGATGTGAGTTGTTAAATAACGGTAAGCAGTATCGCAAATATTAGCATGGGGTGATACTAAAAGAACACATCATACATTTGATATCTTGAAAATTACGAACGATAGAGAGATGCCGATCCCATATATGGAGATTGGCCTCCAACCAGCGGCGAGGCCATACCCCTGCCCATACCCATCCGCGGAGTAGCCGTCGCAGAATTCGCCAGGGTATTCATATACGTCGTCGGATCAGGCGGGCTCTCCCCGGGAGGAATCACAGCTCCGCCGACCAGGCTAACCGATGGTGGAGTCACAAAGTTCTGCGCAGGGATGGCTGGTGTGCTGCCAGCGCTCCGACGGCTTCTATATGACCGGCTTCCAGACCTTGAGGACGATGTCGAAGAGGATGATGATGATGATGACGATGGAGATGCTCTGCTCCCTTTACCGCTCGTCGACGGGGGAAGAGGGTAATTGGCAGCCGGAAAGGAGGGAGTCCGGCCTGGAGGAAGGGGGTATGTGAACCCAGGAGGTGTAGACGCATGTTCATATGCAGCGCGAGGGGTCCGAGGCGCACTAAACTCTGAAGCCTGCTGGGGGCCTGGATCAGCTGAGGCTGCGGTCGTAGCAGCCGGAAGTGCTGAAGTTGAGCCACCCCACGGTGAACCTGTCAAAAGAAAAAAAGTTAATGATCGCAAGCATCTACGTAGTTTGCGGGACACTAACCAGCGGCACTAGGAGGCTTTCCCCAGTCATTCATCCCCCACCCGGTTGAGGGTACCATTTTGGGCGTTTCGGGGGACTCGTCGGGTCCGCTGATGACACTGGGGTAGGGCATGAATCCGGGGGGAGGCTCAGTGCTAGATCCATTATCTATCAGTATGACAGGCACAACAGGGCTCGGTTCAGAAGGTTCTGGTGGTAGTATGGTAGGCGTATGGTTTGGGCTCAGAAACCCCAGGGTCTGGCCATCGGAACGGTCTGGAGAAGACGAAGGGCGAGACTGTCGGATGTTAGGCGACACACAAGTAGAAAAAAGAGAAGGACATACTGGAGGCTGGACCTCAATGTCTATACTATGTGTGCTGCCACTGGAAGATCTGCGGTGCAAACCGATGTCATTGGGGGAGAGCGTTTCACGGCTAGACGATGCAGAAGGTGGTTGCGGGGTTTGAAGCATGGTCGGCTGGCGAAGGGAACTATTTGATTGTGCGTGGGATAGCGGTATATGCGGAGATTCCTGCTGGAATATCTATATCAATATTACAGAAGAAAGGATTATAATTCGTATTTACCTGAATAGTACTGGTACTTCTCCGCCATTCTTCGACAGCACGTCCTGGTACAGGATCAAGAACATTTTCTGGCACAGTAGGAGTTACGGATCCCGATCGAACACTGTTTCCCTCGGGAATGACATGCAACTGGTTGATCGGTTCACGTTCTGGTCTTGGGAATGAAGACAGGTTGTCCATGGAGATGGGTGTCATTGTGGAAGTAGTCGTGTCGGGAGTGGAGATGCGACGTTCTGCATCGGAATGGACTGTGGACGGAATGGCACTTTTGAGGATATCAGCTGGAATAGTCATAGATGGCACAGCAACAGGCTGTATAATGATGGGAGGCGCTTGAGATTGCGGCTGGGCCACTGGAATGGGAGGAGGGCCAGGATGTGATAGCAGTGGGGGTTCCGGCATCCTCATATACTGCAAAGGTCTCGGTTCAGGAGTCTTATACTCTGGTATCTTTACTTCTGGAAGAGAGGGCAGGCGAGGTTGTAGTAAGTGCATCGGCATAATAGGTGCGCGACCACTAAGCATGGAGTCTGTATCCGAAGTTGAATTACGCTGCGGTTCCGTCACACGCTGGGAATTCCGCGTTGATGGACGTGATTGCTCTGGAGCTGGAGAAAAGGGCTTATTGTCAGAAGTGTCCCGCAAACTCCTTGCAAGAGGCTGCATATCGGGCATTTGAGTGGGGATGACTGGAGCGGATTGTTGTTCTATTGGCCGAGAACTGCTAGCAACAGGTGGTGGGGGCTGCTGTACCGGAGTCACGGAGATATTTGGTTGCTCCGCTGTTTGACGATGACTATTTGCTACGGAAGGCGGTTTAAAGCCATTGTTTGAACTAGGTGCTGAAACATACTGTTGCAATGGAGGCTGCTCCCGTATTTGTTCCATCGAACGTGAGATTACAGGGGATTCCTCTTCGGGCACATTGGGCATTGGAGTCAGTTTCCGAGGTAATGCTGGGCGGGAAGGTCCGACAGAATGTTCGGAGCTGGGAGCCTTTGGAGGTGGTTGGCTGGCGGGAACAGAGTGCGGATGACGTGGTTCAGAGTCAGAGCGATTATGGCGATGTTCGTGTTGAGGTTCTTGGTGAGGTTCTCGATGTTTGTGGTGCTCTGACCCTCCACGACGATGCCCTCGGGATCTATCACGATCCTGACGCATATCTCTTACGACTTCAGTATGCACTGAAGACGTTTGAGATCTCTCTTCATCGTCAAGCTCCTCAATAAAGGCAGAAACGGGCTCTGCTGGAGGAATGAGTCTTTGCGCGAGCCTTGCTCCTTCCTCCATCGCCCGAGTCTCGCGGTGATACATATCGTATCCTTGTTGGAACCCTTCCTGCCTGCCTCTTTCCAGCGCCTCTTGCCTTAGTGCTTCCAACTTCAGACGCCTTGTAGCCCTCTTGTGCTTCGAAGCAGCTGTTTCAGCATCTATTCTCTGCTTCTCAACTGCAGTCAGAAGCTCCTGAGCACGCGATATCTCGTCTTCGGCCGTCTTTAGTTGAAGCTTGTAGACTCCAAGCTGGGCCTGAGCTGCCAAAGCCTGTTGACGCGCCTCCATGATCTTCTCTGTATTCCGTGTGTTTTCCAGTACTTGTGTCGCGAGAATTTCCCGGTGAGTCTCCTCTCCCTCTGTACGGCGTTTGGACGAGGAATAGAGCTCTTCTGCCATCTGTTGAAGTAGATTTCGCATCTCCTTCTCCTGGAACTCCTTGTTTATCAGAAGGTCCATAACGTCTTGAGGCGCGGCAGTAGAAAGAACGCGCGACCTTTCGGCTTTATATTTCTCCTTAGACTCCCTTTTGTCATTCGAGCGTGTCCTCTGTGGTCGTTCTTTCGGAGGAAGTGATGGAGGTGCTGAGACTTCTGAGGTGGAAAAGAGGACCGATTGTGGTTCAGGAGCTTGGTAGGAATAATTCTCTCTGTACGAGGAGTATTGGCTTGCATTCAAAGGAATAAAAATTAGCTTCGTATCCTCATATAGCGGCAACACCGTACCTATCGTCTTGTCGTTGATGCGCCATTCTGTGGCGTTTTAGCTTAGAAGATCAGGAAACAGGGAAGAGGCAGAAATAAAGATAAGAATAAGCTTATTGGATAGCAGTGCGCGAATATACAGATAAGCTTGCAGCTCGCGGACCGTGTTCGTTGGCAGAAACACAAGTTGATTAACTTGGGTCCCTCAGCAACCGTGTGGCTGTGCTTATCGGCCCGGGCACTAATATTTGATTCAAAGCGCAAATTCCCCTTAAATTTCTCTTTGTAAATCCATGCTTCCCCGTAACCCGCCGACCGACTGGGAACGGAGGGCTATGATTACTAGAGATCCGACTGAGAAGGCATCCTCGACTGAGATGGATTATTTAAATCAGATTATATAAACGGGATCTTTACCTGAAAACCAAGTATCAAACACTAAATCTACATTCATCGTAAGGACTAAGAGTTAAACAAATATCGAATAAGTCCGTAACAACCAAAACGTACCCATAAACAAGAACGAATAATGGGTTATAGGAAAGCATAATGGTCGCTATCTTCTGATCATTGAAAAGGTATCTACACTCAGGCTCGAGCTTTGTAAGCACGGCCAAACTTGGCAGAAGCGATGCTACGCTTCGCAGGGATGCTGCTGGGGCAAACGCTCGAGCCCGACGAGAAACCTCCATCCTATATTAACAGCATGTCAATCTCTCATTTTAGCTGTAGAAGGAAAGTGCCTGACCTCGAAGTAGGTGCAAAGCCCAGCATCCGCGTAATCGCACGAAACAAAGTTCCCATCGTTGGAGGTGTTGAGGAGCGCACCTCCGTCGTTGTCCTCCGGGGGGCAAGTAGCCGTAGCTACAACAGAAATGCTATCCGGGCAAACGCTCGACCCAGAGGAGAAGCTTCCGTTCTGAACGAAGGAGGTCAGAAGAAACTATGTCAAGTGAATAGAAACCCACCTCGAAGTAAGTGCAGGTTCCGGCGTCACGGTAGACACAAGTAACGAAGTTGCCATCGTCAGACGAGCTGAGAAGGGGAGAGCCGTTGTCGTCAGTGGCCGAGCAAACGGCATCCCTCTCCACCAGAGCGCGGCGCGCCGGGATACTGGAGGGGCAGACACTTGATCCAGAGGAGAAGTCTCCATTCTATGATGTTGCCAGTAAAGAGCTTTGTGACCGGCAAGATTGCCTCACCTCAAAGTAAATGCAAGTCCTCGCCGCCTGGTAGACACAGGTGACAAAGCTGCCGTCGTTTGACGAGCTGAGGAGCGGGGAGCCATCGTTGTCTCTAGCAGGGCAGGTAGCGGCTGCAGAGAGACCGACGGCGACCGCAAGGATGCCGAAGAGAGAGCTGAAGCAAGACATATTTGATAGATGGTTGAGAGCGAAAAACGGAGATGAAGAATATAACTCGAAGAAAAGCTCAAAGGAAAGCTTGATGAGAATTCATGGCAGACTTGGAACGCCTTTTATACCACAAGCGAAGGCTCCATAACATAACAAGGGTGTGTAGAAAAACAAGACCTTGGCCGTGCTGACACAAGTAGCTGACGAAAAAAATCTTAGCGCAGGTACAGTTTCATCCGACGTTCTGGTGGGGCATGAATACGATATATAATTCGCGTACTGCGAAACGCCTATGTCCGCCAAGACATACTCAAAAAAACGGCCATGTCGGCGGTAGGCTAAGTTTCAAGCCGCCTGCAAAGTGTCGGTATCGTCGGCATTGCCTCGACGCACCCACATCGACTTACGCGACGTGGCAGTTGGGATCGAACGTACTCATTCGAATATTGAATGTAAAGGGACAGCGCGTCCCAGCATGACTTCGCATCGATCGGAGCTCGAAGTATCGAATTGGGTATGTACCGGTCTCTGAAAACTCCTATCGTTCGTTCTAAAGAGGCCTGCCCCAGAGTGGAGTTTCCTTGGGGCGACGCCATGTAACCCGACGCAAGACTAGACGCCTTTACGTACGTAAATAGAAATGGAAAATTGCGATTCTGGTCATGCTCGCATCTCTTCGCAGTCTTCATCGATGCGGCGAAGCCGACGATTTTCAGGGTGGGGTATAGTGACGGCGTGTTTAGAGTCCCAGCAGGATTAGGCCCGACACGGAGCCACCACAGCACTAGAAACAGCCATTGCTAAGATCGGTCGAGTTCGGCGTCTTTGTGGAACGTGTTTGAGCATTCATTCAGGACGTGGACAAAATTGAAGCGGTACTTCTTTCGGTAGCAGCTCCCTGCCCGGTCACGATCTTGCCAAAGGTTTGTACGAATTGAATAGACTGATGAGCCCACTATAGGCGCGCATTTTTCTCTTGGAAGTCACTAGTGAGATCTGTTATTATAATGATAATGTATAAACAGTGGTAGTTATACCCGCACATAACCAGAAGGTGATTGTTCTTGGTGACTTTGAAAGTCGATGATGTTGAAGGACACGAAGTTCGAACGATAGGAAGGTGATTTCCCTTTTTGGCTTTTTCAAACAACAATCACGGAGAAATCCAGAATGGCTATCGTCCTAACATTGACTATGCCGCAACCCTGGAAATTGCACACGTGTATCCATCTCTCCAACATCGTCCTCATTCAACACTATGTCGATTCACCGAATCAATGGTCCCTCGGTTCCAGGGCAAAACCAAACTATCGACAGCGACCACAACGCAGAGACCAAAGAGCGAGGAAATGAAGGAGGCGGGGAGCAAGGGCATGATCCAGAGGTAGAACCAGGGGAAGGTCAAAGTGAACAGAGGCAGCATGCATGATGTCCTGCCGAATGCCAGCACGAAGAAGATTTTCGGAACGATGAAGAGGTCAAATCTTACTGCTAGGAAAGGTGTGAAAAGCGCTTTTATTATTGGCGATATATCTCACGAAGTGCTAAATACATAGTGAACGACCCGTTTAATTACGAAGAAAAATACCCCGAGGATGCACTGAATGCGAAGGTTTGGAGAACACACGAAGACGAAAGCAGGATACACGATGCCAACATGGTCGAAGAGTCTCGGGATAATGTCGATGTACTGCTCGTACTTGTGAGTCAGTAGTTCCATTTGTTACTGAGCAAGTCAAAGGCGGGTCTTTTCTCGGCAGTCGTGACGACCTTTGTTGCGCAGACATACCAGAACTTGCAGGCGGACTGCACTGCCATCTCTTCTTCCCCACTGAACCCCAATACCACCTTTGTACCCGCTACCACGGACGTTTGGGTGAACGGACTTTGGTTTGTTAGTCTGTTCCTCAGCCTGACGGCCGCCTTCGTCGCTGTTCTTGCGAAGCAGTGGCTTCACCACGATGTCGTTCTGCCATCCGGAACACCGCGCGACCGTAGCTTTACGCGCCAGTTCCGATATACTGGCTTTCAAAAATGGCATGTCCAAGTCATCATAGGACTCCTTCCTGTCCTTATGCATCTCGCCCTCGCGATATTTCTCATCGGCTTGGTCATTTTCCTCCGTCCGCTCCGGGAGGCTCTATTATGGATCATTTGTGCGGCAACTGCCCTTGTCTATGCGGCGTATGCAGCGGCGATCATCCTTCCTATTATCTTTCCTCAACGCCCTTATCATACACCACTCTGTGATCTTGTCTATGTTTTCCTTCGCCATATCACTCCACAAATATCATGGAAGACATATAGCTTCCTTGATGCCCGGAGACAAAGAGGTTTTAGCGACATGATTCGTCGACTTCCGGATGTGCAATCAAGGGATTCCAAATCGCTGACTATGGTGCTGTGCAGCAGACGGCAACTAACTTGGCGGCTGAAGCATTGAACTAGCTCTTATCAGTCTCTTCGAATCCCAGCGTTCACAGCATATTCATACAGTCTATTGGGGGGTCCAATGGCGTCAAACAAGTTGTTGCTTAACCTTGGACCAGATATTCTCCCAATCATCGACTTGCATAAATCTCTCCTCAAAAGTTGTCTGCAGGCGGATGAGAGGCTTCTCGACTGTGACAAACCAATTTCGGGCATGGAGCTCAAAGTTGAACGCTTGCTTCGTCTTTTCCCTTATCACTCACGTTATATTGTTATCCCTGACATTGCTACATTTGAGCTCCGTGCTGCAATCCAGTGTGTTGGGGTCGCTCGCCTGCCAGCGGGAGGAAGACCTGCTGACTTGCTCGATCCAGCTGCATTTTTCAGGGATATTATAGACCCCAACCATGTTTTAAAGCTGCCGCCGCTTTGCTGGTCTCAACTGGTGCGGGTTGCAAGGGATGACGGCGCCTTTCGTCCTCTAGATCCTGATAATGATAATCATGCCGACTTGTTTCTTCTTTGGCTCTGTTCTGCAGTCTTATGTTCATTTGACGCACCGCAGAAGGGCCTCAAGCAGGGTTTTGGTTGTCCGTTGATTCTTGAATTTTCGGATGCGTTGCCCTGTTTCCCTGGAAGAATCTATCACCACGTTCTCTCGACATGCTCTCTAACTTTGTCAGAGATCCACCTTCAGACTGGCCATCGTTGCCACCGCCTCTGAGGGTGTTTATAATGGCTGTTGCATTCTTGCTTCACAAACTTGTTCTGCCAGGATCAGATACCTCTCATTCCATCATTCATCTCTCGTTAACTACTGCGGTCGAGTGGATCCGTCACCAAACGTTTTCACGCTCAAGAAAGCTACCGCTGTCATAAAGGTGCTTTGAGGATATTATCGCCACTGGTGACATTTTAGACCAACACCTGTGCAATGAAGAGCCACAATGGAACAAGTTGAGCTACAGCACTGTCCTTGCCTATCGGCACTTGATCACTGTCTTCCCCTCAGCTTGTTGTTCTGTGCGTGGTCTCCGGTCAATAACCGACTTTATGACAATCAACTGAACCCATCCATGGTTCTCCGACGAACGTCATGTCAGGCAGACGAGACCTGCTCAATGCTTGCTAATCTCCTCGCGAACCGCGTCCCTGAGGCTTATACTATGGTCCTTGTTAATCGATGTCCAGAGTTTTTCGGCAACCATGTATTCGATATGGCATCAAATTTTGCCATTAGTCAGTACGTTGCTGGAACTTCCATCATGTTACACGGATCGAATGGAGACGCCAAGAACATGGCAACAACTTCAGCCAGCACATTAACCACCTCCATGAACCTCACAACCTTTTTCGCTGTGTGCTGTATATCCTGGCCGCACGTACCCCTCGGAGATGTACAAGCAGACCGGCGTGCCATTTATACGGACGGGACGTTACAGTACCCGTACGGCTTTGTTTCCAAAAGACGCTGCCTGGGATGAGTGGTCACAGAAAGCTCCATAAGCTGACTCTGGGGAAGGATGGTGGGGATTTCTTCGCTCAGCAGCAAGGCAAGCTAGACCAAGAGCAGGAGGTTTAACTGATAAGGATGTTAAGACTCGGTTATGCCAGGAACGTCGCGTGGATATTTTTTTTTTTTCTATTTTGTGTCGTTCCACATTTTTCGTATGTGTCTGTTACGTCCACAGTCCCGTCTTGCGTCATTAATGTAGTGAAGGCCTGCCCTGCCCTGGCCCGGCCAGTCTCAAAGGACACTGTATTTCAGCCTATGAAAGCGAAGAACAGAGACAAGTTTCTGGATGACCAGCATAACGCACTCTGGAGCGAGGAATTGATCAAATGCACGAAAACACGAACCTACATCACATCCAGATTCTCAGTTCTACTCCCATCCCGCAAAGTTCGTAACATCATAACCGTATATTGCATATAGATGAACAGTATTATACCACAAGTACACATAATAAAACAGACAACACGGATAGGTAAGCGCATAGATAATCGTAAGCCAAGGAGTGAAAATAGAAAAGGAAACGACGGCGACAACGTTTACAGCTCGTCGTCAGTGATATCCTCACCCCTCTTTTTGCGCGCCATACGCTCCTTCTTGAGCTACACAAAGATGAATCAGACAAACTCTGACTCCACAAAGCTGTTAAATGCCAACATACCTTCCGTGCTTCTGACGATGTGATCTTCTTGGCTTTCTTTGACTCAATCTTGTTACCCATAGCATCATACTGGTCGTCGTCTTCACCCTCCTTCTTGTCGATACGGGCTCCAGAACCTTGACCTTCAACCCAGTTGTGGCCGGAAGCTTCAAGACGACCATCGCGCATCGCCCACACTCTGTTAAAACACATACGCGTCAGCCAGGAATATCAGAGCTAACGAAACGAACGCACTCCTTGCACAGGGATTCTGAGAAGTCACGGTTGTGGGTGATAACGAGCACACCACCCTCAAACACCTTGAGCGCCTCGATCAGAGCAGCGAGAGATTCGCGATCGAGGTAGTCTACAACCAAGATCAATAAATAGATGAAATCATTCGAGAAAAAAAGAACATACTAGTAGGCTCATCCAAGCACATGACGTGGGGACGACGCCATGTGGCGGCACCGAGGACAATCTTGACCTTCTGTCCACCGGAAAGACCTCTCATGGTGTTATGCGAAACGAACTCGGGCTCGAGACCAAAGTCGGCAAAGTGCTTCTCAATCTCCCGACGAACGAGAGGTCGGAGAAGACCTAGGCGTTGAGCCTCACGGGTGTCAACTTCGATGACTTTCTGCAAAATCACGATAATGATTAGTATCATCAACAATGGGTAATATCCATCAAAGAACCAACCTTCTCGAAACCACGCTTAACGAGGTCGTCTCGTGGCAACCAAATGTTCTCAGAGGAACTGAGACCCTTGAAGGAAACCTCATACTCGTACGACTGCTTCAGCTTCTTCCTTGCAACAATCTCATCAATGAGCCTCTTCTGGCCTTCAACAACGATAGCAGCTCCATCCTTCATCTTCTGAGCCTCCTCCTCCGAGATCTGGCGGTTGGCCTTGGTCATCTCCTCCAAATCTTCACCAGTCTGATAACGCCACAGCATGTATTCGAGAGGCGTCTTGTCCAGGTGGTTGTCGATGTGGTGGAAGGCGTGTTGAGCGACGTAACCGATGACCAGGTTGGGGTGCTTCCAGATCTCACCACCCTTGTTGGGCTCCATGTCACCGATGAGGAGCTTGACAAGGGTAGATTTGCCGGATCCGTTAGGACCGAGGACAGCGACACGGGAGGAAAGAGAGACTTGGAGGGTGATGTCGTACAGCTGCTGGGTGACTTGCGTGGGGTACTGGAAACCAACCTTGCGCCTACAATTCTCATTAGTATGAATATATAAGCGGCCTAGCTGAGCTACTTACATCTTCAACAAACTCTTCTCCTTCGTCTTGACACCCTCAAGGAGAGGTGGGTCAGGGAGCTTGAACTTGTAGTCCTCGGCCGCCTCAAGAGTGTAGTAAGACTTGGCCTCAGGAACCTGGGCCACGAACTTCTCGAGGTTTCCACGATATCTGCGGAGCTTGAAGCGGTTCAAGTGGAGAACGTCCGTGATCGTGTTGTTAAGGAAACCGGAGTCGTGCGACACAATGACTGCAAAAAAGATGAGTGAAAAAGACGCTGACCAAGATAAGGAGACATACTCGAAGTGCAAGTCTTCAAGTTCGTGAGGTAATTCTCCAACCAAGCAACGTTAACGACATCAAGATGGTTAGTAGGCTCATCAAGCAGGAGGATGTCAGCCCTGAAAAGCATAGCCCGGGCAAGGGCAAGCTTCATCTTCCAACCACCAGACAGAGAACCAATTGCCTGGGCTTGACGTTCGTCACTGAAACCGACAGATGCAAGGGTCTCAATGACTTCAGCTTCGTTGGCAAGGATACGCTTGTCGCTTAGGATGAACTGGAGAACTGAAGTGTCTTCCTCGGAACCATCAATGTCGTGCTCGACGTAGAAAGTGCGGACTTCGTCGGGCGATGGGAAACCTTCGACTTGACTATACGCAAAGAGTGAGTACAGGTCACGGATAGAATAAAGTCAGCTTACCCGTTGGTGATAGCACGCATAAGAGTGGACTTTCCGGTACCGTTCTTACCGCAAAGACCGTAGCGGTGACCACGCTTAAGACGAAGAGTTGCAGTGTTGAGCAGGATCTTGGCACCATAAGCCAAAGAGAACTGGCAGTTGCAGAGATCTTCGCCTTCCTCCTCATCTTCGGGAACCTCACCATCATCGACGTCCTCGGTGGCGGACTTGACGACCCATTCACGAGTTACAATGACGGGGTCGGGAGTCGCTGAGACAAAGGCAAGGTAAGGTGCCAAAGTCTCCCACTGAGGAACGTCGAAGTTCTTGGCGATGACAAGGTCGGTAGCGAGGTTAGAAGCGTAGATGGCAGCAATGTGAGCAACGTGAATCTCGGTACCCATCTTCTTGTAGATCGCACCGAGGGAGTGACCGAGGGCACCGGCATCGGCGTGCTTGATGGGAGGTAGGTCTGAACCGTCACCCTCGGGAATCTGACCAACTTGACGAAGGGTGGCGATCGCCTTGCCGACAACACCGCGGGCTTCAGGGTCACCGATGGCTGTCTCAACTTTGAGCAGACCTGGAAGGAGCTTAGGAATGAAGGGTCGGACGGTGATGTGCGAGTCCACGAGCTTGGCCATGTTGTCAACAATACTGAAAGAGAAACTTGATCAGCATTAATCAGAGAAGGAGAAAACAGTGCCTACACTGCGACTTTTCGCTTAGTGGCGGTCAACTTCTCGTTAAGGCCACGAGAAAGAAGAGGGACCATTAGGGAGAGCGTAGGCGAGTCTACTTCTGAAACGAATGTGGTGGCCGACAGGAGAGCAATAGTATTAGGCACCTCCTCGACGGGATTAATAAGGGCCTTGATAAGAGCCGGAATAAATCGTTCAATATCCTTGTTAGAAACCAATGCGGTAGCCTTTGTGAGCGAATCACGGGCAGCCTTCTTCACGTCGGCCTTGGTATCCCAGATAATCTCAGAAAGGACGGGAATGATGTCAGGCATAAGCTTGGCCATCTGGATAGGGGCGCTCTTGACGAGCTGGTTGAGGATGACAAGGGATCCAGTCTTGATCTGCCATTTACCGGCAGTTTTGAGTTCATGAAGAAGGGCGGGAAGGATGAGGGCTGTAGCCCAGGGGTTCATTGCGACAACGTATTCTCGCACCGCCTCGACGGCAGCGGTCCGAACAGCAGGCATCTTGTCGGCGAAAGTCTCGAGGAGTGAAGCGTAGATACCGGACTCGATGAAAGCGGGTTCGAGAGCTTTCACTGCGGCAGATTTAGAGAGGGCAGCGATGAGCTGGGCAGCGCCCTCCCGTGCTGCAGGAGATTTTTTGTCGGCAAGAGCCTTGACCACACCGGGTGCGACGGCCTGGATGGAATGAGGACCGTCTTTTTGTGCAACAGCGATGAGCTTGGTAGCAGCTGATTCGCGCGTTGATTTGTCAGCGACAAAAAGAGCCGCAGCGTCGACCTGAGCGTCAGAGGGGTGCATGGCAGCCTTGAGGACGGCTGGAGAGGGAACAAAGGGAGCAGATGAAGCTGTAACAGCGGGCATATCTATAATCTGAGCACGTTTTCTTGCATTTCAGCTGAGAACATTGGAGAAAAACAGCGACGCACCTTTGATTGTGGAATGGTGGAAAAAATGAGGTGATGGCACACAAAGGCTGACAAGAAACAAAGGATGCTCTATATCTAAGGGTGGCAAATAGTGCCTGCAAAAAATGAGTACGCTGTAGCTTGGACGATAAAGAATCATGGCGACACACCTCTATGGGGGAGGGAAGAGAAAAGAGATGGATCGTTCACCTGATTTGCACACTTTTGTAGCACCGAGTCGGACTTTGAAAATTTCGCCACAATGCCCAGATGACCGGACCTTGCGGATTCAGTGATGATTCAATCGTACTCGTCCGTGATTGATACCGTGTGACATCGCTTCCGGTGCAATCATTGTGGGGTAACAAGGGCCTTATAACGGTAACGATCACCTCATACATACAATAATATCTCTTTGATATCCCTCAATTCTTCCCATCCAAGTCGCTAGTGTTCATAGTTCAGTGGGGAAATGGTCTAGATGAATTCTACATTCTTGACAACATCAGTCACCTGGTAGCGCCTAGACAGGAGGCCCCGAGAAGACTGGATCAGGTCGTATCTAACTGCAAGCAGTTCGCTGTACATACCTTGTCAAGCAATGCTTCCTCTCGCTTAATTCACAACATCTATGTGTTGTAGAACATCTGAATCATTACGTTCATTCCTCGCAAGTCGCAGAAATGATCTGCACGCTTTGATGAAGGGATTTTGACCGCTTGAAGCCACACGGAAGATCTGGCAAGCATCGGAAAATCGAACATCATCTTTTCTATCTACGCACAGAACAGCGTCTTCTAACATCGGAATTCGAACCATCAGCCGCGTCCGAATGCTGTTCGACCCATGATCCTTTTTCATTTGCTATGACGACATTCGGCCTTCCGAACTGGCGAAGAACCGGCTCTGGACGAGAATAGATTGTAATATCACTTGTTCTTTGGTTAGGCTAACACCAGAACAACAGCCTATTCATAACAGAAGGCACGTCGCAACTATACACAGCTTTGCGCCGCGAATGCACTTTACGGAAATTCTGATAAACGCCAAGGAACTCAAGGAACTCGATGATGTGAACAAGATACCTTCGCAGGATCGCTCATCGCAAGGGCCCGATGAATCCTGGAGCTACGCCACAATACAAGATCGGTTTCCCCGGCACAGCGCTGTAGCTTCGGGGAAATAATGGAACATGAACGTGTCTTCGCAACCCCATCAAGAAACCTTGGGAGAGCAATCCAACCGCAGCACTAGCTAGTGGGATGGATGGCATGGGCGCCCAAAGGGACAACCTCAGATTTTGATGTTCATTCTAAAGATCATTTCAACATTTATATCATTTATCTGGTTAAATCATCCCATCAAAACCTGCATGCCCCTTATCTACATAAACATTGTGCCAGTTGAGAAAGATCCTTTCACAGACGCAAGTACTGAGCAGCAGACAAGCTGCACTGCCACAGCCGCCGGCAAGAATTTCTCTCTCTCTCCGCCCTCCCCCCCAATGATCCGTCTTCCTGCCTCATTTACCAGTCTGTACAGACTCTTTTTGCGCACCACTTCTGCCTCAGTTCTACACCATCCATTGGCTACTAGAAACCTACGCAATCTATGGCGGTCCACTTTCCACGACGCAGCAAAAGTAATACACCACCTCCACCATGAGCCTCCTCCTCCACCCGCAATCAAAGAGGAGCTCGAGTCTTGGTTATCCATCTGGAACAACAGAGGTACGTACGCTTGTCCCCCTCCCCCCCAAGTTCCCTATACCATTCCCCAATCTAAACCCGAGCGACGAGCAGTCGACAACACCCTCGCCCTCCTCCACAACTCCTCCCACACGCGTGGCTTATCCCACCAATTGACTCGTAACCTAGCCTTACTCGTGCATCACGAATATCGCCGGGTATCCGAAATCAAATACCCCGTTTGGAACCCACAACTACCCGCGGACTCGAAAGAGTATCAGATTCGAGTACTACCGGCGAAATCTCGCACGGAAACGAAGCGTGACGCGATGAAGGCCATCAGTGATCGCGCCTTGTCTGCAGTGTCGAAGGCCGTTCGTATGGCCGAAGGAAGGGATGGTGTCGTTCTAGGAAGCGTGGCAGTCAAAGGAAAGTTGAAGCGGAACGTATGATACGTGAGTGTCCCTTCGCGCGCATCTTACGTCGCAGCTCTTTTACAGCTCTTTATAGTGATTGTGACGGAACGGATGCCTGCTGGATACGTCTGAACGTCGCGCTGGAAGAAGACGTTATGATATTCGAGTCGCTTGGCATCGCCAAAAATACGGTTGACGGGTACGGTTACGACCCGTACCGTCGACGGTTTCAGCGCATACGGTGCGGATTCCTAATTAATCTTGAACCTTGCGATGAGGTGTACGGCCGTCGAAAAAATTAACCCACGTCAATATATAACTATAATATTAATAAAAGATGATGGATACAAATTCCGACAAATTACACTACCTAAAAATATATCATACAATATTGATCTACATACCCATCCCAAGCCCAGAAGAAAGCCCTACCGTAGGATCTGCGACTACTATGCCGCACTCGTGCATAAAAGACAGCCACCCCGGATCCATATTCGACTCCGTCATCAATCCCAACTCCGCCAGCGCAGCAGCATTCACTGCCGGGAAGACTGGCACCGGTGGTGGATGTTGGATATTGAACCAATTCAGGTCATTAGAGCTGATACCAGACTCAGGCGGCTGGTATTGTGGCTGTGGCGTTTGGTTTACTGGAGGAGCATAGAGCGTTTGTGGGTGGTAGCCCGCGGACGCGGGTCCGATTGAATAAAGTGGAGAGGTCTCCGTCCAATTCGTGCTTGGAAGATCGAATATAGCGTTCCACGAAAACCCATGGTCCTCTTCCGTACCAGTCGGCGGGACATTTGCGAAAGTCGATCCTGATGATAAAGGAAATGGTTGTACGGTTTGAGGCGACCACTGTCCATGAATTTGCAGACGAGGTTCCGTTGTCGTCATCATCCCCCCACCGCCGTCTTTAATGTAGTCCATCAATGACGGATGGACATTGACTTTATGTAGCTTCGCTTCAGCTGCAGGGCCCCCAGGAGAAGGCGTGGACTCAGTAGTAGAAGCAGGGAAACCGGTAAACTGTAACGAGTTCTTTGACCGATGCCTCTTTGTCAGTACTTTAGTCTGCCCGCCGAATATTGCCAATTCATCTTCGGACTCGGAGTACGGTGGTTGGGTGGATGACTTGTCGGACATATCGCTCTCGGGTGACCGGGATTTTAGCCGGGACTGGGTATAAGATACTATGGCTTTATCTCTGAGCTTGCGCAGAATGCCCTTATCGAATGTCATTAGAATGCAAAGAGAGGCAGGCCTATAGACTCACTAAGGCGACTCTTGCTCTCTGAGATTTAGCTGCGCACGTTTCGAACAGCCTGATGGCCAACTCCAAGTCCTCCAAAGCACTGCGAGCGATGGTGGTATTAGGTGAACGAGTGACCACACTGCCAACGACCACCTGAGGCAATGGTAAATAGGGGAAGGACAGATTCATTTGATAATTCTTACTGCTGAAGAAAAAATGTGATACAGCAGGAACCATACCCTCGTGGCCGCGTCAGCTGAACGATCAAACTGGTGCGCGGCAGCCTTTATCATAACAGACGCACTCCGATACGCTGTTAGGAAAGAGGGAGCGAAGGGACTGAGAAGAGGATTCGAAGGGGAATCGAGGATAGACTGAGCAAAGTAACTCCGATGTAGGTAGAGCATCGCTAAAGATGAGAAGTAAAAAGAGCGAAACGGTGTACATCGGAATCACTCACTAACGGTCCTATGTTGACTTGCATAAAAGTCTCTTAGACTCTTCGCACTAGAATAGTAGTCTCCGACCCCATCTTCGAGTTTGACATACGGCTTGAAGGACGACGGGAAGGTCATCTGACGGACTTTCTTATCAAGGTCCAGTATAGTAGCATAGCTTGGCGTTTGGGCAGTCAGGGTCGCGTCAACGACAGCACTGAAGATGTCTCGGGCAAAGGTGTATTTCATGCGCCAGACTATAGACGCGACGTGGGTGTCGAATAGAAAAACGAGAGGGTTAACATTTTTAACTCACAACCAAATTCAATATCTCCCGACTGGCTCAACGTTGCCTCCTCATCGGTTGGGAACTCACAGTCAACAAACGATAGATGAACTGCGGGAGGCCGACCAAGGGCAAGGCTCTGTTCTAGTCCGTTAGCCAGATCCACCAAGCATAAACATGAATGTCACTTGCATGAGATACGTCGGAAGAGAAGATTTCCCACCATAGATTTCTGCGCATTTGAACGGTCCTGGGTTCCATGTGCCATCTCGCGCTATCCCGATCTGTAAGGCATATTTGGGTAAGGGGAAGAGAAACGCTTGAGTGGTGACAACAGACTAACGAAGGCCAATCTATAATTGCGGTCAACGATGAAAGAACAAAGGTCACAAGAAGCTCACACTTAGTGCTAACTTGACAGCAAGCCCCATGCTAAACCACTGAAATATATATGAGTTCGAGGGCATAACAGTACAGATGCGGACGTACAGCGGTATCCCGGGAGTACTTTTTACTTGCCATGCTGTGATACGTCGCCATAAGTCCGACTGCGCGAATGGTGTTAATTTGAGGCGCATCCAGTAGAACGTGTTTCAGTGACAGCGCTGTAAGTCCCAGGTGATAATATAATTCCGCCTCTTTGTTGTAGGCCCCAAGACGGAGATCAAACAGCGCCCCCAGTGCAAACACAAAGAACAGGGTAGCAAGTGTATGGGGAACAGCCGAATTAGGCTCCTTGTATATGTCAGGGAGGAACAAATCAAACAGTTCATCCCTTTTGATAGGCCGGAAGAAGAGGGACGCGTGATCGATATACAATTGACAGAGGACATGGGCGCGGTCTCTTGGGGGTAACCTGGAGGCAACATTGGCAGCGGCCATATGTGCTTGTGAAAACAGAAATCCTGTGGTGGCCTTCTCCAGCGACGGGCTTGTTGAAAGCTCGGTACTGTCGTCGGATGAATAGTCGGAAATATTATCCCATTCCTCGCCTGCCTATACAGCAAGTCAGTGTCAGCGACGACAAAGGGGGGAGAGAAGACGTAACGATTAATGTCTAGAAAACCCTGGTCATTGAATGTGCTGTGCGAAGAGAATTTACACACCTCTGAACCAGCTGACCTGCCGAAATACCGCATGTCACCCTCGTCGGTCAACGTCAACGTCCCGAGAGCATCAATGGCCTGTGTCTCTGCGGGACGTCGGTCCCGGTTTGCAGCCTCTGCTCCAAATTTGATTTTGAGAAGTTCATCGTCGAGAAGAGGGTGTCGCTCTTCAGAGACACTAGCCTGTAGAATCGCTAACGCGTCCTCGAGCGACCGTATACGTTGGCTCATTTCGGTGATTTTACGATGCAGATGATCCGTATCAGCGAGAATGAATCTGGAAAAGCGTGAAAATTTGAGCAGAGTATGATCGTGCGAGCAACGAACCGAGTGCCTTGTCCCGCAGACAAAATACCTGTTGAGTGTCACTGTAGCTCTGGGTTTGCACTCAGTGGAAGAGACCGACCACAGGGGCATATACTCTCGCATCCTCGCCTACAACACGAGCTACAGGGAACCTTCTTATCGCAGCGAAGTTCTGGTCGAGACGGATAAATGGTGTCATCACGACCACTGTATAAGACGCAAGCCTACTGAGTCGGCGACATTCAGCGCAAGAAAGTTCTCCTGGACAGGGAACGATGGGCGCAGAAAAGTGGAAGTGAGGGGTAAAATGAGGATGGCCGGAAGGTGTGAGAAATGACGATCAATTGCTGGCCAAATACGTTAAGGAACAAGGACGCACCCCGAATACGCTTTTGCTCAATATCCTTGAGCTCTTCCTCACTGAAGATCTTTTGTCGTCGCTTTGTTGTCTCGGGTGGCATTCCAGTTGCACATAGAGGAATCAGTGAGCCCCTTTCGGCCTAACCATGACGAATTATCGTCACGGGGATCGCTTATTAGTGCGGGGTCCGGGGGAACGGTGCTGAGGCGCAATCACGGATAATTGTAGTGTACGGCATAGTTCGCTTGTTCGTTGTCGAAAGCAAGAGTAGAACATTATACGTGAAATCAACACAGAAGGTGTTAGACGTAGAAATAGTATGATACGCACATGTTCACTTACCTATTTGATATTCCTTCCTTTTTTGGCATGTCACACCATTCTGCACATCTCAGCTTTCAACCATAACGCTGAGATTAACGTTATGACGTTTTATCCTAGCGTCCGTTCCCTTCCGAAACTTTTTCCTCGTTCACCACGTCCACACTCCTACCTTGTTAACTCCAACAGGTTATGGGCCCCGCTACCAGCATGTCCACAACAACTGAAATAAAGCTAGTTAGCACAACAAAGCTTGCGGATGATGGATCGAACTGGGTAGCATTTTCAGAGAAGCTCACCACCAAGTTCCTGGACAAGAGCCTTGGCTGGCACCTCTGAGGAACAGCTTGCATACCCCTGCACCCTGTCGAGCACAAGGGAAACTTCTACCAGTCCTCTGATACTATATTTTCACACCCACTCTCAGATGATGACCTGGATAAGCTGGAGAATAAGCTGGAGGAATATGAGCAGAAAGAGGCAAAGATGCGTAATATCATTTATAAAGCCGTTTCCGACTCTATCTTCAATGAGATCAAAGGCGAGGCAACAGCTGCCCTTATCTGGAGAAAGCTCATCGCTGTCATGACTGGCAAGGGCGATCTCATGTGAGAGCACCTCCTTACTCAGCTTGGAAACATGGCATGCCCTGATGAAGGCAATATGCATGAACACCTTGCCAAAATGAAAGTTCTCTATAAATGAATTGAAGGAATGGGTCTAAAGATTGAAGACAATCAGTACACTTCAATGATCTAAAAATCACTTCCACCTTTCTATGATCATATCCATTGCACCCTCTCTGCTGCCAGCAAGTTCACTGGAAAGACCCTGACATCAGATATCCTAGTCATAGCCCTGCATGAAGAATGAGATGAGGAGATTGCATCAAAGGCCACTGCTGAAAACATAGCAATGTCTGCTCAATGACAGAGCAAAGGGAAGGGTCAGAGCTCTGGAGGAAAGTCAAAGAAAAGACCTGATTGATCTTATCTCAAATGCACAAACCCAGCATGTGGTAAAACTGGCCATCTCATTGCAGACTGTTGGTGTGAAGGCAGTGGAAAGGCAGGACAAGGCTCAGCTTCAAAAAAGAATAAGGCTAAAGAGAAGGAAAAGGCAAAAGAGTCAGCATCTGCAGCTATTGATGAAAGTGATGATGAACATGTTATCACTGTCATAGCTGATGACAATGATCACAAGAATGTGGCATTAATATGCACATCTGACTATAGAGCTGAAGGTGATGTCTATGCAGCAAAAGAGAAGAACATTATAGCATTAGCAGATTGTGGAGCATTGAAAACATACTCACCTGAATGTCAGAGGTTCAAAAACTATACCAAAATCAAACCAAAGCCTATCAAAGCTGCAAATGGCTAAGTTTTCTATGTGATAGGAAAAGAAGATCTTCAACTACCACTTCTCATGAGAAAGGGACAGAAACCCACCATTGCAAGTTTTTGAAATGCATATCATGCACTAAAAATGGCCTACACTCTTATATCACTCTCACAAGTCAGTTGCACTGGATTTTTCATCCATATTAAACCCTCCGACCACACCATGTACATCTGCACACCATGGCCAGATGCTAAGATCATTGCAAAAATCCCCAAAGCTGGTGGCTTATACATAATCTCAACTCCAAATGTACAGCAAACTATAGCAGCCAAACCAGATATCACTATGGTGGCAGATAAGCTCAAGGTGAACATCACTGAGCTACATAATATTTGTGCTCACCAAAGTCACACCACTCTTTGCTGCATGTATATCGATGGCTATATCAAAGGAATCGAGCTTGATCTCAACTCCAAACCAGAATTTTGCAAGACCTGTGTAAAGGCCAAAGCAAAGTGCAAGCCATTCCCAAAACAAGGCTAATATGAATATGTCGACAATAGCAGTGACAAGATTGTCAGAGACCTGATGGGCCCGATGTCTATAGCATCACTAGAAGAAGCTCACTATGCCTGCACATTCTGTGACTTACACACCCATGAATCAAAATCCAAATACTTATCAAAGAAATCAAATACCCTTGGGTCATATAAATGTTATGAGATATGGATCAAGGTTCAGCAAGGCATAGAGGTCATCAAGATCCTTGGTACAGATCGAGGGAGAGAATTCACTAGCAGAGTTTGATCAGCATCTCAAATTGAAGGAGACTATTTGGCACCTTAATGTATATGATTCCTCACAGTTGCATGGGATTGCCAAACATTCAAATGGCTATCTGATGGATACAACTAGAGCTTTCTTAATCAGTTCAGGGTTACTAAAATACCTCTGGGCTGAAGCTTACCGGCATGCTGAATAGATCTACAACTGCATCTCAACAAGTGATACCATCAGAGAAAACTCCATTCGAGATGGCAACCGGCAGGAAGTCTAACATCTCATGTCTTCACTTATGGAGATGCTAATGCTGGATCTGAGTAAAGGCACTAGAGAAGCTTGAGGAGCATGCTATTGAAACTTACTTTGTGGGCATTGATACTGAAGCTAAAGGCTAGAGAGTTTACTGATCTAAAAAGCAAAAAATCAGCATTGGATGTGATGTATACTTCAATAAAAATGACCTGACTCCAGAACCATTCGTAGTTGAGGGAGAGGATGAAGATACCGACCCTATTGTCTCAAAGTCATCAACTACTTCTAAACTCTTCAAAAACCTACCAGATGAACTACTCACAGAAACTCATTCAGAGCATCCCGAATCTCCACTCACAGATATAGAATCTGATCCTATCCCTCAATCCAGCCACCCTAAGCAATCTGCAGCTCCAAAACCTGGTCAACTCACATCCTCAGACTTGCACAAATGTCTCACTACAGCTGGAATTGTAGCAACAGCACTTGAAGACAAGTCAGAATCAGACAATGATGATGAACCAGACAGCTACTCACCAATCGACTATACTATGATGGTGGATGTCGAACCAGTAATCATGAAAGAAGCACTGAGTGGTTCTGATGAAGGGGAATGGCATGAGTCAATACTTGTAGAGATAAGACAGTGCAAGAAGAAGAAAGCATGGGAGGTGATGAAAAGAAAAGATGTTCCCACAGATGCAAACATCATGGGTATAAGGTTTGTCTACCAGATCAAACAAAACAAAACTGGTGAGCCTGAAAAGGCTAAGTCCTGTTTTGTAGCCCAAGGATTCTCTCAGATCTAAGGCATTGACTACTTCAACACCTATGCCCTGGTTGTTTGTCTTCCCACTCTCTGCATCCTACTCTCTATGGCCATCTCTCAGAATGCAATTATAGACCAAGCCGATATTAAAAATGCATACCTGCATGCTGACATCACCGAGGAAATCTATATCAAGTTTCCAAACAGATATGAAGAATTCTTCACAATCTCAGAACATTTCAAAGGTCAGAACATTTATGCTAAGCTGCGCAAATGTCTGTATGGCACAAAACAAGCAGGATGCAGCTGGTATCAGACCCTGAAGGCAATGATGATCTCTCTAGGATTCACTGTCAGCAATGCAGATGAGGTTGTTTTCTACCGGATCAAATCAGAGACTAAATATACCATTGTCACAGTTGCCACAGATGATTTCACCATCATTGCAGACTCCCAAAATGAATCAGATCAATTCAAACGAGAAATAGGCTCACATTTCGAGCTAGTTGATCTCGGACCCATACATTGGCTCTTGGGGATGCATATCACTTGGGACTGGGAAAGGCACACCATCAGCATTAGACAGCCAGCCTACATTGACCAGATCGCAAAACGATTTGGAGTTCAGAACATGGCACTATTTGTGACACCAATAGAAGTGAACCTTGATCTAAACCCAGATTCACCCTCCATATCCATGGAATCTGTTACGCCACATGAAAAAGCACTCTATCGTGAGCTGCTAGGGTCCCTCATGTATGTTGCAGTTGGATCCTGCCCTGAAATCAGCTATCTGGTATCAGCATTATCACAATTCGTGGAAGACTCATGTTCAACTCACCTAAAAGCAGGATTCCGAGTCCTCTGTTATCTCAAGAGTACGCGTGATCAACGGCTCATAATCAGTGGTCCTGGCATCAGTCCTAAGGGCTATCATGATGCAGCATATGCCAACCAGTCTAGATGAAAGTTTATGTCTGAATTTGTCCTATTCATGGGTCAAGGCACTGTTATGTGGACATCGAGAAAGCAACCAATTGTTACTGTCTCCACCAGTGAATCAGAATATGTTGGACTCACACCAGCATTGAAGAACATGATATGGCTTCACAAACTCCTCTCAGAGCTCTCCATATTCATTGCAAACCCTTCCATTTACCCAACAAACCCTACCATCCTCTTCTCTGATAGTCAAAATGCACTTTCTATTGCCAAGGATTCAGTATTCCATGAACGAATGAAACATATTGGAGTTTGGTACCATTTCATTCACCAAACCATTGAACAAGGCCACATCAAACTAATGTACTACCCAACTGATAATATGGTTGCCGACATCCTCACAAAACCATTGGCCCGTCCAAAATTCAAGAAGTTTACAGAGGCACTGGGCATCATGTAAGCGAACCGTTTATGTTTCGAGGGGAAGTGTTAGACGTAGAAATAGTATGATACGCACATGTTCACTTACCTATTTGATATTCCTTCCTTTTTTGGCATGTCACACCGTTCTGCACATCTCAGCTTTCAACCATAACACTGAGATGTGAGTACCTCCTATACATATCTATCCTTGACCGTATTTACTTATTACCTATGTAGTAACGTTACGACATTTTATCCTAGGTAAATAACACAGCTTTCAACCATAACGCTGAGATTAACGTTATGACGTTTTATCCTAGCGTTCGTTCCCTTCTGAAACTTTTTCCTCGTTCACCACGTCCGCGCTCCTACCTCGTTAACTCCAACAGAAGGACTCTTGCTTCCATAGAGCCTGGATTTTGGCTTCCGCATTGACCATCAATACAGTAGAGAGTCGAGACCGCATATGTTTTCATCGATCATTATCTACAAATACCATACAGCAATATTAAAAAAAAAACACACACAACAGCTTGGGCATCTACCCTGAACGACTCGACCTCTTTTCCGGAGCTGGTGAGCTTCTTTCTCAGGGACATCAGCGAGAATAAATATCGTCCTCCTCCAGCCACTATCAGCTTCAGAACTGACCGCTGATTTATCTAATTACGAGATTGACTGATATTTCTTGAACCTTACTTTATTCCCCACCGGTTCAAGAAAGTAAAGTTCAAGAGATATCAATTAATTGCTGACTAGGTTAATGAATGATCAGCGTGAGTCCTGAAAAGCAACTACAAGCCCGCGTGGGGGAGAGTGGGAAGAAGTCTAGGGAACCAATGGTTCTGTTGGGGATCCCAATGCAGGGTCTTGAGATCAAATGACGCGGCGTCTCGCATAGAGCAGGGCAGTCCTGCGAGGTTGTCGCAAGTCGTCACCAAGACTTGGAGAAACTGTCCAGAGTTGTCCATCAAATTCGTCAATAAGGGCAGCAAGGGTTGGCAAACCTTTGCTCGCTCGTCTCGCCACTCGCCAGCCCAATCATTACGAAAAGTCGGTTCAAGCAATTGGCTAATGAGAACGCGCGCGAAACCAAAGGACTCCGATGGGGAGTAAAATTTGTCCTGGAGAGGGGGTCAGAAGGATTTCAAACAAACAAACCCAGTTCATACCTCGGAGATTTCCTGCGTCGAGGGGAGAAATTTATACAACTGAGGATGTCCCACAGGGTGTGTGCAGACATCTTTGTATTGAGGGCGCCACGCCCACTTGTATCGACGAATAAAATTTGGCTTCATGCGTTGCCAGTCAAACGGTAGCAATGCTGCCATGACCTGAAAATGCAATAAGTTTATTGCGGTGCTGCAGAGGCTGAAGGTCCGCACGGAAAACATTGCTATACTCATTATCTGTATTGCTGTCAGGAACTGCTTCTGGAATCGAAGCTCCCCGTAGGCATTAGAATCTGTTGACGTTCATCAGACTGGACTTCATTCATACATAAGGCAGCTCACCCAGCGGAACAACAGGAAGGATCTCATCTAAGCAACAGAGATGTCGTTCGATGACCTGAGACGTGTACCAATACGCGAATGGTCTCTCCTCCTGAGAGTAGAGCTCCAGCTGGAAACCCGACAATATTATCTCTCTAATTGTCGAGAGCCTCCAGAGAAGAGCGGCATTAGGTAGCTGCTTCACGACATCATAAACAGGAGAAGTCTAATCAAAGCAGTGAGCAGAAGAATCTGGAAGACTTGTGGCCTTACGTCGTTAGAGAAATGACAGGCCAGGTTAACGAACAGATCATATAGAGCATGCCAGTCAAAAGTCAAGTTCATTAGCTGTCGTCTCCGCCGTGGCGCGTTCAACCAATTTCCGGTGATATGCGTGTTGAGGAGCTATGTCGTTCATTGAATTCGTGAGATAATAGATAGCAGAAGGACTTACTTTAGCTAAAGACCGTTCCATCTGAGACAGTGGCGGAGATGTAACATCCTTCCAGCCATCCTGAATAACCTTGACTATCCGTTCGTAATTTACCCCCAAGGTCTCAGTCAAGAAGGACTGAGTAAGCCAGGACAAGTTAAATCTATTGAGTACCAGCAGACCATCGTAAAAACAACTCTACGCAAGATGTAAGTGGGAATACAACCCTTATCCTAGATAACCTACCTGTATGCGAGAGCGTATATAGGCAGGATTCCGAATTAACTGCCACCGCCGCAAATTTCCTACAATCTTTAACAATACGTCATTTAGCGCCAAGACTGTTATATGAGAGTTAGCATTACCTCCCAGGTCGTTATATATTTGGTTAGAGATAGTGACAGCATCTCACGCCAGCCATCCAGAAGCTTTTCTAATGCATCCCAGGTTTGTGTCGTGGAAGGAACGTCGATTTCACGAATTGGTATGAATGTTGTGAGACGACGGGCTATGAATGGGTCGAAGGCCAAGTGCGCTGGAGAATCGTCTTGTGGCATAGGTGCAGGATGGGCCCGTACAATATCCAAGAGCTCATATGCTCGTTGTAGCAGGTCCATGAATGACCCGGGGTCGTCAAATATGTTGCAGTTCATGAGACGAAGAATAATCTGGGAAAAATGAGAACGCAGCAGGAGAAAATGAAAATGACCATCAACTTTTCGTAGGTCAAGGCGGACTCGTAACCCGTCTCTCCAAAGCGGCGGTACTAAGACAGTATTAACAAAGGTACCACCGCAGGTGAGCAAACACACTCTTCATTGTATGCAGTAGCCAGTTTGATGCCTCATCAAGCCTGGCCAGCACAGACTTGACGGGGTATCCTTCTAACAATGAGACGTCGCATTTATCCCCCTGCCAGTCCTCTATCTAGAAACGGACCTCAACAGCTGTAATTTAGATACCATGAATAAGAGTACTCACGTCCTGGAGAATCCCTCTATTGAGGCAATCCCATGAAAGACCACAACACTTCAGATAGCCAAAAATGAAGGTCCTAAGAACGATCGAGACTAGCTCCACTGGTCGTTCGGGGTCTCCAGCGAAAGGTAACTGGTAGGGGATCATATCCGGATCTATAGCGCCTAGCTCGTGGACATAAACGAAGGTGAAGACGGTATTGGAAAGAAGATTTCCCGCGTGCCATTCCATCTATAAAATGTTTATCAGTTGTTGTCCTTGCAGTAATCTCGCTGAAACACACCTCATAGGAAAACGACCTATCAATTATCCAACAAACTTCTTCCGGTAACAAGGGCATTAGAGGATCAAATGGTGGCCTTTGGTTCTTCTCTAGAATCATCCCGCTATCCAAACGAGGCTCACCAATCTAGGAAACGAGATAAAGATCAAGGTATCGTGAAGGACAGAAAGAACGTACCTCTAACGCGCTCATAGCATCCAGAAGTGAGAATCCGTCCATCATGACCAGGCTACCAGATTCCATCTCTTAAACGACAAGATAATCACTTTTGTCTGTAGAAACGCGACGTACTGCTACTCACCGGCTGCAGCATTGAGGAAGACATTCGTCACGTCCTGAAACGAGTCGCCGCCAGGCATGTCGGTGCCCTTAGGTCCCGAATCCATATCCATCGTTCAGATATCCGTCTAATTTGGAGACAGCGAGCTTCAGATAATCGATACCATGGCACTGGGAAAAAAATATAATGGGCGATGGTGGAAGTCACGGACATCTCGGTGGCTGTGTCTCTTGCCTCTAAAAATGCAGTCATCTCTCCTCAAACGGACAGTCCGTTCTTTCTTCTTGACTTGTCGCTGCAGGCACTTTTCCACGTCCCTTGGTGCTCATCATGACGTGAAAAGCCAAAATTGCGTTATCCTTTCCGGAATTCAACCGACAGGCGTGCCGCATGTATGTACTTCATGCCGGCTAGAACGAAGCTGCTAATGGCGGTTGCAGCTAGGCAATTATTTTGGAGCACTTGCGAACTGGGTGAAACTCCAACGGGAGGCGGGACCGGATGATGTCCTGCTCTACATGGTTGCTAGCTGGCATGCTTTGACTCTACCGCAAGACCCAGCACAACTCGCCAACGCCAGAAATGATACCCTGGCTGCTCTCTTGGCCATCGGATTAGACCCTAAACGCTCGATAATATTCCACCAGGACACGGTGCGTGACTATAATGTACCCTGGTCATTCCTACTAATTCCTCAGAATTATAGAACAGGGATCATGCTGAACTAGCCTGGATATTCAACTGCATATCATCTACAGGAATGTTGCGTCGAATGACAACTTGGAAGGTACATGTGCAGCAATGTCGGTCTTTAACAGAGCCTGATCGCCATGCAGTCACGACTAGCTACTTCACGTAACATGTCCGACGACGCTGATGTCGACGAGGGTTCGCTCAACGCCGGTTTATTCACCTACCCTGTCCTTCAAGCTGCCGATATCTTGGTGTACAAGTTAGTGCCCTTTACGCTATTCCTCTCACATGACCCTGACTACTATTATATTTCAGCTCTACTCACGTCCCAGTTGGCGATGACCAGACTCAACACGTAGAACTATGTCGAGATATCGCGGAACGATTCAATCATACTTTTTCGCCCGATTCCCCGTTATTCACTCTTCCTGCCCTTCTGAAAAGTCAGTTTTCTTCCTCCGTTGCTGTCACCCAAAACCAACATTTCTTTAGCATCTTCTAAACGAATACTGTCTCTTCGAGATCCTTCGTCCAAGATGTCAAAATCAGCTCCCGACGTATCGTCTCGCATCCTCCTCACCGATGACGCCTCGCAAATCGCGTCCAAGATTCGAGTTGCCGTGACAGACTCCATCCAAGGAATTACTTACGACCCTGTCAACCGACCGGGCACGGCCAACCTCTTGACTATTCTTGCAGCATGCACAAATGAGAACGTTGCCGATGTCGCCTTGCGATATCAAGACAAGAATCATGGCCATATCAAACGCGACCTTACAGAAGTAGTCGAGGAAACATTGAAAGGACCCAGGATAGAGTTTGGGAGATTGCGGAAGGATGCAGCATATCTTCGTGAAGTTGCTCTAGATGGTGCGGCCAGGTCTGCCGAGAGGTCAGAGGCTGTGATGAGGAAAGTTAGAGAGGCCATTGGATTGCCGTCTTTCATATAGCTTGAATGCATCCATCTACTTGTTGCTAGAGCTCATTGATTGCCCTGAAAAATCCTCCATTGTATGACGCATTGATCAATAGTACAGGACGGAGAGCCCTTCGAAATGCAAGGCTACTGGTGTTCCTTTTTGCCTCGGTCAGGAACTCACTGTGAAGTTAAACAAGTGATGGTTCCGGTTGTGCGGAAAAAGCCGGCGGCAGTGCAGATTAGTTGCCGTTGCTTCACTGGCACGTCGGCCAGAAAACACAAGTAAATACCGCTCCTTGCAGTGCACTTGAAATTCAAGAATCAGACGAATCCTCTTGCCTGACCCTTTCCTGCGCGTTATCCGTTATTTCACCGTTCTTTGTTCTTCATCGATGTCAGATGAGTACCCCAGCTTGTTCCGTGCGTTGTCGAATTCGGATATCATTCTTGCTACTGACGACGGTATTGTGTATGCATAGGCTCGGAACAAATGAGCCTGATGCAGCTCTTTGTACCCACTGAAGTAGCGCATGACACCGTCGCCGAGCTTGGAGAATTAGGAAATGTCCAATTCAAAGACGTGCGTGTACTACTGCTGAGTTGTATCTCGTGAAATTAACTTGTTGCAGTTGAATCCCAGCGTCAATCCCTTCCAACGCTCCTTTGTCGGAGAAATTCGCCGTATCGATGAAATGGCACGCCGAGTGCGATTTTTCTCCTCCCAGCTCGCAGCCGAGAAGGATGTCGTTCCTATTCGTCCTCTATACGACTCTGCGCCGTTGATCACCGTTGGTCCCCGTGCTGCTCAGACTCTTGACGAACTGGATGTAACCCTTTCTGAACACGAGTCAAGGCTCATCAAGATGAATGACAGCTACCGGACACTGAGTACACGGACCAGGGAGCTTGTTGAAGCTCGTCATGTATTGCGGGAGACTGCAGTGTTCTTTGAAAAGGTCAGACTCCATGCCATTTTTGTAGGAAATTGTTCAAACAGTGGTGTAGGCTCAAGTCCAGCAGAGTGACATCCGCACTTCCTTCGACGAAAGCTCAGCGCCTTTGCTTCAGCATGATGATCGCGAAAATCAGTTCTCGACTAGTTCCAACATCCCGTTCGACTTGGAGTAGGTCCAGACCAGCTTTATCACCGATGTTTTGCTTATTGTCGAGCTCAGGTTTGTCGCTGGCACACTTGATCGTGCACGGATTCCTACGTTTGAACGAGTTCTTTGGCGAGTACTACGTGGAAACCTTTACATGAACCACACCGATATCGTTGAACCTTTTGTGGATCCAGCAACTGGCGTTGAAACCCGCAAGAATGTGTTCATTATCTTTGCTCATGGTGATGCCTTGTTGGCCAAGATACGTAAAGTTGCCGAATCTATGGGTGCTACGCTGTATCCCATCGATGCCAATGCTGACAAACGCGAAGAGGCTCTCCACGAGGTCACCATGCGCCTAGAGGATCTTCAGACAGTTCTGTATAATACGGGTTCAAATCGTCGGAGCGAGCTTGTTAGAATTGGTGAAAGCCTGCGGAGCTGGCAGGATGTAGTCAAGAAGGAGAAGCTCATTTATGAGACGTTGAATCTGTTCAACTACGACGTCAGGAGAAAAACGCTCATTGCGGAGGGATGGGTTCCCACCAGGGATATCACTACTATACAGCTGGGGTTGAGGCATGCGACTGTAAGTTTTAGACCGTAGTGGCATGAATTGAAGCTAATTATAAATGTAAAGGAGGAGTCTGGCACCAGCGTCCCCCCCATCCTACATGAACTTCGTACCAGCAAGACACCACCGACATTCAATCGCACTAACAAGTTCACGGAGGGCTTCCAAACCATCATGGACAGCTATGGGATTGCGGCCTACCAAGAAGTCAATCCTGGACTGTTCGCTATTGTCACTTTCCCTTTCTTGTTTGCGGTCATGTTTGGCGATATCGGTCACGGCTTTATCATATTCTCTGCGGCGCTCTATATGATTCTGGCGGAGCGCAGGCTTAGCAAAGCAGACCTCGGCGAGGTATGTGCTAGCAATCTTCACTGTCCTCCCCTGACTGAGACATAACGATTGCAGATTTTCGGTCAATTCTTCTTGTAGGTGAATTTCAAATCGGCAAACTTCCTGTGTTGACTTTCTTCTTCAGCGGGCGCTACATCATCCTTCTGATGGGAATGTTCTCTATTTACACTGGCTTCATGTACAACGATATCTTTTCCAAGTCTCTTCATATCTGGCACTCGGGTTGGGACTTCCCAGATGGTGGGGAAGGTAAAGTTATCGGCATTTCCAATGGACATATGTATCCTTTCGGTCTCGATCCTGGCTGGCATGGTGCAGATAACGGTCTCGTATTCGTTAATTCATACAAGATGAAGATGTCTGTCGTTCTCGGTGTCATTCACGTTGGTCCTTCCTTGTTCATTAGAACTCGTTCTGAAGGAATATTTATAGATGACGTTCGCACTGTGCTTGCAGCTTCCGAACCATATCAAGTTCAAACGTCCGGTTGATATCTATGCCAACTTTGTACCTCAAATTATCTTCCTACTCTCCATCTTCGGTTACCTGGTCCTTTGTATCCTCTATAAATGGTCCAAGGACTGGAGCAAATCATCTCTGCCCCCGCCGTCGCTCCTGAACATGCTCATTAACATGTTTTTGTCCCCGGGTAACATCAAGCCAGGTACTCGGCTGTATCGTGGCCAGTCTGTTGTCCAGGTTATCCTGTTGCTCATGGCATTGGTGTGCGTCCCTTGGTTACTGATCACCAAACCATATTTGGCCTGGAAGGAAATGAAGAAGATACAGGGACAAGGATATATTGGCTTGAACCATGATGCGCCAAGAGATAGCTCCGATGATGTTTTGGAAGGGGAGGAAGAAGGTAATGGACGTGCTATTGCCGAAGATGCTGAAGAGGAGCATGTACGTTTCCCATCTTATTCAGTGAAGAGCTGAAACTGAAGGCGCCCTTCCATGCAGGAGCAGCATGACTTTGGTGAAGTCGTCATTCACCAAGTGATTCACACCATCGAGTTCTGTCTTGGTTGTATCTCGCACACTGCTTCATATCTGCGTCTGTGGGCATTGTCGCTTGCGCATGCGCAGTTGTCCGAGGTACTCTGGATGATGACAATCGAAGGATTTTTGAACCCGAGCGGCATCTTTGGTTGGATTGGTCTCATCATCATTACGGCTGTGTGGTTCTCCTTGACCGTCTTCATTCTGTGTATTATGGAGGTTGGTTGTGTTGCGCTGGAAGTACCTGATATGTGCTGATGTGCTGTACAGGGCCTGTCGGCGTTTCTCCATGCCCTTCGGTTGCATTGGGTCGAGGCGAATAGTAAGCACTTTGAAGGTGGAGGTTATGTTCGTGTTGATTTTTCATCCGCTTCTTCTGATTACTAATGGTACCGTTCAGGCGTTCACTCCTCTCAGTTTTGCGAGTGTCGAGTTTAAGGAATAGAGTGGTTCACTGAAGATGTTCTAACTCATACCCTTTACATAATACCTACTTTCAATCAAAAATGTGGTTGTCATCCTTCCAAGTTTTTCGATACTGCAGTCTATGTATATGAACGAAGCAGGAAAGGTTAGAAATGCGGATCCAAAGGATCCTCAGAATGCAGCGATCCAAAAATTGCTACAGGATCCGTGGCAATGTTTGGCATCCATGACGTCATCAAACAATGCTGAATTCAGTCGACGTGGAAGCTTAGTGGAACTGTAAAACAAACTTGAATCTTGGTCTATAGGTCATTTACTTGTCTTTGGTCCCGGACAACATGCTCTCGCTGTGCACCCTTCTCTCTCTTATCTTCTGTCTCTTCAGCCTTCTGGAGGCCAAGTCAAGCACTGGGAATTCAGTACTAGTCGTTCTTGATCCTGCTGCGCAGAGTCAGTTCTCAATATTCTTCGACGGCCTGAAAGGTGCGTGCTTTTGAGGTGGGAATGACTTCATTATCTGAAATCCAAGCAGATTCAGGATATGAACTTACTTTCCGTGGCCCAAAGGATGACGCGCCTCTTCTAATTGAGGATGACATTGCATCCTTCGCCCATGCCATCGTCTTTGCTTCCGACACCAAAAGTACGTGTCAATATCATTGGGATTCAATGCAAACTTATCTGTTCTAGACTTTGCAAAGGACATCACACCTCAAAATCTCGTTCGGTTACTCTCACTGAACACCAACCTTTTGATCGCGCTTTCGCCAAAACAAACCATGCTTTCGTCGCTCGCGGCAGAGTTTTCTCTGATCCTTCCACCTCCTGGAACTCCCCTTATCTCTTACTTCCCCGAGAGGGATGAACGCGCCAATGTCATTCCCATCTCGGTGCCTGCAGGTTCACCTCTGCTCACTCCCAATACACCACCTGTATGGTTCTCTGGTGTCCCATTTGTGCTCGGAAATAACCCACTCATTGTTCCCATCTTGAATGCCCCGGAAGAAAGCTTTGCTGCAGACTCTGACAGTTCCACCGATACATTGGCTGACGCCGCCGAGAAGGGTGGTGAAGGTTTGTGGGCAGGCAGCCAGCTCGGTGTCGTTTCTGGTTTCCAGGCGCTGAGCGGCGCGCGTGTGACTTGGGTTGGTGGTGTGGATCTGTTCAGCGACGAGTTTGCGAATAAGGAAATATCCAAGTATGTCTACCCCTTCTCATTTTTCGCTTCGTGGTTCTCATCTATTGAAGGGGCGTAAAATCTGGTAATAAACAGTTTGCGCGTGACGTAGCTGCTTGGACTTTCCAAGAGTCTTTGGTACTGCGCCTCGAAGATGCTGACCATCATATCGTGAATAGTACGATTTCCAAAGAACAATATACCATCAACGATCATATCCTCTACCGTGCGGCCATTTCTCGATTTAACCCGAAGGATGATGTATGGGAGCCGTACTCCGATATCAAGGATATGCAACTCGAATTTACCATGTTGGACCCGCATATCCGTATTGCTCTACCACCTGTAGCGGGGCAACCGGGCGTTTACTCTACAGAATTCCGTGCGCCTGACCGACACGGCGTGTTCAAATTTGTAATCAACTACAAGCGCAAAGGGTAGGTGTTTCATTTTGACTGGAATTGTGGCGGCGTTTAATATCTGTTGCTGGAATAGGTGGTCGCACCTCCATCACTCCATCACTGTAGCTGTCGTGCCGCCACGGCACGATGGATACCCTCGGTTCCTCAGTGCAGCTTGGCCATACTACGCTGGTGCCATAAGCACGAGTGTTGGGTTCTTCTTGTTCTCTGCAATGTGGCTCGCTGGTGATGTACGCCAGTTGAAGAAAAGTAAATCCCACAAGACAGAATAGATGGTACGGACAATGTATTTTAATTGCGTGCGAATTGGGCTGCCTTTCTTCCGTGTAAAGAATCCACGGTGGAAGGTCTTCGCAAAAAAATGTTGGCGCCACATGTCATACTACACGGGCTATGCACAGCGACATCAGATGTCGTTGCGACATTTCAGCAAACAAAATTTTTCTGAACAAGTTGTGGTCGTGTGTAAGAGCGTAAAGTTTTAGACTTCCAGCAGAAACTGTACGTCTAGGACTCTCAGGACTCTGATCCAGCTCAAGTCGGACTCGTAAGCCATCATATCTGACCAGGCTACGGGATATTTCCATTGCCGATGTCAAGCCTTGACGTGCTAACGACTGGCGCGTCGACGCGTCTCGCCGTCCCGGCTACTGTCACCTTGTGTTTCTATGACTCAGTTGAAGCCGACAGTTGTTTGTGCGTTCATCAACCTTTACCAACGCGTCCGCTATACTGCCAGCTCTCTTCCAATGGCTGCTGTACCTCCAGTTCTTCACGGTTCGGGTATGAACCTCGAAGTGTTCAAATGCCTCGAGGCCTGGTGGGCATCAAAAGACAAAGATGGGCACAACGTGTCTATCGGTGATTTTGGGCGACTCACGGTATGGCGCATATTTCTTCTCTACGGCCGAACTCTATAGTTCTCTATAATAGGTCGCCTACGGTCTCCAGATGAACGACCTGAAATCTATCAGAGCAAGTAACATGCGCCTTAACTCAATGATCGACAGTTTGAAAGTGGAATCAAAACTGTTAAAGGAGCGAAACGAAACTTTGCAAGAGAACATTAACGAGGCTGAACTGACTGAAAAGAAAACGAGAAAGGAAGTTTTAGCGCTGGAAAAAGATAGAAAAGATTTCGTGGAACGAATGGCTGCTATGGAGAAGAGAACGACGACCCTATCAAAACAGGTACGCTTGTAATGTATGCCCTGACAAGCACTTGACCACTATTACAAGATTGATACCTTCCGAGTCCAGGCAAAGGCACTTGCGGCGCAAGCTCAACAACGTCGTCTAGAAATCGTGTCTGTGGCTTTCGGGAAAACATCTTTCGTTGAAGAATTCTTTGTTCCAACTCGCCTCGTATTCGACGAACCTACACAAATGATGGCTAAACTGCCCTCTGTATGTGTTTGCCCATGACGTTTTATTCGTAAATTGACCTCATATCATCCAGGAACTCAGACAGTCTCTGAGGTAAGAACCATCTTGATCTCACCTAACAATTAGAGCGCTCAGTAATTTTGCAGTATATATTTCCTTCCTTGCCCCCCTCGATCCATGCCTCTCCACATCCCCAAGATAGCTCAGGCAGGGTACTGGTTTCATCCTCCCATTATCACACCCGAAGGAAGTCCAGTGGAACTGGTTGTAGAGGCAAAATCTCACGAGGTACGTGTGGCTCAAGACAACTCTGATGTATGGAAATTTCTAAGCCTCTTTATATAGTGGCTATATTTGGGTCAATACCTTTGTGCCCCCTTCGATGGCGAGGACATGAAGCTTTCCGAATGGATCGAATTAGATCCTCTGGTACGCTTCCCTAGAATTTCAGACGCCGGTTCACTGATTGATAGACGAAATGCAAGACTAAAAATGCCTATTGTGCTGCCGTCAGTAGGACTCTGAAGGAGAAACACGATCAAGAAGTCTCCTGCGTCGACATACAACAGCAGCTGGATTCAGGGGAGTACGCTCCTCCTTGTTATAGCTTACAATGCGTTGGATACGACTTGGCATTACAAGGAGCTTTGATTAAAGCGTCGGCTTCGCCCTGCCTCAAGGGCACACATCCGTCAGTATCAGAAGTGTCCCAGTCAGCAAAGTTCTATGCACCAGTCTCGCTGGCGGTGGAAAGTTATCATTCTCGCTTGAGCCCTCCCGTACCGTCCGCGACCCTGGACCCAAAAGCTAGCGCAGGACAGAGACATCCCGCAGCGCTTCTCTCTACGAAAAAGTGTTGTCATCCGGATGACGAAGTGAGTGCGACGAAGAAGGCACGAGTGGACGGTAGGGAGGTTGAAGGTTCACAATAGAGACTTAGGTTTCCACGGCTGGTTGGACTTTCTGAGACTGGTTGCCTTGGATGCTTTATGGCCATAATCTGTATCATGATCGTGACAAATCTGTACTTCGGGGAAACTGTAAAAGGGTGGATCATACTGTGAAAAAGGAAAGAATATCGAGATTTCTTGCGTATGCGTAAATGGCATATATGTTTGCTTACGCTTATTTGAAAAAGTCGTCTAACTGGTGCACACCTTCCATGATTTGACAGTCCAATTACATTAGTACAAAATTAACAACGATGAGCAAAAGACGTAGAATGTCAGCGTAGCTGGTTAATTAATAAATTCTGCGTTGTAAGTTGTTGACAACCAACTGAAATGAAATGAACTTACATCGCTCCGGAGGATAACGGGATCATTCTAGCCTTGGAACACCTGGTTCCCAAAAGGCGGATACTTTTAAGCTCCTTCTAATGACACCTCGATGGCAGGCTTGGCTGCTTTCTTCGACTTGGGCTTTTGCGCGCTCGGACAAGTACCCGCCAAACTAAGCGTGCATTCTCCACATTTTGGGCGGACAGGTAAACAAACCATCTTGTAGATGTCTCAGCGCTTATATGGGAACAAATTGGATGCATACTTACCTGTCCAAAGCCGACGAGTAGATGGTTGATCTCGGGGTGTAGCTCTGTCGGAAGCCAGGATTGGAGATTTAGTCTAATAGCCGAGTTAACATTCATAAGTCATTATAAAAAACGGCCAGAGGGAGACTAACCGCGTCCCTTCTGGGTTTTTGGTCGGAGGTTTATGCCAACCTAGACGGTTTGATATTCGATGGACGTGTACATCAACGCCGATACCATGATTACTGGGCAGAAATCCTAAGTTCGGTCTCATTGGAATGGAAGAGAAAGAAGTACAGGTTCCACGCTCTTTGAAGTGCCAGAAAGGCCATCTTGGGACCGACTCCAGGTAGAGAGCATAGGTCATCGACAGTTTTCGGGACGTCTGAATCAAACTCGTCTCGGAGTCGTATTGCTGTCTGTTTGATATACCTGAGCAGCAATTAGTAAATTATATATCATGGTGTGGGATCAAGACAAAACACACTGCGTCTTCCGCCTCCAAAATCCCACCTTGGCAATAGCTTCTGCGACACTGCTCTCCTCCGCGTCGATGATACCTTGCACGGATATACTGCCGCCTAGTGCAGCACGCAGTCGCTTGACTGCAGCATCGGTGACTTCATCCTTCGTTTGCGATGAAAGCATGAGCGACACAAGAGTAGCAAGGCGCTGATTCTAGTAGCTGTTACTGAGCGCGCGTACTGGCAGGATTAGGAGGCAACTCACTCGCGGTTCTGTTTCCTTCAACTGCGCGCTATCGCAACCCATGCTATCCACTGGGGCCACAATATTGGAGCGCATAGCCTTTATCGCATCGTAGACTTCCCTCCATCTTTCTGGGGCTGGATGGGGCGTCGCCAATGACTGTGGTATCGGTCGGGGTTTCTTCGGCGATGACGAGGCCAACCTTTTCGCCTTTTCGCGCTTGGGCGTGGATCCATTCGCGCATTCCTCAATGTCCTGTATAGTGTCTTCGACTTTGGCGCGTTTCGACCGTCGAGTAGATTCCTGGTCGCTGGTCGACTGTTCCTCCAGCTTCACAAGGGTTACCGAGGTATTGTAGGGACTAGCCCGCTCGACAAGCCTCGCTGATTGGCGTAGAGTTCTTTTCAAGGCAGACATAGATATTCAAGCAAAGAGAGTCCCAGACAGTGGTGGCAAGAAAATACAGATTACAGGACACGTGCACATGTGCGTCCATGTACTACATTGGCAGGCTCTTGAATTTTTTAAAGTTCAGAGCGTAATTACCATTACGATCTCTCCAACGCCATATCCCAAAAACTTTTTTCTAGTTTTGTACACTTCCGCCACACTTCACACCAATCTTCATACCTAGTCGATGAAGGCGGGTCAGCCACAGCGCACGCCTCGATAGTTTCTGTGCGTAGCAATGTCAACACACAACAAAACCTGTTGTACTGCCGCCAACTTACCCATTCCCGCTTTAACCGCTTTCTGATATTCAATACCAGAATAGTCCTCTATCCAATGGAGGTATGGATTCCCCTCGAGCTTTACCCAAGAATCTGGCTTGGCTGCCTCCTTCATGATCCAAAGCCCAACTTCTCCGTATCCCAGGAGACATGCAAGTAAAGACATCAGGAGCTTTATCGCGTCGCCTATAACATGTCATCAGATTAATCGAGGATAATAAACTGAATAGCACCATACCCTGCAGCCCGATATCCAGCAAATAACCTCCGTAGGCCATCGTCGCTGCTGATTCTTCCGTTGCTTCCAATTCATCCGCGGTGATACCAAAACGAGAACAGAACTCAGTGTGAGTTCCGATCTCGTGCAAAATGCTGAGGATTGTCGTTGCTGCAGACCTTATGGCGGGAAAAGTTGTCGACTTCGCGGCAAGAAGCCTGAGCAAAGTAAGCTACCAACCTAGACATCAAAGCGTAAACTCACCCATAGGCGCGAGCGTAATATTTGAGATAGAGATAGTCTTGTCTGTAAGATGTAGTTCGTTGAATGAACAGGGATGAGAGTCAGATGAACACACTTGACGAAATGCACAAAAGATTCTCGCGCCAGGATGCCTTGCGCAAGCTGTTTGACGAAATCATGTTCCACGTAGTCCTTCCATATACCAGGATTCTCTTGGATGAGAAGCTTGGTGAATGGATGCGGATTACTGGGACTAGGCCTAGATAACGACATATCTTTAGTGAGAAGAAATATCTTTCCTGAAAATAAAGTACCTGGGGATTAATATCTTGCTGATGGAATGAAGGTGATTGAGTGGACCATGACCCTTCCCAAAGGGCACAGCGTTTTCGATGCCCATGTGAGTATACGAGGCACCGGCTTTTGTAGCCTCCAGAACTATAAGGTAGTTGAGTATCGAATATAACCGTCGTGGACAGAGACACTCACGAGACAGACCCTGTGCCAAACCACACGCAATGGCTGCACTTAACGTACACCCAGTCCCATGTGTGCTTGTAGATTTGATTCTCGGCCTCGCTAAAATAGCAACAGCACCACTCCTTTCATAGAGCATATCGACGACGAGTTCCACTCCGGAAATGTCCCTCCCTATCTTCAGAATCTCCATGTTCTCACCAAAAAGGCCATCCCGAACAACACTGATCTCAGGGTACGCAGAAGACACTCGGTCTACATCTTCGAGGGTAGCCGTTATATGGCCCCCTTTGAGCAAAATTGCTTGGGGACCCGGAATAATCTGGGTGAAGAAATCCTTGCAAGCCTGATACATATCCTCTAAGGTGCTGATGCAGGGATAGGCTCCTGGTCTTCCGTGAGCTAACAATAACTCGGCCTCGGATTTGTTCGGCGTGATCAGCGTAGCGAGCGGGAAGAGCTCCTTGATCATGACATCTATCGCATCCGGATTCAAGAGGGAATGTCCTGAAGTCGAGACGCAGACCGGGTCACACACAAACGGAGGAATATTACCACTACCGTACTGCTTCTTCAATGTGTGAACAACAGCCTTGGTTATCTCTGCATCGAAGAGCATCCCAGTCTTTAGCGCGTCCATCTCGATATCCTCAAGTACAGACAAAATCTTTTATTATGACTCAGTCACTTGCAAAGCTTTTCCATAATTTAGCGCTCACCTGCCGAACAACGAACAGCGGCGGGGAAGGGAAAATATCCTGCACGCCTACTGTGTTTTCTGCGACCAAAGCCGTAATTGCGCTGGCTCCATAGCACCCATTTGCAGTGAATGTCTTAAGATCCGCCTTGAGAGTAGTAAATAAATGGTCAGTTGCAATCAGCGCTCCATTAGCGCGGTCCTACTTGAATACCAGCTCCACCGCTACAGTCAGAGCCTGCGATAGTCAGTACTGCTCGCTGCTGCATCATGGTTCGAATCAAGATGAGCGACTCAATGTTCCGCTCGGCAAGGCAGAAAGTGCGCATCGGCTATGCGGACCGCGGCGGGGAAGTATTGCCTTTTCGGTGGGCATGATATTTTTTTTTTCAAAGTTACAGTCATGGTATCGTCAGCGTCCTCTGCCTCTTCTTCGCCTACGCCTGAGCCAGCACCGAAGAAAGCGGCTAAGAAATCTATCAAAGACAAAGGGAAAAGCAAGGCCCGTGTTGACGAACACGGGAAGAACGAGGGCACTGATCCCAACTGGGCATACGAACCACCAGAAGGAGCCGTCCTGCAAGAGAATCCAGACAGCGGGGAATTTGATTGGGACTCTTTAAATGATGACGGGGAACTGGAATTATGGCTTATACGCGTCCCAGAGAACGTGCGCCATCTCAGAACATGTTCACGCCCTTCCTAAATCTGACCTTTTTCTTGTATTAGTTGAAGACCAAATATCTAGAGAACGTCACTATTGAAATGCCGCGGGGTTCTTTGAGCGCAAATATAGGCAGAGTGTCCCGCAAATCCCATTCTTACGATATTTGGAATGTTGGCAACGACGATGACAGGCCTGTCGGTGGGGACGAAGTTTGTGACCTGGAATGTCTTCTTCCCCGGAAAAGTAAAAAAGACGATATGTATATTGGTACGGCGTTTTTGTTAGTATTGGTACATGTCAAGTTAAGTTGGTGTACAGCTCCCCGGTCCATAGCGCGTCGTTTGGTAATTTCAGAACAATCTGCAGTACCTATGACGCCAGAAAACCAACCGAGTGAACCATACAAAAATCCACCTCGCCCATCATACCCGAAGGAACTGCTGAAACACTCCTTCAAACCATATGGCTCCAGCTCGAAACAGCCTCCTGCTGATGACGCGATGGTGCTCGACGAACAAGAGGTGCAGGAAGCGGCGAAGCAAGCAAAGGGTAAAAAACGAAAGGATGATGGTACAGGAGAGACGAAGAAAGCGAAAAAATCAAAGAAATAATCGTCACCTTGTTGCGTACGAATGCCATCATACTAAGACAAATCGGTGACCATGAATGTGAATTATACACCGCGTTTCCGCTTATCGCTACGCTGTGTGAGGTCTACAAAATAGTTAACTTCGTATACGATTAGGTCCTAAGAACAAATGCGCGTTCTTACACATAGGTCCATCTGATGTAACTGGAATTTGATGAATAGTGACACTATCTGCTCCATTGAAAGCAGTAGTCAGATGTCTCTGGTAGTATATCGGTTAGTACACGCGCCTGTCATGGTTTTTCTGATCAGTCTCCGCGCGAAAGCTGGGTTCGACTCCCAGCCAGAGAGTACGGGATATTTGGTGGTTTTTATTTTCTGACTTTCCAATAATGAAGTTACAACTTAGGCTTAGTAGATTCTAGAAGCTAGCCATGTATTCCTGGCCAATTGTCCCTGGCCCACCCCAAAAGCCCAAGTAGTTGAGAGTGTTAAAAAAGTTACAGCGCACTTGCAGTGAAATAATAAGATATAATGAGTAACGGAAAGCAACCTCGCACCGCGAAAGAGAAGAAACCAGTGTCATCCAACATCCATAGCATCCCCAGCCTTCCCTTTACCTTTAATATTACTAGTCCGCGTTGTCTCCGTCGGGTTATTCGCCAACGCAGCCCGAACCTCCTCCTCGACACCCTCATAGATACTCGTCTTCGGTACCCCCCAAATCCTCCCAGGATGCTCCTCCTGCTTCTTCTCAAACACCTTCCCCACGGTATCCACCCACTGCCTCCTCGTATCGACCAACTGCTTCAGCTGCTTCGCTACCACCAAATGATTTTTCTCATCCGGTCCCAATCCCAGGGCTGCAGGACAAGGCGGTAGCGCCATAGGGTTCGTCTCATCAATCGACTTCTTCTTCTTCTTCCCCAACTTGGGCATATCCTTGCCCTGCAGCTTGCTGTACATGTTACTGATGTTCTTGTCTATCGACTCGCGCAGCTCAACATATTCTTGGTATCCCAAGCGATCGCGCGCGATGTCTACTAAACGGGCCTTGCGTGCTTTGTTCGTAGCTACCACGGTACGGAGCTCACGCTGAGCGTGTCGTAGGGCAGTAGCTATGGGATCATCAACCTTCTCGGTATAATCCGGCTGGGATGGCTGTCAGTAGATCGCAGGAGGACAGCGTCCATACTCACAATCTCGTTGAGTAGACCATGATATCGCATCGTATCACGTATTCGCGTCTCAAGGTCAGAAACGCTCAATTTCTCCTTTCGTGCAGCAGCAGCTCCACTCCCTCCTGGTCTCCCTTCCATCGCATCCTCGGCAGCCTTCACTCCCTTCCATTCGTTGTTCTCCATAGGCAACAACGCACTAATCACTCGCTCAGTCAGCAACCCATGCCCCTTCTCTTCTACAAGACACTCTGTCTCCATCAGTGTCGACGGATCCCACTTTGGCACAGGCGGTTGGAAGATTTCTGGTAATGCATCCTGATCGGCAGGCGGCAGAAGTCCGATGTCCTGCTCCTCCCAGACAGTGGTATAATGTCGCCCTAACTTGGGCATGACGTACGGCTCGACCTCATCTCCAGTATGCTCGAGAAATCCAATGTCCTCTTCTCGTATGTTCCGTATCCATGGTTCAATGTAGGTGTAGAATGTGGTGGTCAAAGTTTGCGGCGGTTGCTTTAGTTTACTAAAATCATCCGTTACATCAGTAGGTGTACTGGGTCCTGGTATAGGAGGCGGTGGTATCGGAGGTCGTTGAGGTAACAAAGCGTTTGGTTGAGGTACAGTGAAATCGGGGCCCGTTTGGGGCTAAAAAAATCAACGAGAGATCAACCATGAACACTCTGAATTACCTTGCTGGGGACAGAAGGAACAGATTTCTGAGCTTTCGGTGGAGGAGGAGGATGGTTAAGTACGGGTGGCGTGCCCTTTCGAGGTCGCTGGGAAGCTGATAACGGGAAGTCAGCGTATGAAGATACATAGAGGACAGTGGCATACATGATTCAAGATCACTTTCATCGTATTCCCGCTTCCTTTTCTTCTTCTTCTTGTTCTCGTCGAGGGTGCTAAGCATTAATCATAAGATAATCCAAACGACGAAGACCAGTGAAAGAGCCACCTTCGAGGGTCCAAAGAAGACCGTGAGGAAGATGGACCGGCTTGTAATGGAAGAGAGGGTAGTCTGGGCTTCCCCGAAAGTGATGATGATAATCTAGATTCGTCCGCGTCGGGAAGAGGAGTGACTACAAAGCGCCATTCCAAGGAAAGATTCGCAAATGTGGCGCATAGCGACCGGTGAAATTCGCATGAGGAAACCCATGAGATATACATGTCGAAATGTATAGAGCACCAGTTATTGTAGCAGCAAAGATAGATATTGAAGAGGGTTATAAATAGAATAGAGCAACAAGTGAGAATATGGGAACGCGAAGGGTCGAAAAACACGTACAGTCGCGTTCTCGCTTGACTTTCTCAATGGATTTGGCCTTTCCTTTCTCAATCTCCTTCATACGGCGCATAGATTCCTCGATAGTCCGCATGTCGTCGCTCGCCTTTTTGCTTCGCTCGATGAGCTTTTGACGCAATATTTTGAGCTCAGACTCAAGGCCCTTAAGATCATCGGTTGGAGGTACCGCATCTGAGGGACTCTTGAGCAATAAAGAGCGTAACGGAGGCGGCGAAGCATAAGGAGTAAGCTTGGAGTACATCTCGGCGTCACGGCGCCCCCCGCGAGGTCGGTAGTGCCACTAAGGCAGAAAATAGCCCTGAATCCAAATAAATGGTTCCCAGATGTCGTTGAGCGAACCAAAGGGTCGCTACGGAGAACGCGAGGAGTGGTGATTCAAGTACAAGTTCAAGGTGGGAACAGGTTTTCGGATCACGCGTCTGATTACTTCAGAGTTCCCACGGCCCTTTGTCTCTGAACCTCTAAAATTATTTAAAGTATGGCGCCTCCCAAGGATGACGACGACATCGAGCTCGCCAGACTCCCGAAAGACGGTGACAAGCAAGACTATGGCCGTGACGAAGAGGAGGAGAATGAGTCCGACAATGAACGTGACGATGAGGGCAGTAGAGCTTTGTTGGGCGGTCATTCGCCGCGAACGGGGCCCATGAGCGGGCCTAGAGTCCAGCTATGGCCACAAATAAAGAACATTGTCATCGAGGTTCGTCGCGCTCTTGTTTTCATAAAGCCATCCTCAATAATTGCAGGGCGCTCCGACATTACTGTTCACGACCATCGGCTTGCTTTTCACAGGAGAATTGCTAGACCAAGTCTCCGTTCGTCACATTTATCCTTTGGCCATTCACGCAATTCAATACTGGCCTTGACAGCGGTGGAAAGCCATGGTGGAGGTCGACCAACTCATAATGATCATCCCTGTCGTGCTCAACCTCAAAGGGAACCTTGAAATGAATCTCTCAGCTCGACTGGGCACCGCTGCAAACATGGGCGAACTTGATGACCAGTCTGTGCGACGGAAAATGATTATTGGGAACCTTTCTCTTCTACAGGTTCAGGCCACGGTGGTTTCCTTCGTAGCCGCTTGTGTGTCCCTACTGTTGGGTCTGATCGTACCCCGGACGACCGCCGAAGCCTCAGCCTCATCAGAGGCAGTGAGTGCCTTTTTGCTACGTACCAGGCGTCTACGACCAACATTGCCTCCAGTGACCGACCGAAAATCCGGGCTACCAGTGTTGGTAACGTGTCATCACCAATGTTTGACTTCTCTGATGCCTATGATTAGATTTATCATGGTTGCTTCTACAGCCATGTCCGCCGCCTGTCTATCTAGCATCATCCTTGGTTCGTTCATGTGCGGACTCATTGTGTTATGCCGACATTATGGGCGCGATCCTGGTGGGTACTTTCCTCCGCTGTATATGCATGTGAGGTCATCCGTGGTCTGCACTTCTGGCTCGTTGCTTTTCTTTTGAAAAATAAGATGATGTCCATCTCTTCATGATACTTGATTTACCGTGCTAATGCATTTGCAGATAACATCGCTCCTCCAGTGGCTTCCTGTCTTGGAGACCTAGTTACTCTGGTCCTTATAGGAGGAGTGTCCACGCTTCTCATTCGTTTCCTCCACACACCCGTACCCTTGATAATATGTGTCATAGTCGTGCTTTCCGCGATCTCATGCGGCGTGTCGACGCGCCGAAATTCCCACGTCCGAGACCTCATAGGTCAAGGCTGGTCACCTCTCTTTGGGGCCATGATCATCAGCAGTGCGACAGGCATTGTCCTGGACCTCTTTGTGAGTAGGTACGAAGGCTTTGCTCTCCTTGCCGTCGTTATCAGTGGTAAGTTTGCACTCTTTCGCTTTAGCCCAAGCCCTCATAATTGCGGTTTCTTAGGTTTACCCGGTAGCGTGGGTTCAATCTTTGTCTCCAGACTATCAACAGCCCTGCATGCGGCGGCTGCATCAATTACTCCCAGCATCTTTGCAAACCGGCCGTCGGAACCCAGTGCTAGAATGGTTATGATCACACTCATACTCGTCACGATTCCTGTGGAAATCATCTTTCTATCTATCCTTAGATTACTGGGTTGGCTTACCCTCCCATTCGTCTTTGTCGCGTTCTCGGTGGTATTCTTCTGCTGCGCTGTACGTTCTTGTTTTCAACGTGTGCTACGTCCATATCTCATCCCCCCTGAATATAGGTCACAGCGTCGCTCTTCATAGCTAGAGCTCTGACCAACTTTCTGTGGTCAAAAAAACTTGATCCAGACATGTATGCACTACCCATCCATTCCGCTCTGATGGATTTGATAGGCCAGTTACTTCTGGTCGTCTGTTTCGAGATTGTATCGCTATTAGGCGTGCACGTTCGTTCCAAGGTACCATCGGCAGATTAAATTTTCTATCAGAATGGGCCAGTCTTCGGCCTTAGACAAATGTGCTTGTAGATTTAATCATATATCACTAGTAGGGACTCGTGATATAATTCAAGATCTCAATGGGAATGAAGAGAACAAGCTTGAATTCTTCAGGGCGCAGTATGTCGGTACTAAGCTCTTTGGATTCGTGGACTAACTAAACATGCACTGGTTTAGGGGAAGGGTGAGGGAAGTTGGAAGGAAAGAGAACAGCGTGGGCATGGTGGTAGTGGGGACAGAGAGAAAGAGAAGAATAACCATCTTTGCTATAGTACTTCCATTGCTCATACATGATAGACACGCAATTCTTAAGTTCTGTTTTGCAAAAATTCCAGGCCGAATATCTTCAATCAGATTTGCTCACAGATGTTAGCGTGGAAGTGTCGACCACGGAAAACTGGCAAGCCGTGGCAACGAAAATTCATATCTTGCACGCTAGGAGCACATCATCCAGCTGATAAGATTCGGACACTAACCTCTTGTTTATGCTCACCTGGTCTCGTGTATCTTCATATCGAATTTCCGAAACAAGTTTGCGAAAACCAGATACAATTCACACCATGCAAGACTACATGACAAGAATAAGCACCCTCAGGCTAACAAACATACAAAGGTCTATCATCACTCACTTCATACCTATGCACGAACGAGGTCCTCTCGAAAACGGAACCAAGTATTTCTCTAGGCTCTGAGACTCTTGCTGAAGCCATCTCTCTGGCCGAAAGGAGTGCGGTTGGGAGAAGATGCCCTTGTTCATGAGGACGAACGTGCATCCCACCCCGACTGCAGCCTTGATCGAAAGGAGTCAGCGTCAGCACGACCACGAAGGCTTCATGACACACCCCAACAGGCACCTGGACACCGTCGATGTACGTCGGCGTATCAACAACTCGAGGCATGGAGATCGGCACGCCAGCGCTCATCCTCAGTGCCTCTTTCAAAACAGCCGTCTATGAATCCGTCAACATGGCTGACGCCAGTAGAAGAATGGCTCACCAAGTACGGAAGTTTTTCTAGAACCTCATAGGAAACTGGCAATTCCTTGATAGGCCATGCAGCAAATATCTCCGAGGTGAGTTTCGCATGTATAGCAGGATCATTGAGGACATAGAAGAATCCGACAGTCATGGCGTTGCTCGTCGTATCGGTTCCTGCAAAGAGGAGATTCTGTGCCTAGTAAAACCACGAATCAATAACCATCGAACCCCAGAAACGCAGCATCTTACTTCATCTAATAACGACTTCTTGGATGGGACTTGCTGAGACTTGAGCTTCTCAGGTGATAGGAGACAGTTATATATAGTATCATGGAAGGCGTCCAACGAGCCAGGATCAGCCAGGATACCTTCGATCTGCGCCAACAACGCTTTGCGCAACTCGACAAACCCGAGAGTCTCGGGGTTCAGAAGCTTCGTGAGCCATTCGGGCAAGTGGTGTAGGATCTGCAAGGTGGGGAAATGGCGAATCGACGTTATCATGGGCACCGCCCGCTCGGAGCTCAAGAGAACAGGATGAGTAAAGTCAGGGTGCGAAAGAGTGTCGAATGACCGAGCATAGCAGTATGCTGTGATGACATCCATCGTTGTGGATTTAAATGCGAAGTGAAGATTTATTGGTTTAGTGCAGTCTTCTGATAGACGAGTTACGAGGAGATCGACCTTCCGAAGTCAAATTAAGTATTGTAGGGAGGCAGGGAAGGACCGGCGGCTCACTTTCGATTGGATAATACGCTCAAGTCCGAGGATCGAGCGACGGGAAAAGAAGGGGCTAAGGATGTCTCTTCGTTTCTTCGCCAAGACTGGGTCTGTGTACCCAAATGATGATTCATCGTGATTGAAAGCAACATAAAATTTGGGATCTTTTTTACACTTCACCTGGGAAGAATAAATGGCGAAGTATGCCTGGGGTGTACTGAAATGGAGCTGAACCAAAGTGAATATTAGAAATATTGAAGAAGAACCTTTCTTGACCTCCCTTGGATTTATGCGAACGACGGGACCTGCAGGGTCGGTGCTATAAGCTGGGATGGTTCTGCGGGGTGATAGGTAACGGCCACTTACCGTATATCTCATGCAACCTCTCAAGATGGTCCACGAACGCACCATCGCAGAAGCTCTCAAAATACGCCTGATACCAGCTCGTCAATGCTGCTAATTTAGGTCCAGGAAAGGTCCTTAGAGGATGAAACAACAGTCTTGAAGCGACAAGGTAAAGCACATAGCTTATGAAGACAAGAGCGATAACCTGCAGTGATCCAAGATGAAAGACCATGATGGAAGGCAAGCTCAGACCACTGCTCTCTTTAAATGACCCACTCGCTCTGACGCTTCAAACCTAATCGGACTTTGAGGGCCACGCATGTCCAGAGATGTACATCGCAGAATATCCCCACTCTGATCCCAAAGCGGCGACGATATGCTGTTTCAGATGCCCATATCTGGAGCGCCATGGTTGGGATAGATCCTTTGCGAGGCAACAAGCCACAAAAAGGTCCACAATCCGCTAGCTGTTTTCCATTGACTAAACGCATCCCCGGCGTTTCATTTTCCGGGCTTCATCTGACTGACGAGCATCCGCAAAATCCGACCCAGAGTTGGATTGTGTTTCAATTCCTCCACTAATTGCGCGTGGATACTTGTTTGATAGCTTTCGTGACGTCCGGCATGTGGAATGCTTCATTGCGTACGTGTTGGCACGAACAACTGATAAAACGGTCCCGAATCTGAATAAGAATGCGGTTAGTCCCTGCGAAGGAGCTTAGACTGGCAAGAAACTTTACCGTAATTTCAATTACAAGATCCTTCTATTACTTATGATCGTACACACGACGGACTAATTTACGAGTGTGCCATCACATCTCACTTGTCGGGTATAGACTCTCAAGAATTCCGATGACTTTGCCATATACAGGATCTTCTTTGCTCCCGAGCGCGCGCTCTGCGATCTGCCCCACATCCTCCCCCGGAACCCTGTACGAGGCCAAGTCGGATGCGAGTCCTAGTGATGCTACCAGGCTACAGAGGTGTGAGCACAAAACGCATTGAATACAACAAAAGGGACGTTCCTTGATCGACTTGGACACTAGCAGAACGTCCTCATCCACAGAGCCTGTCGACTCGATATGAAGGTAGGGCAGCACTTTGGCGAGTGTTTCCTTGTTCTCTTGGGATTCGGTTTGTGCTTTCATTGCAACTACGGGCGCCAATGTAAGACACTGCCCTCGCCAATACCAATCAATATGGTGTTCTTCGAGGTGTTTCGTAAACTCACAGAAGTGATACCATGCGGTATGCCGTACGCCGCTCCCAATTTGTGTCCCAAAGAATGCGACAATCCCAATGACCTATGAGTGTCAATCATTTAGTATCCCATTCTTCCAAGATGTAACTCAACCTTACTGACCCCTGTCTTTCCGAATTCGTGGGCCATATACTCATCCAAGATGCCAATTGAAGCCTCTGTCGCACTTCGACGTCTTGTGGATCGACTTTTGAGGCAGGGAGATACTTGAAAAGGTCGGCAATGGCTGAGTAACATAACACTTTGATTGGGAAAGGGACTCCGGGCCTATACAGGTTTTCTGGAGGAACGTCAGTGTTAAATTTGTTGGGCAGGACTCATCACACTTGCCAACAGCATGATCGAGGGCGCGAATTCCCGTTGAAAGCCTGAGTACGCCGGAATTCGAAACGAGTTGGCGGTTAAACACGAAGACGATGTAAGTGCGCACCAAAGTCTCTCCGGCGTTGGTAAGGTAAGATCTGCGTCTAGTATAATACCAGCGGGAACAAGTCGTCTTGAAGATACTCTATCCTTCTGACCGTGGTCGTTCGTATATCCGGCACCCATCTACGTTCCCTGAATGAAAGATGAAGGATTGATTAATTGTTACGAACCGTGTATTCTGCCGCGCTGAGCGTCGTGGGAATTGCTATTTGAGGAAGAATAGGGCCTCCGGTCTCTTCCTGCGCAAAGTAAAGGACAGCCTTTGATGCGTCAGTGGGCGAGCCACCTCCGATGGAGACAATGATGTTACAGCCGGATTCCCGAAAGACTTTGACGGCACGTCGGATCCCTGCGATAGGTGCATGCTCCCCGATTTCTTGAAAAGTAGCGCCAAATACATCGTGATCTTTCAAGATGGACTCGATTTGCTTTACAATCTGCGTCTGAATTGATTTTACTGAGTTTTTTTTCTTCTGAGAGTTTCGAAAAGGACAGGGTAAGAAATCACCTTGCCAACAAGACTCCTTGTGGTTACAATCAATGCTTTCCGAGCACCCAGAGAGGACAATAACTTGGGTAGTGCAGTAGATACGGACCCTGGGCCGTAGTATACGCCAGAGAGCTTATCAGGCCAGCCATAGTAACCTTGCAAAGATGAGGCGATAGTCATGGATGGGAAACAGAGATACGAACAAGAGAAGCGCAGCCAGATATATAAGCCGAACTTGAACGTGAGAGAAAGCTTACAGTTACAACAATCTCAGTAATGAAGTCAGTTCCATGCAATCTAGCATGCCGAGCGTCGGGCACAAGGTTAACAACAACTTGAGGTAAAAGTGGAGACGATACACGGGCCACGCTAGAGGAAGTATGTACCATGTGTTGAACCCCTTCCTATTTTCCCTGGGAGTGAAGGATGAGAACCACGTAGGCGGACCAGTGCTTGCCTTTCAAGACTAATTCTGCATCCGTAACCAAACCGGGCAGCTGCTATTACTATCTGTGAGTCTTTCTGGTCAAAGCGCGTCGATATCGAAGTGTCTGAACTCCAAACAAGTTGAAAGAACTGGTAGGAAACGTAGAGACTTGATAGTTCGTCTTTTTCGCACATTAACGAGCTAGTTAGGATTCACTTGAAGCTTTGTTTAGTTGCCACGAAATCCAGGCTACTCGATATCGCTGCAATGGTGAACGTTGGCGATGCGGGCACGTGTCCGAACCCAGGCGCGTCCCGTCAACCACCAACTTTAGTCTCTTGAGGAAAAGTATCCAAGCTTCATCTGCTCTTCTGTCGCATTGGACAATGCAGCGCTCAATGTCCAATCTGCACTTGATTACGACCCCTTGGAATCCTTTCTCTTCCTCGTCCATAAAATTTGACTGGTGGATAGAACGGTTCCGAATCCCAAATGGGAATGCAGGTAGTCATGCGAAGGAGCTTAGACTGACAAGAAAGTTCATCGTAATTTCATTTACGAGACCCTTCCATTATTTACTCAGGTTCTCATTGGCTGCATTGGCTAGACAAGTAGCGTCTCACACTGGTTCTTCCATTTTATGGCCATCTGTCACACTGGTTCGCTTCTCGCCGCTTAGAGCTCTTCAACTTGCCGCGACTCTAACACACCCCTTTTTATCTTTGCTTGCGGCTTCTCTCCACCTCTCATGCTCTCTTTCTTTATGTCTAGACCTTCTGTGTTCAACTTCATGCCTTTTCTTTCATGATTAATGTTGAATATTCATGCCTACCATCTTTGTAGCCTTCTACTGGCCTTTGATGTGATTCAGCAATTTCCCAATGATAATCAAGCGGCTGCGCTTTGACCTCACTTTGCTATGTGAGCTAAGTCGGCATAATCTATTCACTGTGCACAGTGCAGTCTCATGACCAATGGCCCTTCCATCTTTCAGCAAGTGCTCCGCATTAAACGCTATCCTTAGATGCTACTACTATAATGTAGCGATGTTGGTCTTAACCAAATAATCAACAAAAGTGTCCTTGGACCCAGCCAAGGCTAGGGATATCCAGCAGATATCTGTTGTGCCTGTAGAGTCGGCCCTCAGCCCCCGGGTTCAGCATTTTGGAATTCCATTTTATAGCCGTAGCATTTGTACAGCTCCTGTATGGGTAGCATTCTCACGTATGCCTATTTATGGAGCATCCCTAAAACCACTTGAACCTGGTCCTCCTTGCGTTCCGCGCACTCAATCTGATCTCTAATGATCCTTCCAGCAATAAACCACAGGTGACAACATGTCCAAACATGCTGAGAAGAAAAGTGTTCAAACAGTGAAAGGCCGTCACATCGCTTTCCTTCATTTGCCGATTTAGATTTGATGAATGATGTGGTGAAGTATCACTTAATTGACATTTCTGTGCTACTTCAATCACCTTCTCAAGTCTGTATGCATCCCCACTAGTAATTGTACATGCGACTGACTACGATTCACGAGTATGCCATCACACATCGCTCGTCGGGTATAGACTCTCAAGAATTCCGATGACTTTGCCATATACAGGATCTTCTTTGCTCCCGAGCGCGCGCTCTGCGATCTGCCCCACATCCTCCCTCGGAACCTTGTACGAGGCCAAGTCGGATGCGAGTCCTAGTGATGCTACCAGGCTACAGAGGTGTGAGCACAAAACGCATTGAATACAACAAAAGGGACGTACTCCTTGATCGACTTGGACACTAGCAGAACGTCCTCATCCACAGAGCCTGTCGACTCGATATGAAGGTAGGGCAGCACTTTAGCGAGTGTTTCCTTGTTCTCTTGGGATTCGGTTTGTGCTTTCATTGCAACCACGGGCGCCAAGGTAAGACACTGCCCTCGCCAATACCAATCAATATGGTGTTCTTCGAGGTGTTTCGTAAGCTCACAGAAGTGATACCATGCGGTATGCCGTACGCTGCTCCCAACTTGTGTCCCAAAGAATGCGACAAGCCCAATGGTCTATGAGCGCCAATCAGTTAAGTATTCCATTCTTCGGAGATGGAGTTCAATTTTACTAACCCGTATTTTTCTAAATTCATGGGCCATATACTCATCCAAGATGCCAATTGAAGCTTCTGTCGCACCTCGACGTCTTGTGGATCGGTTTTGGCGGCAGGAAGATATTTGAAAAGGTCGGTAATGGCAGAGTAACATAACACTTTGACCGGGAAAGCGACTCCGGGTCTATACAGGTTTTCTGGAGGAACGTCAGTGTAACTTGGCTGGGCAGGACTCATGAGTGCACTTGCCGACGGCGTGATCGAGGGCCCGAATTCCCGTTGAAAGCCTGAGCGTATCAGAATGAGTCGCTGAGTAAACAGTGGAAGGGCGCACCAAAGTCTCTCTGGTGTTGGTAAGGTGAACTCTGCGTCCAGTATGATACCAGCGGGAACAAGCCGTTTTGAGGATACTGCTACCTTTTGACCCTGGTCGTTCGTATATCCGGCTCCGATCTATGTTCTTTGAATAAAAAACGAAGGATTGATTAATCAATAATACGAACAGTGTATTCTGCCGCGCTGAGCGTCGTGGGAATTGCTATTTGAGGAAGAATAGGGCCTCCGATCTCTTCCTGCGCAAAGTAAAGGACGGCCTTTGATGCGTCAATGGGCGAGCCACCTCCGATAGAGACAATGACGTCACAGCCGGATTCTCGAAAGATTTTGATGGCACGCCGGATCCCGGCAATGGGTGAATGCTCCCCGATTTCATGAAAAGTAGCTCCAAATGCATCGTGATCTTTCAGAATGGACTCGACTTGCTTTACAAGCTCAGTCTAAAGTATATCCCTCGATCTTGAGAATTCAGAAGGAGAGGATAAGAGATCACCTTGCCGACAAGACTCCTTGTGGTTACAATCAATGCTTTCTGAGCACCCAGAGAGGAAAGTAACTTGGGTAGCGCAGTAGATACGGACCCTGGACCGTAGTACACACCAGAGAGCCCCTCGGGCCAGGAATAGTAGCCTTGCAAAGACGAGCTGGTAGCCATGAGTGGGAAGAGATGTACGAACAAGAACAGCACAGTTATATATAAGCCGGACGTGAGACATAACTTACAATTACAACAACGTTTAGTAATTCAGCCGGCAATCGGGACCTGTAAGAACAAAGTCTGCGGCAGGTACCTGACCAGACCGTACGAACATCGGGCATAGATTCTAAAAGCAGCTTGAGATAAGAGTAGAGAATACACGCAGCACATGCAGGAAACGCAGAGCCTCGATATCTGGTCATTTCGACAGGGTAAATATGCGTAGATCGAGGCACAAAATTCCCGTTCAGTGTCATGTTAGCCGTAAAAACCCAAGCGCCGCGACGTAGCATTGCCACAGGAAGGAAGAGACACTGGTCGTCACGGTCTGGACTGATACTTGTGGTCACATCACGTGATGTTAACACACGTCTCGGAGTCGCGTATCGTCTTGTCGCGTTGAATCACCAACTTGAGGGTAGTCCTTTCACTTGCATGGTCAAGATCCGTCTCTTTTTTCACCAAGTTCTCTTTTCTGCCGTATCGCAATGGTCAACGCTCAATGTCCGATCTGCACTGATTCCTATCCCTTGGAATCCTTTCTCTTCCTCGCGTGTGGTGCGCCAACTACCGCTTATAATGCATCACATGCCGAGTTATCCGAATATTTCTAGGTCATGGATGCTGTGACGGTTGTACAAAGAATTACAAGGGCAAAGTCTGTTCAATATGCAGAAAACCCAAGGGCCTCGTCGATCCTCATCAAATATATTTCACGGTCGTGGACGATAGCTTCGAAGGAAAAGTGTCATACAGTGCTGGAAAGCTCGAGAGCTTGGGCTCTCTTTCAGCGTCGAGCCATGTTGCTTCCACAGCAAGTAATTTGAGGGAGATGATACGCGACACACCTCTGGACGACAGTTTGATAGTGCGTGCTCGCATATTTTCCCCTTTTTTAAAGACTGACACTCTCAAAGTCCCGCCTGCTTCAAGCCGCAGATAACCTTGAGGAACGGTTACCAATATACGACCAACTCGAGGCTGAACGACATAGCAACGCCACTTTGAAGACTCGTGTCGACGAATTAGAACAGGACCTCCTGATTTCACGGGAATACTGCTTGAGCGTCGATCGCGAACACAAAGAAATCTTGCACAACTATGCAGTTTCCCTTCAAGAATCGAAAAGACTTATCGAACACGAACATACTCAAAAAGAGCTCGTTTACCAGAAAGCCAAGCAGCAAAAGAAAGAGATGGAAATGGAAATCGCGAGGCTAACTTCATTGTGTCTCGAGCAAGAGAAGCAGGTATGTACCATGACACTTCCTATTGTGCAGTTGACGGTTACTGGTTTAGATAAAACTGGAGAAGAAGAAGTCGAGGGCACTGGCTCGGCAGCATACTCGCAAACGCGTAGAAGAAGACAACGACGATTCTTTGGTTGTGACTATGGTAAGTGCATCTTCATCTGTCATTGTGGTCACTTCCTCACGTATATATTCAGAATTAGCGTCGCAAGGACGGTCGCCATAACCTTTATTTGTATTCCCCTTGTTCCCATGATACCAAGTACATAACGATTTTCGCCGCTATGTAATATAAAGAAGCGTACAAGGGGGGGAGGACAACAATTATTACATACCGTAATGTATTACCAGAAAGCACATTAAACTAAAACAACCCACAAGATGCTATCAGAGAACGAAGGATTCACACGTCAGTTATTATTATCAAGAAGACCCAGCATAGCAAGAACAACTTTCGTCGATTCGTCCTCGGCATTAACGTCTCCCAAGTAACCCAAATAGCCCATTCCGAACTTCATCCGCACGACAGGAGCCTGCAACTCTCCATGCTGATCCCGGTTCTTGTACACTGCAGCTGCAGAATTGATCCCCTTGAGGTGCACGGCCTTCATACTGTACGATGCGGGTAAGCATTTTGAAGACTTGAGAGTATCGTTCCCTTGGCGGTAAAACATCTCTCTACGATAACTCCCCATCCTCCAAGAGATACCCCACGCCGTCGACCAGAACTTGTCCATCTCAGGAGGACGTATGACCGAACTAAACAACCCTCCGAACACGACCAAACCGCCATCCTTTGTATAGTTGACGAGCTTTGTCAGGACGCGATTATGCTTCTTTCGAATAATCCCCGGGTCCGTCACGAAGACACCCGTGAGGTCAGGGGATGCGAGCGACTGAATGGCTTCGTCAGCTGATAATGCTTGTACGACACGTCGCTTGGATCGCAAAGCCGTGAGAAGATTCTTGTGGATATCTTCAAAGAAAGGTTCATTCTCAAGCGAGATAAGAAGAATGAAACTATTAGTCGATTGATTTGGGCGGCGCACGACGGATTGGCTTCTGCCTGAACCAGTGGCAGGCGATGATGATGCAGAGCTTGTAGGGGGAGCGTCATACCGGAAATCCAACAAGCCCAGCATTGAAAGCAGAACATTCGTTGAGCTCTTTTCTGCGTTCACGTCACCCAGGTAGCCCAGATAGCCTGACCCCAATTTCGTATGAATAGCAGGCGACTCAATATCTCCGCTCTGATCCGAGTCCTTGTACATAGCCGCAGATGAATTAACATTCTTGAGGTAGACAGCCTTCATGCTATAGTGTTTTGACAAAGATGGGTTGACTTGAACAGTTGCGTTGTTCGCATTACGGAAAAATGTCTCGCGATGATACGAGCCCATCTTCCAAGGCTGCCCCCATTTCAACCAAAACCCGTCCATTTCCAGAGAGCTGATGGACGTGCTGAATAGACCACCAATAACAACCAACCCGCCGGCCTTTGTGTATTCTATCAATTTGGTGAGAACGGAGTTGTGTTTCTGTTGAGTCACGCTAGGACCTGTGACGAAGACTCCTCCGAGGTCTGAAGAAGCGAGGAACGTCAAGGCTTCGCTTTGTGTTAGCGCCCTCTCGACGCGGGCCTTGGATCGCAGGGCGCAAAGGAAGTCAGCATAAATCTCGTCGAAATGGTCTTTATTCTCCAAGGAGAGGAGAAGAATGAATTTGGTCGACGGTGACGGACGAGCGGCCGCAGATCTGCTAGGAGCACCTGTTGTGGAAGCCAACGGGGCTGGGTGTTTTTGGTCAAGAAGGCCCAGCATCGCCAGGACTACGGGTGTTGATAGATCCTCCCCATTGACGTCACCCAGGTATCCAAAATAGCCGTTGCCTACACGCGTTTGAGCAGCAGGAGCCTCGGCCAGATTTTCAATGGGAGTAGCGGCGAAGACCAGAGATTCAATATGGGAGTTTGTCGTCGCCTTATAGAGTGCTGTAGACGGATCCAATCCATTGAGATGAACAGCTTTCATGCTGTAGGAAGATGGCAGGGAAGGGTTCTGCTTGGCAGTGCTATGTTCTTCATTGCGAGCAAATGTGGTTCGATGATATGATCCCATCCTCCACGGAAGGCCCCAACTAGAACCGAAAAAGCGACCCATGTCTGTTCCACTGATATTGCCGCTGAACATTCCCCCGACCACGACATATCCACCAGCCTGTGTCCATTCCACGAGCTTCGTGAGTACATTCATATGTCGACGCGATGCGATACCCGCGTCCGTGACCAAAACGCCGACAAGTTGAGATGACGAGAGTAGTTGCAATGCACTGCTCGCTGTGAACGCCTGTTTGGTGCTAATTTTCGCTTTCAAGGCAGAGAACAGGTGGGATAAGATGTTGGAATAGTACTCTACGTGTGAAAGTGAAAGAATGAGGACGAATGGGTCTTTGAGGTCAGAGGGCGCTTTCGAGGAAGAGGGGGTAGGCGCAGAGGGGGACGTTGATGACGATGAAGCCTTCTTTTTCCCTTTCGCTTTGCCCCTGGGTTGAGAGGAGCCTGAACCAGACGCCTGCGCGCTTGTAGGGAAGTCTCGGGAACGGATCTTATCAGCAACGCTGCGAGACGAGGCCCGACCCCCGGGGACGGTGTTATAGGGAACATCGCGAGGTACCAGTCGAAAAGGATTGCGCATCAACCTACGCTCCATCCTTTCTTCCTCTGTTTTTATCTCGTATATATACCTCAGCACTGCAGTGGCTTCCTCGTAGTTCCAGAAGCCGTCTTCACGGAGGTAAAGCCTTGTGTGAGAATATATGCACTTGGCATCACCAAATTTGCAATTGCCGAGAAGAAAGTATAGGCAGACGTTCTTTCCACTGTAGAGGAACATTAGATCGTGGACACAGGGAAAAGAAACACCATTTACAGATTATCCCGTACGCTCTTTTCATCCGGAGCATGGGAAAAAGCGCAGCTTTCGCCACGCCTGCAGCCACCGTGGTTATAGTAGCGACAAGCGATCCCGTTGCCAATATGATGGCAATCGCTGGAATCCGAGTTTGTCGAAGAATCGTCCTTGACACGGTCTTCAGATGGAGCCTCGTATTCTGAAGAAGCACAACTATCATCGGACATTGAACAAAGGCCCTCAAAACAGGCATCACGAGCTGCTTGTGCTTCGGATAAGATATGCTCGGAATCTGGATCAGACCTCAAAATGGTTTCAAAATCTGAGAGAGCGCTGATTGATTAGGGGGGTCCTTGGATGAAGGAATATTTATAAAAACGCACCAATTAACGCTCCACGGTACCTATGCAGACCTGTTCGAGCCATTCCACGCCTGTAGCGAGCCTTTTGCATTGCGGGATCGCGTATCAATGCTTGATTGGCTACCTCTTCAGCTAAATCATAGCTTAAGGTCACTCAGAGTTGGGTTTGACACGAAATATATTTGAGAAGCGCACAATTCAAGCTTGAGAAATGCTGCGGCGAGATTGCACATGATAACGGCTTTGGGACCACCGATGTGCAGAGCCTGGCAGTATTTCTGCGCTGCTTCGGCATATTTTTGGGCTTTGAAAAAATCGTTTCCCTTTGAAAATTAAGCAAGCCGGAAAAGAACGACAGAACGCTGAGGCTCACTTGGTTCTTGATTATTTCGGCCTCTTCTCGTCTTTGTGCTGAATGCTCCGCGCGTTTCTTAGCTCGCGCCTCCAATGCTTGAATACTAGGGTTGTCTGCTGGTAAAACGCGCCTGCGGTGGGACGCGTTATTTTCCGTCGACAAGGTAGGGCCTGACATGGTGGTTGAAGGTGAGATCGTGTTTGAAGCTGAAAAAGGTAATCATTTGGTATTTCCGATCGACGACAATACGGCAATTGCCGGCTCATTCTGACATTTGACTCGACGGACTCAAAAATCGCATATCCAACTTTGTGCAGGTTGCAGTTGGTACTACTTATGGCTCGTCCCCGTCATGCGCCACAATGTACTATCGTGATAAAGCTAGGTCCGTGGTTGCCAGCCATTCCGGAGTAGTCGCCAAACGTACTTGCGCGTAGGAACTTCGTCTATTGTCCATGAAAAGACGCACCAGCCCTTGCTTTCGACCCTTTCTTCTGTTGTAGAGACTGTCGTGCATCTGCGTAGCCGAGGACATAGAGTGGTGCTCGTCAGCTCCGGTGCTATCGGAGTGGGGTTGCAAAGAATGAACATACCGAGTCGTCCAAAGAGCCTATCGGGAAAACAAGTAAACAATATCGGGATTGATTGATTTGATCTTCCCACTTACAATTTACCCAGGCATTGGCAGCTATCGGACAGGGCAGACTGATTGCGTTATGGGATGATCTCTTTGGCCATTTAGAACAACCTATCGCTCAAGTCCTTCTTACCCGTGGCGATATCGCAGACGTAAGTCCCTTTCTTTTCAGACATCCCCCCCTCATGCTAAGGGTGCTTATCTTGCAGCGAACTAGGTATCTAAATGCTGTAAACACGTTCAATGAACTTTTGTCTATGGGCGTTGTGCCTATTGTGAACGAGAACGACACCGTATCAGTCAGTGTGAGTATGAGTCACAAACGTCTTCCTTGAGTATGCCTTTATGCTTCTTCTCCAGGAAATAAAATTTGGTGATAATGACACACTGTCTGCCATCACATCGTCCATGATCCACGCTGATTATCTCTTCCTACTGACGGATGTGGATGGGTTGTATACCTCAAATCCCAGAAAAGACCCTGATGCCAAACAAATAGAAGCTGTGACATCGATATCTGCCATTAGATCACAAGGTTTGTTTTTTCTCGTGGATAAACAACTTCTCGGCTCATAACATCAGTTAGCACAACCACCCTTGGATCAAGTCTTGGTACGGGAGGCATGGAAACAAAAATCATCGCTGCAGAAATTGCCACTGGCGCAGGTGTGACTACCATCATCACGTCTAGCAAGCATCCAGAAAATATTTTTGGCATCATCGAGTATCACAACTCGCTAAAAACATCATCGACTCCAGGAACTCCTCTTGAACCGTTATCAAGAACAAGCAGTCCTGTTCACAGTCCTTCCATTCCCGATTCACATAGGACTGGCAGTCCACATGCGAGTCCTTTGCCTCGGCCGCCTCATACGGTGTTCAAACCCTCGTCAACGCCTATGCGAGACCTGAAATCATGGACGAGCCATACACTTTACCCCTCCGGAAGCGTCATTATTGATACTGGGGCCCATCAGGTCTTGTCCCGTAGGGAATCCGGTGGTCGGCTGCTAGCAGTTGGCGTTTTGGGCGTCATCGGGGCGTTCGCTTCTGGCCAGGCTGTACGCATCGTTGTTTTGAGCCCTGCGGCTGTTCAAGGTAGTCTTGAGCAATCTTCTTTGGCTTCTACTCGGCCAGGTACGTTAGCGCTTCTCGCGGCTCCGGAAACTTTATCACGATCTGCCTTATTTGCGGCCCTTACATCAAAGCCAGAAGATGAAGTAGTTCCAACTGTGAAGCCACAATTTTTGTATGATGATGCAAACGTTGTTGAGGTAGGACGGGGATTAGCCAACTACAACTCTGCGCAGATCTCAAAAATCAAGGGTTTAAATAGGTCGGTGGCGAATCTTTCTTTTTTCCTCTGTGCTTATCTCTCTTTCCAGTTCATATATACCCCAACTGTTAGGCTATGCTGATTCAGAGTATGTAGTAGAAAATATCACCATCCGCGTGCCGCCATAATTGCGGGACGCTTTACGGCCGAAATGGGATATCGGCATCCACGTTCGTTCGACCAACCAATCGGGCCAATCGGAGCGCCACTGTTTGATGTGCCTACTGACGACATTGTGGCTGTGATCATTGTTTGGCTCTGTCAGACAATTTTCTCCATCCTACGACCATCTCGTTTTCTATTCCTTCTCTCATCTACATGCGATAGCTTACGCCTTTCTCTATTTCTGCATACCCTTCGTTATGTATCATAACAATTCCATCAGAATCCTCACTGGTTCGTGCCCTTCTTCAGCATCATTGCTTACTCCGCGCTTAAACTCTTTTACAGGGAATAGCCATCCAGAGCTCGCCCAGGCTGTGGCTGAGCGGTGAGCAGCTGCTCCATTGCCTTGTATCTGAAAGGTGGTCGATGAGCCCGCCGTTCATTTGCATGATTTAGACTTAACGTTCCTCTCGTCCCCTGCACCGTCAAGAAATTCTCCAACGGGGAGATTAATCTCAAAATATCGGAATCCGTTCGGGACGAAGATGTCTTCATCATCCAGTCCGGCTCTAGCGATGTCAATGATAATCTCATGGAACTCCTCATTCTTATTTCGGCGTGCAAGACTGCATCGGCGAGACGGATCACCGCTGTAATACCTTGCTTTCCATATGCTCGCATGGACAAGAAGGACAAGTCGCGTGCCCCCATTACTGCCAAGCTAGTGGCCAACATGCTTACTGTTGCCGGGTGCGATCACGTCATTACCATGGACCTACACGCCAGTCAGATCCAGGGATTCTTCGATATACCAGTCGACAACTTATATTCGGAGCCGCTGATGCTTGCATACATCAAGCGTCAAATCGAAGGATACAAAAACGGAATCATGGTTAGTCCGGATGCCGGTGGGGCTAAGCGGTGAGCTTCGATAATACAATTTCAATTCCTTTCTGATCAGTCTCTACTCAGAACTACGGCTATAGCTGACAAGCTAGGAGTCGAGTTCGCTCTCATTTATAGAAAACGAGGCGGGAAGGGAGCTGATGCATTGGAGCAGATGGAGATCTTGGTTGGAGACGTCAAAGACAAGGTTTGTGTTATCTGACGTTGATTATGCATCTCCAAATTCAATACAGGTCGCCATTCTTGTCGACGACATGATTGACTCCGGAAAGACACTCACTCTAGCCGCCAAAACACTACAGGAGAAGGGGGCAAGATCCGTGCATGCACTTGTTTCACACGGTTCGCTTACATCCGCATTGCATATACATCGAGCTAATTGTTTTTCCCTTCAGGACTCTTCTCAGAAACGAAAATGAGCCTTATAGACCAACTACCCATAGAAGAACTTGTGGTAAGCTGCCATTCTGCGGTCAAGCGATCCTATGCAAAATTCATTATCCAGGTCACAAATACTATCCCTCAAAAACAGCATCAAAGCGAATGCTCAAAACTGGTCACCATTGATATCAGCCCAATATTAGCCGAAAGTATTCGTCGAACACACAATGGTGAGAGTATCAGTTTGCTATTTGGAGAGTGGGCGGAAACTGGTGCAGTTTTGGTGGTATGAAAAGCCCGTTGGGTGGATCAGATAGAAAGGTACACGGATCTATATGTAAGATAGGAAGCTCCAGTTGAATTGAATGTGTGGAACAGATAGCGCCTTGAGGGTTTTGCCTAGCAGATGTACCGGGCCGGGCGCAGGCCGTACGAGGCCGCGGGTATCAAGCGGACTCTGTCCGCGTTGGATTCCGCCTTCCCGAGTCTTCCTCAGCTCACTATTTTTCGGTGAGTCTAGGTTCTCAATCCTGGGGTACGTTACTTTTGCTTAGCTCAGAACCAAGCTGAAACCAAACGTCGTCCGTTGCACACTTGGGGGTGAGATTCATTCCAGTTCGTTGCAACATATGGGTCACTTATCAAAAATTACAATGATTGCGACATCATGCTAGAAACTGTGCGTCATACGCTGCCCGCAAATTTATGATATATGATCACGGGAAGCCACTAGTCAAGCTCAAGTTCCAAGGAAACGACTCAATTTTCTCGGAGCCTTTCAGCAACAACTTAACGCATCTACGACATCTTCCGTGATCTTTAGGGGGCATTTATCGCAGCCGGCGCCTCTTCCGTTCTAAAATCTTAGGTAACTACAATCGTAGGCATAGAGTCAGCGTTATAATTGGCTTGCACTTGCAAGCGTACCCAAGTGCTTCAGTATCTCCTTCGAAATTCTCGTCGCTTTCGTGCGCTGTATTTTTTGGTGACAAAGAATATTCGGGTAGGGATATTCTTCCGCCTCTGTTACATGTGAAATGGATCGTATTTTATGTGTACTGTATGGCCCGACGGATTCAATTCTCAGGCAAATGACTGCGCGTGACGTCAACACAACGACAGCAGTTGGTGGCTGTGATCGCAACTGTGTTCTCCGCCACCGTCATGGCTAACGACGCTCACCCGTTTCAAATGAAGAAAATAAACGAGGACTTTCCGCTCCTTCCTAGGGACACGGTATCATCTCAGTTCAGCGAAAACACGGAATTCGTTGATGTGAATGATGTTCAGCCTGATCCTGATATATGTAGGTTACTCTCGCGTTTGACGTCGCTGACCGAGCTCACACTATACATACTAGCATACGGCAGATATATTGCTGCAGGAAAGGGGCTGAGATCATCTGCACTTATCACCCCATATGGTCGAATTTCGGTTTCCCTCAACTTGAAGCACCAACTCCCTGAGCTCCCAGAGGATCATGCCCCATATGTCAAGGAATTCGCTGTTGACCGAGAGTGGACAAGGTTCCCTAAGATGAACATTCTGATCATGATTGTAGGAAGCCGTGGTTAGCCCAGCACTACCAACTCGACTCGAATAAATGACTGATTGGGAAATTTATAGGCGACGTCCAGCCTTACGTTGCTCTAGGAAAGAGATTAAGAAGAGACGGCCACCGCGTACGAATAGCGACACACGAGACGTTCAGAACGTTTGTTACCAAAGAAGAGTTAGAGTTCTTCGACATTGGAGGAAATCCACAAGACCTGAT